TAGTGGTAACAGCAGCTGCAGAAATCGTGGAAGGACCGGCCACAGGGGGGTCGTATTATTACTTTTTTCACGAGGTAAACTGCGAGTGGGACAAGACCGTAAAAAAAAGAGGCAGGGTTAAGCCAGGAGAAGCCACGCGCCGTGGGTGAATACGTCAACGAAACAGTCTGGACCACGGAAGGCGACACACTCGGGTTTGCTTAGGCCCATTCGCCAGTCGTTTCGAAGGTCAAGGGGAGGACGTCAGCAGCGATGATCATGACTTGGCTGGTGGATTGCCAGGATATTGTTGGTATTAATAGTATTATTTAGCGTACGCCGGTCGATCTAGTCGAGCGTATGATCAGTCAGGATTCAGGGCATCGGTCGGAAGTTTCTGAAGCCATGCATAACTACCAGTTGGATTCTGGACGAAGATGATGGTCCTGAAGCGTTCCACGGACGAGATACTGTTTATACCACCTCGTGAGCCTCAGGGTCCAAGGAACGATTCTCGGGCTTGAGTGCCTATTGCAACATTCCATCAAGCCTCGCCTGGGACACTAGAAGTACCGTCGATTCCCGGTCTTGCCAACGCTAGCCCTATGGCATGGCTGGTAGATAGCTTAGGAGTTCGGAAGGATTCGTGGTGGACTCGTCATGGATAGATTGAGGTATGATTGATTACGGAGTACTTCGTATTACACACGGTTCATCCCGCGTTAGTCATTCAGATTACTCATCGCTCAGAAAGCCCGCTTAGCCTGTTTAGAGAAAGGAGGTCAGGTCCTGCACGTGCTAGGGCGGTATCAGTTTCAGTAGGCGGTATCATCCGGCATTTCGCCGATAACTTTTTTTTCTTTGGTTGGCATCGAAAAATCGCATCAGTTGGCGCGGCAGTTGTTGGATTCCACTTCTTTACTTCAATTCTTTCCCCTCCAAGTTCAAGGTTGGTTCCGTATCTGGAGACCCGGGTTTATCTCTGGATCAACCAATTTTGCGAACGAAGAGACCCTTTTTTCCTTCAGTTGCAGACCGAAGAAGCGATCCATAATGCCGCGCAAGGCAATCGACTCGCGAATCCCGGCGCTCATCCGGAATGGCCTGCAAGAGAAGAAGCGTAGCTTCTTCGTCGTTGTCGGCGATCGCGCGAAGGATGTAATTGTCAACCTGCACTATATCATGTCCAACCACGATGTGAAGCAGAACAAGTCTGTCCTCTGGGCTTATAAGAAGGATCTGCTAGGTTTCACAAGTCACCGCAAGAAGCGCGAGGCCAAGATCAAGAGAGAGGTCAAGCGAGGCATCCGTGAGCCGAATCAAGAAGATGCGTTCGAACTGTTCGTCACCCTCAATCAGATCCGGTATGTGTACTACAAAGAGACGGAAAAGATCCTCGGAAATACCTACGGCATGTGCATCCTGCAAGATTTCGAAGCGATTACTCCGAACCTCCTCGCCCGAACCGTCGAGACCGTCGAAGGAGGTGGAATGGTGGTGCTACTTTTGAAGGGAATGAGCAGCTTGAAGCAGTTGTATACATTGTCGATGGACATCCACTCCAGATACCGGACAGAGGCGCATGACGATGTGGTGGCACGTTTCAACGAACGTTTCATTCTTTCTCTGGGCAGCTGCGATTCGTGCCTGGTCCTCGACGACGAGATGAATGTCCTCCCGATCTCGGGAGGGAAGAACGTGAAAGAGCTTCCTCCCCCCGAGTCCATTGATGCCGACCCGACGGGCACGAAAAAGGAATTGAAGGAGATCAAGGAGAGCCTGGCGGAATCCCAGCCGATCGGGTCGCTGGTCAGTCTGGCTCGTACCGTTGACCAAGCGAAGGCTCTTCTTACCTTCGTCGATGCGATTGCTGAGAAAACGCTCCGCAGCACGGTGACTCTCACCGCCGGTAGAGGTCGAGGAAAATCGGCCGCTCTCGGTGTCGCCATTGCGGCGGCTGTTGCTCACGGTTACAGCAACATCTTCATCACATCTCCAAGCCCGGAGAACTTGAAGACCCTCTTTGAATTTGTCTTCAAGGGCTTCGACGCTCTTGGATACCTTGATCACGTCGATTACACCATCCTCCAGTCCACCAACCCCGATTTCAACAAGGCCATTGTGCGAGTGAACATCCACCGCCAGCACCGCCAGACCATCCAGTATATCCAACCTCAGGATGCTCATGTCTTGGGACAGGCGGAGCTCCTGGTCATTGATGAAGCTGCGGCTATCCCTCTGCCGTTGGTTCGCAAACTGATGGGTCCTTACCTCGTCTTCATGGCTTCTACCATCAACGGTTACGAAGGAACCGGCCGATCACTGTCTCTCAAGCTGATTCAACAGCTGCGTGAGCAGTCAAGAGGTGGGGCCAAGGTCAACGGTGATGATATCGACGTTGCGGATCGCTCGACGGGTAAGATCGCCAAAACGTCGGACAAGGGCTTGGGCGGACGGTCGTTGAGAGAGATCACATTGTCCGAGCCTATCCGATACGCACCTGGAGACTCGGTGGAAAAATGGCTGAACAAGGTACTGTGCTTGGATGCGACACTGCCAAAGTCTAAGATGAACACACAGGGTTGCCCTCACCCTTCCCAGTGCCAACTGCTCCAAGTCAACCGCGACACGCTTTTCTCGTTCCACCCTGTGTCGGAGAAGTTCCTTCAGCAAATGATGGCTCTTTACGTTGCTAGTCACTACAAGAACACCCCCAACGACCTCCAGCTGATGAGTGACGCCCCTGCGCACCAACTCTACGTCCTTGTCCCTCCCATTGATGAGGAGGCTACCAAGCTGCCAGAGCCTCTTTGTGTAATTCAGGTCGCACTGGAAGGTCGCATCAGCCGACAGAGCGTGTTGAACAGCCTGAGTCGTGGCCAACGAGCCGGAGGTGACCTCATCCCCTGGCTAGTCAGTCAACAGTATCAGGACGAAGACTTTGCTGGTCTGTCTGGCGCCAGAGTCGTGCGCATTGCCACCAACCCTGAGTACTTGAACATGGGCTATGGATCGCGCGCTATGGAGCTCCTGATTGATTTCTACGAGGGCAAATTCATGAGCTTGTCTGAGGATATCGCCGAGAACCAGGAAGAGATGGTCCGGGTCACAGACGAAGAGCTCACCAACTCCAACCTCTTGGACGACAACATCCACGTTCGGGACATCCGTTCCATGCCGCCTCTGTTCGGCAAGCTGTCCGAACGCCGTCCTGATGGTCTCGATTACATCGGCGTGAGCTACGGCCTGACGCCTTTCCCTTCACAAATTCTGGAAGCGTTCTTCCTTCGTCCCGGTTTACCTGCGTCAGACTCCCAACGAGCTGACGGGCGAGCACTCGTGCGTGATGCTGCGCACCCTCGCCACCGGATCTAACGATGCCTCCTGGCTCGGGGCCTTCGCCCGCGATTTCCACCGCCGCTTCCTCGCTCTGCTCTCCTACCAGTTTCGCGAGTTCCCCTCCGTACTCTCGCTCAGTATTTGCGAATCTGCCAAGGCCGGCGCCAAACTCGACACCTCCTTCAACCCATCTCCCCTGACGAAATCCGAACTCGACGCCGTCTTCTCCCCATTTGACCTGAAGCGTATCGACAGCTACGCCAACAACCTCCTCGACTACCACGTCATCCTCGACATGGTCCCCACCATCGCCGAGTACTACATGTCCGGTCGCCTGACCGGTAAGGTCAACCTCTCCGGTGTCCAGCAGTCCATCCTGTTGGCCATTGGCCTGCAGCGCAAGAACCTCGAGGCCATCGAGAAGGAGCTGAACCTGCCGTCGTCTCAGCTGCTGGCTATGTTCCTCAAGATCATCCGGAAGATGTCGACGCACTTCCGCTCGCTGGTCGAGGGCGCCGTTGCCGAAACCCTGCCGTCTGATCGCGTGGGAGCGACGGACGCCGGCTCGGGTGCCCATGATGAAGTTATTGACGAGCGGTTCAAGCCCTTGGAAACCGGGCTAGAAGAGGAGCTTGCCGAGGGTGGACAGCAAGTGGATGAGGAGATGCGGGAGAAACAGAGGGCTCTGATTGACGCTCTCCCTCTGGATCAGTAAGTGTCGCACCACGGCTGGAGACGCCGTCCCCGGTGAATGAACAATAACTGATTTCTAGCCTTCAGATACGAAATTGACAACGGCAGTGCCACCTGGGAAGAAGCCGAGAAGCAGATTCGCAGCGGCGGTGCCTCGACCGTCAGCGTCAAATCCGCGAAAGCCGCTAAGCGCAAGAAGGGCGAAACTGCGCGCGAGATCTACGACAAAGAGGTAGAGTCGAAGAGGCAAAAGATCATCAAGAAGGGCACGGAAGGAAGAAAGGGGAAGCACTGATTGATTAGACCGATGAATAAAACGTATTAGATATCCCCGATCAAGATGTTACTGGGTTGCATGAATAAGACGGTGTTATGTCAGGCAGTACTGGGTTCCGTGCAAAGATATGGGTTTGGGTATCGATCTACGAATGTTCCTGTATATACATACGCAAACTGTTTCGAACTATATCCGAAAAGTTTCGATAGATTATGAAGATGCCTTTCTTTTACATTTTCTGCAACTAGAACGCCTGCACTCCAGACCAGTTACACCAGGAAGTTGCACGGGCCCATCCAAGATCTGGACAGACTGGCCGCGCGACATCGCCAGGACGATCTCATTGCAAATGACGAATCTACAGTTCATCGTGTTCAGAAGCTTCCTTTTCAGCCTCTTTCTCAGCGACAACCACTCCATCCGGCAGCTTGCTCTTGGCCCCTTCGCCCAGCCGGATAGCGTCAACCCAGGTTTCTACCGGAGCAAGTCCGTATGCCGCATCGCCCGAAGGCTCATATCTTCTCCACCAACCTCTACGTCCGTTGAGGGCGATAATCTCAACAGCCTTGGCGTCGTCCGACAGTCCGAGCCCGGACCGGAGGGTCTTCGCACCCGTGTTGATGGCAGGGACGCTATAGAAAGGGAACAGCTTACTCTGGCGCTGGGCATGCTTGTGCACGATCTCGGACAGACTCACGAGCGCCTCCTTGGCGGGGCCAGAAAGCTCCGCGTCAGGCTCGCTCGGTTCTGGGAGGAGAGCCAGAACACAGGTGCCCGACTTGGGCGTCAGGCAAGCTGACTCCAGCGCCTCGGGGGTTGCGAGGCTCTCAATGGGAGGCGCGGGGATGGGGACCTGCGCAGGCTTGGGGACATCATCCGACACCACCTTGGGGTCTGGAGATTCCGTTGGCTTGTTCTCCTCATCCTCCAGAACAACCGAGGAGGACACTGTGGCTGATTTCGCAGGCTTGCTCTTGGTTTTCGCCGGGGCAGGATCCGGATTGGGCGCGGCGACCTGGCTGAGAAACTCAACCATTGGCTTCTTCTGAAGCTCGCCATCGTACACGATGTGCTTTTTGCCCCCGCCAGGCACCAAAACTAGGGTGGGGAACTTCTCAATGCCGAATTTCTCCACGGCCGCAGACTCCTTGCTGCGGATCTGGGCTACGTTGATGGAGCCCAGGAACTCAATGGCCAGCGCACGGATCAGGGCGCTGGTGGTGCCCTTCTCCGTGAACAAGATTGCCTTGGGCAATTCCTCGTCCTGAGACAGCCATTGATCCACCTCCTTGTCTGTCACTTTCTTCACATGGTTTGGAATGCGGTCTACGACGGCGTCGACGATAGCTTTGGCGCTTCTTGCGCCCTGGTAGTCCTCCACCCGCGGTTTGCCTGGTTTCTTGGACGGAGTCATGATCTTCAGCGTCGGGAATCCCTGGACTCCCATTTGACCGCAGAGAGGCTTGTTTGAGTCATCGTCGCAGTTGACGGCGGCGACCTTGGCCAGACCGTCGAGGTTCTTCGCCGCTTTCTCGTAGGCGGGTTTGAGGTTCTGACAGTGGCCACACCACGGAGCGTAGAATCTGTTATCGACGAGAACGCCTTAGGAAGCTGGAAACAGGCTAGGTGCGGGGAGGACGGCTTACTCTACGATCTGCAGGGCCCGTTAGTACGCGCCTGGTCAGTCCATTGTATCGAGGGAAGAGATTCAGCTTACCGAAGTGTAGTTCGATTTGGCGATCAGTCTGTCATAGTTTTTCGCGTCTACCTGCAGCACAGGAGACTTCTTTGTGTACAGCCCATCTGCATTGGCTGGCAGGGCCGCGAGAAGGGATACCGCGAGGAGAAGCGTAGAACTTGGCTGCCACATCATGGCGGGCGGAGAGGAAGTGTGTGAGCGTATGCGACGAAGAGTATCAGTGTGAAAAGGGGATGTTCATAATACAGGATAGATCAAAGACCGCCTGTCAGCGAGGGGAGGAATTAAATGAGGGACTGAAGGTAAGAAGCAAGGTGTCCTGAAGCTGTCGCCGGTTCTGGCCTGGTCTTGGCATGTGACGCGCATCTCCAACTTCTTTCGCCATTATTCAACCGCCACCTCTCCACGCACCATGATCTCGTCCCCTTGACCGCCCTGAATGACAGACTCTCCTCCCCATCGCTCTGCACATCTGGCGCCTGTCTCTCATTGATTGAGAATGAGCTCGACTAGGCCAATGTTTACCCTTCGATCACATTCCTGAACAAACTCTATCCCCCAGTTCTCCGCATTGTTCATTGTGGGGGATGTCAACCATGGACCTGTCCGTTCCACGACCTCAAGGCATATCAATGCTGCCACGGGAGATCTTCTGGATGATCTTGCGTCGTCTGAAGCCGGAAGATATCGTCTGTTGTCGCCGTGTCTCGCGATCGTGGAATGAGGCCTTCAGCAGTGTTGCCAATCTGGCACCGCTACTGGCCGAGTTCTTCCCATTCGCAAAGGAAGTTCGAGAACTCCAGGATGGAGATGGAACCAGCACCGCAGGATTGAATGGGGAATCCGATCTGACGCGCGTGATTTTCGATCAGCTTGCCCTGAGGTATCACCACCTGTGCCGAGGCAAGCCCAAATCCGTTCAGAGATACAAGCTCTGCGATGACTTCGGGGTTTCTGGGGAGAGAGAATGGTTCCAAGTACAGCCCTGGGAGAATCATGCCAGCCACCTCATGCAGCGCGTGGACTGGGTCTTTTCGGAGTCCTTCTGGACGTACGAGGACGGCCTCTTGGTTTTTCCAAGCGCAGACTATTCGTGCCTTGTTCTGCTTGATCTGGACACCGACAGGAAATTCATGGTGCCTTTTTTGATCGGAGGGAAAGTGATTCGCCGGTTGCGACTGCAAAAGAGAGTTCTCGTTGTGGAGTGGGCAGAGCCAAAGGCCTTCCACTGGTTGAATGACAGCGACGGAGTGCACCGTCACTTTGCATCGTCATTCGACGTGAACAAGACCTTGGATGGTTGGAGTGTCACGTTTCGAAACGAATGGAAGATTATGTTTCTCGGTCATCCACTGAGTGAGAGAGACCGATTCTACTCTACTCATAGCGAAACGCATTACGCTATCTACATCTGGCAGCCCAATCGCAGCTTATACACTGCTGATGATGATGCCCCAATTGAGTCGCTTTCTGTTTGGGACATCTCCAAGCCTTCGGATTACAGGCCGTCGCTAGATCCAACCGGACGACTGCGGGGTGATAGTGGAGATACTGGACCCTCTATTATTTCGCGCTTCGGGTTCAGAGAGTTGGGGTTTTACTCTGTCAGACAGCGAGGTCTCCCGGCCGTGCAATGCCTGAATATCAGCGACGATAATCTGGCCATAGACATTGTCGAAAATGTCTGTACAGGTCCAGTAGACAGGCTTGTGGGGCCAGCCGAGTGGACGTCCCAGGTGCAAATCACCAGTATCCCGATAGTAGGCAATGGTCCTACCTGGAGACGATCGGTTCAGTCGACTCTCCCACCCTATCGCGGAAGTAACAGCCTACAGACAAAGCCTCTTACCTTTTCAGCTTGTGATGAACCTTGGTATGCCATCATCTCGGAGACGGTCGATGAAGAAGCGAAAGTTGGTTTCTGTCTCCACTTATCTCCAATCACATGGCCGTTTGATCTGAAAATGTTCCTGACGATTCGCACACCATCATCGGAGAAGACTCTAAAACATGAAGAGATTTTCGAGCTTACGAGCAAAGGGACCGTCCATGGAACGGAACGGTATTTGGTCGGCGAGAACGCGAATCGCGAGTTAGTCATCCACAGATTCGATCGGTAGACCACAGAACGAATCAGAGCGCAGACATGTAGATATCCTGCATAAAAGACCAGTCGATTGGACTACGGCTTACCTTGCAAGCATTTATACCAACGCTTGACCCGTCAAGCAAATCTCAGAGGCCACATTTGCCGCATAATCCTAAACAAGCGTTGCCGTTCCTCGTATTGACGAAGAGGCTAGCGAAAGAAAGGAAAAGTCCGGAGGTGGCGCATCACCTACGGTCTGTGAGACTTCATGGCGCCTGGGCGTCCAAGAAGCCCCCGTATTCAATTGGAGCAATTTGATTTCGCCCCCTCAACCACGGGCCTTCCACAACTTGGCGACTTGCTCGTGAGCCTATCCCCAGCCGAACACCGAGAGTTTTCCTGGGGATTCTGGGCGATGACTCCCATTGTCAGTCTTTATCCGGTCATTCATCCGGTTTATACCTGATCCTGAGGTCTCAGTCAGATGAAAGCTGAGAAATGTCTGTCTTCCGGTAGATTGCTACTGCCTTCGCCGCCAGTTATTGGAACAAACCAGGCCCTTGGACGCTTTCCCCCCTGTCAACACTAGTCCAGTGACAGAGAAAACAACCTTTAAATATGTTAGGCACAGCAGGTATCTCCTCATGTCCCTGCGGGGGCGCTCGAGGTAGCATGCGGAAGAATGGTAATAGCCAAAATAGCCAGAGGCTCCTATAAGTCGTCGATCTTAGCCCATTTCTTGCGAAGAGACATTAATAAAAGGGGCACGGCACTCTCACCTGTGTGACGCGAGAGTGAGCTGTCTATATCCCGGAGATTTTTTTTTTTCGCAAGCGACCAAAAGTATAGGTAGACAGACAACATGGGTGGCGCCGATACATCTGCGGCTATGGATGCCGCCGCGAAGATTCGCAAGGCAAAGCTTAGGAGCCCGTCCGGCCCAGCAGCGCTGGTGCAGAATCGGAAGGTATTTGGGATTGCGATGTTTGCGTGTCTTGGGGGGTAGGTCTTCTAAGTTGCGCCTCAGAGTGTTACCATGGTTGCTGATTCGGGAGCAGTCTTCTCTATGGTTACAATCAGGTATGATTCCTGTTGTATGTGCGACAAACGAAACTAATGGATTTGCGCTTGGTAGGGTGTTTTCTCTGGTGTCTGTAAGTGACTCAATATCAACATCCATATTTACTTGTACCAGAACTAGCCTAACCTACTATGAGTGACGATGTATTCTTTCGCAGAACATGTACGTTGGCCCTCGACATCGCGAACACACTTCATATTGACAGGTTTAGATGGGCGATGCGGTCACCAACGAGACAAAGAAAGGATGGCTGACAGGTATATTCCTTTCCTAGTGATGTCCACCGGCCGCAGCTAAATAATATCGATAGCTATTCTCGAGCTTGGTGCCTGGTTCGGCGCGCTATACTCCGGCCTTCTGTGCGAAAGAATCTCCCGCAAATACACCATCCTTCTGAACGTTGGAATCTTTTGTCTCGGCGTCGTGGTACAGTGTACTGCGGCTGCAAACAACGGCAGTTCGTCTAATATCTTGGGTGGTCGATTCATCACCGGTATGGGAGTGGGAAGGTATGGGATGCGCCGAATTATAACCAACCGAACTGAATTGCGCTGACGCTACTATAGTCTCTCGATGAGTGTCCCTATGTATAATGCAGAGGTAAGCCGTCACCTCCCTGCATCTACAGGCGCACCGCTGAACTTGGATAGATCGCTCCGCCAGAAGTACGAGGTTCGTTGGTTGCGCTGCAACAACTTGCCATCACTTTTGGTATCATGGTAAGTACTCCTCTGGTCAGTCGGTCCAAAACTGCTCTCGCTAACCAACCTCCAAGGTTTCTTTCTGGTGAGTTCCCCTCCTGCCGAAGCATGCCTCGTCTTACCTGATCAGGATCAACTACGGAACAAACCATATCGGAGGGACCGGTCCAACTCAGAAGGACGCCGCGTGGCTGCTGCCCCTTGCCCTGCAGCTCGTTCCCGCCGTGATTCTAGGTGTCGGAATGATCTTCATGCCTTTCTCCCCCCGTTGGCTGATCCACCACGATCGCGAAGACGAAGCGAAGAGGGTCCTGATGAGTCTACGCGGTCTCCCCGAGGACGACCCCATTCTCCAGCTGGAATTCCTCGAGATCAAAGCGCAGAGTCTCTTCGAGAAGCGCACCGAGCAGGAAAAGTTCCCCCATCTCCATCGGACCAACACCTGGAGCTACGTCAAGCTGGAGGCCGTTGGCTTCGCCAGCTTGTTCACGACCTGGCCAATGTTCCGGCGTGTCATGGTCGCGACTGTCACCATGTTCTTCCAGCAGTTCACCGGAATCAACGCTGTCCTATACTACGCGCCGTCCATTTTCCAACAACTCGGAATGAGCAGCAACACGACCTCGCTCCTTGCGACCGGAGTTGTCGGCATAGCCATGTTCATCGCGACGATCCCAGCGGTCATCTGGGTCGACAATTTGGGCCGCAAGCCTGTTCTTGTCGCCGGGGCTATCGGCATGGCCGCATGTCATTTCATCATCGCGGGAATTTTTGGAGCGAATGAGAACCAGTGGGATTCGCATCAGGCGGCTGGCTGGGGTGCTGTTTCTATGGTGTGGTTGTTTGTAGTCCACTTCGGATATTCATGGGGTGAGTATAGACCTCAGTATTCAAGGCGTTATCGAACGGGAAATCACTAAGTTTTGATAAATAGGTCCCTGTGCTTGGATTATCATTGCAGAGATCTGGCCTTTGAGTGTTCGTGCGAAGGGGACTGCCCTTGGGGCGTCGGCTAGTAAGTCTAACCTCTCTCAATCGACTGGGATGTCTGGATACTGACCACTCTAATTAGATTGGATGTGCAATTTCATCATTGGCCAGGTTACCCCCGATATGCTAAAACACATCCGATATGGCACCTACATCTTCTTCGGTCTCCTGACCACCCTCGGTGCACTGTTCATTGCACTCCTGGTCCCTGAGACGAAGCAGTTGTCACTGGAGGAGATGGATGCCATTTTTGGATCTGAAGGAACGGCGGTGTCTGATTTTGAACGGCAGGCTGAAATTTCTCGGGAGATTGGTCTGGATGATGCTCTGGCGCGTCTCACAGAGAGTCCGTTGTCTACAGAAGCCCGTGCTGAGGTAGACGAAGAGAAGTAGCTTTGTTAGCCGTTACTGTCTGAAGCTATAGCGAGCGCAGTGGGTGGTGATATTCAAGGTTGTATCTTGCTTTCTATCCTTTTGCCTCGATAATTATTTCATGTTGATAGTTCGTGGGCTTAATCCAACGCTTTTGAGGTGTTTCGGGAGACAGTCAAAGACACACCCTTTGTTGGTCTTGAGTAGAGCATAGACACCAGCACATGAAATATAGCTAGGTCATGACAATAATATATGGGAGTTTATACGGGGAATTGGACAATGAAATCAGCCTTCGACCAACCAATACACCAATACTCGACGACTTTAACTGTACAGAGTAGATGGGTTGATGCCTCAGGTACGTTGATAGGCCCATCGGATCACCTCTCATTTTCCAGGATAACCGTAACTTCCTCTTGGATCTTGATATATGCAATAACTGAGCATCTTTTCATCACCAGCATGTTAGCTCAGGGGAAGAGCGCCGGGCTCATAACCCGGAGGTACGTTTACGAACTCTAACCAAACAAAGACAAAATCTAACAGATAACAGGACCCTGGATCGAAACCAGGACATGCTAAATCCTTTTTTTCCTCTCCCCCCCCTGTTTCCAAGATTATATCTTTATTTAGTTATTTAATTTTTCTTACACTTGCCTTCAACCAGCCACATATATTAAAGCACTTATTTATTCGATAAAACATACCTGGGTTCTCGGGTCCATAGGGGAAGGCTGCATATGGTGGGCATTGGTTTCCGACTTCTCTGCGCTTCGAGACCGAGCCTGGGACAACCATCTGAGATGATGCATATAATAGTCAGCAACTATTTACCCGAAGAATGATGTCGTCCTCCAGCCTAGTGAGCTTAGAAGACTCTGGGCCCAGGCGCGAATGTCCATGCCGTACATTTTGGTGAGAGCCCTACTGTTGGATGCTTCGCCTTCAGTCTTTGGAGCGATAACCCGGACACTGGTCCCGCTATTGCTTCTGTTATTCCTTTTGTACTAGGCCCTACGATAGGAACCGTCGGAAGCTATGGATAGTTGACTGATTCACGATAAGATATTCCACGAGAGGTTGGTTATCTCTCCTTCTGCCTATGTCATCGTCCATGATGTACAGAGGTCATCAATTACCCACCGAGGCTTATTCTTGCGACAGTAACCTGTGAAGACTGTAATATCCCTCTCAAAGGCTAGGGCGATCCCCAATATCTGCCATACTAGCTAGAAATGATCCCACACATACAGATTGATATACTTCATACACGATGATCTTGCTCTATCATTCCGTACTACCACAAGTGGGCTGTAGAGGCAGAGATTGACCACCTAACAACCGTAAGACGTATTTTTGTATCACAATCATCGGTGTTCCATCTGTCATGAACTGGATATGCTCCTATATGATGTGTTAAGGAAGAGGCCACAGTGAAATTTCACCGGGAATGCCCTTGATCTGCTCTTGAGCCGGAGGACATTAGTGTTACGCACCCAACCCTATCAAGGATCTCCTCTATCTCTCGGGTTGGACTTGATTATCTACCCAACCAACACCCACGCCCTCTTCCCATTCGCCTTTTTTGTCGCTTGCAACCTCGCCATGCAGCGGCCATGTGACACTTGCCCGAAACATGGGTATTCTCAATGCCTCTGTCGCTTCTGCTGGCAATGTGGCGAAATGGGTCATACCAAAACAGACTGTGTAGCGAGATTATGCACAAACTGCAAGTCATGGAGCGAAGGGCACAGTTGCCTTCACTGTGGCGGAGATGACTTTCTAGACGCGCAGGAGGGCCTCTCTGAAGAAGTAATCCCTTTAAAGCTGGGCACCAATAACGAAGGTGTTCTGATGCTAACTCTCTCAATTTGTCGATAGGTGCGTGATGAGGCCACGGACGACGAGACTTCGAAAAGAAACGATCGGCAACGAAGGAATAACGTTGTCATGGGAGCCACACCAAGCCCAAATCTCCCAAATTTAGGTCCCGTGGACCGTTCAAAGATTCTGAAGCATCTCCTCGCAAAGGTGAAAAGCAAGTATGGAGAACGGTATGCGCCAGTCCTTGAGATAGATGATCTCGAAAGGATCCTCGAAGATGGGCTGGAATCCGCAGTCCGAGATATAGTGCGAATGGGCAGTTTACATTATCAAGGTTCGTACTCTTCTATCCACATGAGATGGCGATCCACAGTCTTACTAACGTATTGACCAGTCTGCGGGAGATTGGCCGCGATCCTACAAACTTGAAGGAGTGTGGCGTGTACTTGCATATACTTTGGAGGAAGGAGCAGCCAGGCATCTTTTGGTTGTATGTTGGGCAGGCAGTAGTGCTTTGCATCAGGATTGAGACGCATAATGATCCCTACCGCCGCCGCCGCAACCCATGTCTCCACTATCATATATGGGACCTCGATGACAACATGGAGTCTGTATTCGTCTCACTTGCTACGCATAAACAGCCTTCAACGCCCGAAGAGCAGCTTATCTTAAACATCCAAGAGATGTGGATGTGTCTGGTCTTCCAGACACTGACTCCCGTCCAATTAGACGATTACCTACCAGAAGGGGTTCAAAAACTTTGGTCTGGAAATCATCTCAACGTCGCACTGCCCCTGTGGCAAGGGTTCACCGGGGACAAAGACTCTGTACGAGACGCAACCGGCGGACGCCATGCCTTTCAACAATATTTGCGTTCAGAGGACCCAATTGTGCGCGAGTGGGCCGAAAACACGAGAGATGCATTCAATGACATCAGAAACTCACCAGATCCTGTACTTCGCAACTACTACAGGGAAATTCTTTTGGAAAGGCATGCCAAAGCACGAAAAACGCTGGAGGATAAAAAGACTGAGAACCTGAAGAAGTACCTATCCGAGGCAGAGACAACCGTCCACCTTTATCATGACGGTCAGATGGCTACAATTTCATGTGGGATGTTCCAGTTTACCTTACCACGATCCCTGAAACTGGACCCCAAAGAGGGGGATGTGGTATCCTGCAGATTTCATCTTGCCGAAAGGCCACATCCGAATCCCTATGCTAAGAAGGCAGAACCTAGGGATCCAGCCAGCCGGCTCGCAGTCTCGATTAGGGGGAGGGATCGCCATGGAGCGTTTGACGTATGGCTCTCAACAGGCGGACTGCAAAATGTCAAGAAGATGAATTCTTTGGTCGATGTCTTGGAAGGCTATACTTTGGAAGAAAGCCGAAGCTTTGAGAGACGTTGGTATGTGCACCGGGAAACGGTGGAACGGACGCATGTGTACACTTAATGCCGACTTCTATGTAAACCGCAGTTAACCGGATCGTCACGACAGTGTACAGCATGAAATGAAATGCTTCCCTATTTGAAAAGTGTTTAGCCTCTAATGGGGAATTTTACATAGTAGGCAGTCACCAAGCAAACTCATACTACCGCTATGTTAAACCGATTCCACTACCATACTTCTGATACTATACATATACATGATACTGCATATTTCACTATACCTAGACAGCAGGGATAGAGGTCATTTTATGAAACATTAAGCTTTCATTGAACTGGGAAGAGTGTGAAGGGTGCAAACATCTTGGTATACGGGCATCTGTCCACAATGCAATCATAGCTGGCACCGATCATGGGACACCAAATCAAACAAGACAAGGCATGTATTCATGTTCAAGGTCTTAATGAAGCATACAGTGCCCTCTTTATGGCTCTCAACAGACTTAGATACCTTATTCTACCCGCGCCATAGCTAATTCAGCTACCCCCAGATCATGAGATAAGAAAGCCACAGGAACGAGGGAGCGAAACATACTGGGGATAAAAGTAAACTCTTATTGAAAACGGTCACATCATGATACTATATACCTAGCTGCAGAGATCAGTCTTGGGCCCAGAAAAGGGCCTGGTATAAAACAGAGTGAATAATGAAGGAAGACGAGACACAATGCCGGTCTTAAGGACAACTAGCATGCATATGAACTGGCTGAAATCGCATCCAGTTCCAATGCAAGTCAAACCAAGAGTTACTTGGCTGGAAAAACTTTTCCTTCTGTTGTGACTTGTTTACCACCATTGTTCTTCTCTCCACCACCTTCGCGTCTTTTTCTCTTCTTCTCTCCCCTCCCCCCTCTCCCATCTCAACCGGATCGCTCCCCTACATCCATCTATACCCACAAATCAAATGGGGATGAGGACTTCCAGAGTGATATCCCGGGAATCTACCCCTTCTCCCAGCCCCACCAGGGGATCCGTGGATGTTCACCCCATGAGGGCTGACCTGGACGAGGGTTGTCTCTCTACCCGCCACCGCGATAGAGACTTCACCATGTTTCTGGATCTCGGCCAAGCTCATCACAGCGAGTTCATCACGAAGCTCAAACAGAGTGTCCAGGGCTATGGGTTCAAATGGGAAGAGCTCAGGGACTCTGAGGAGGAGCGCAGACAATGCGCGACAAACTTCACCTTGGAGTTCGGGCCTCTCTACTGGGGCACCGCGGAGGGCCGTGAAAAGTACCTCGACTCATCAGCCCTCAAACGCACTGCAGAGCTCTGTGTGTATCCGCGCTGTAAAGAAGAGTAGTTGACCTCCTCATGCCCCCGTCTTGCCGTGGTTTACTAATGCCTGGACAGGATCATCAGCACTATCATGATTCTTTTAGAGAGAAAGGCAAAGAGCTACTATCGAACCGACAAGCAGGCTGAAGTATGTCACACCTCTTCCTTTCCCGTTTGTTTCTTGCTGACTCGGATATGACGCAGACCTCTGACAGGCCAACTACTACCAATCTTGTTCCTGCTCCAAAGGAAACCAAGAATAAACCGTCCTCGCCGAAGGTAACCGCGTTCAGCCCCCAGATGCGCGAGGACAACTATGGCGACGCGACCCTGTTCGGCTCCCAGAAGCGCGACAAGAAGCGCGACAAGAAAAAGAAAAGACGCGAGACGGAGGAAAAGATGACCAGCATTGTCGATGCCGCTACCCCTAAGCCCAAGGCTAAGACCCTGTACTACGTGTCCGACGACGAGCAGGCTGCCTTTGAGAACACCGTCATGTCGAGCAGAAAGCGCTCTGTTTCTACTCCGCGAGATATCCGTCCTTTCAGTGCCGTCGCGAGTGGGACTTCGGACACTATTACAAAGCCCGCAAAGAGAAGAAAGCTAGGTGATGCTGAGAACATCCAGACTACTCCTGCCGTTACTAAGCAGGTCGAAGAAGAAGGGGAGTTTTGGAAATACACCAAGTTTCTTGTTTCCTCGTCCAACCAGCAGATGGCGCCTGTGTGGGTTCCCTTTACGAAGTTTATCTCTTCCTCTATGTTTCTGGCACACATGGCGGATGAATGTCAGACCCCGGAGATGGGACAACCTGGTACTGAAAGTTCTAACTGGCACAGCAACACCCCCACGCAGGTTGTCGTTGCGGCGTCTATCAAATTCGAGTGGTCTAACTTCGAGATCAGAGTCCGCCAAGGACAGGACCGTGATCTGGAATACGTTATGACTGAACTTGAAGACTCGTGGAAGAATGCGAGCGAGGAAAGATTCGAGGGCGGTATCAGTCGCCAGTTCAAGGTTCTTGTCATGCTGCACATGGTTGGATAAGTGCGTCTAACTGGATGAATTATACTTTGTCTCCTTCTTCCTCTTGTGTCTTTTGTTTTTTGTTTTTTGTCTCTTTCTTATCTGCTATGGATTTCATGCCGCATTGGAAGTCTGGAAGAGTATTCAATAAAGCACTGTGTTAGTACCGAACTATCAATGCTTATTTCCGCACGCACGACCCATGGGCGGATCGACCGGACCTTTAGGAATGTATCGGAGAATTAATGGAGGGATTGACCTCAATGACGACTTTCACTAGATCGTCGCCTCTGGGATTTATTTAACACTAGGAAAGAGGGACAATGGAGTTCCGGACAGCCGGTTCTCCATGTTTGGTACGTGACGGGGCGAGCCGAGCAGATACTGTACGGATGGTATAGTTAATTATCACGAGACCTGGTGGTAACGACGGAGAATCATGACTCGTCGGTAGTCAAGTGGAACAACATTTGGAATTCTGATTGAATTATTGACTCTAGCCGAGTAAGCTTTTAGAAAGACGTCTTGGTGAATATTGTCCATGGAACCTGACCGAGAACAGTTAGAAACGAGGGCGTACGTAGACCGTAATATCGCAATCTCCACTGGTCAGACGCAGATCATTCAGTGCCCTCCCCTTCCTTGTGATGATCATCCTGCTTATGAAGCACTGTGGCCTGTCTCGGTCGTGTCGGGGCTTTTCTCCAGTCTGTTGGTGGCCGAAGATCGTCTTGTGGGAAGGATCCGTGCAGCAACAAACATGTGTCGAAGATGACTCGATTTCTTTCATCGGGAATTTCTGTTCATTCTGGGAACGTCTTACCCCTGGATTTGGGATGGACTTGACCCTCTCCACCTTGGGCTCCCCTCTCGTTTTCCCATTGTGCTCTCCTTAGTCTAAATACCCACTTGGAGTCGAGACTAGATCAGACGGTGTCCCTGAAGAAACGGACCGTGTCCCACAATGCGTGGCTTGGCAGGGGACAAAATGATGAATCAGGCCCGGTTCTCCAGAGACCTTAAATTTCGCACCACCCACACCGTGCTGGCGAAATTTCTAGACGCCGCACTAACGGAGTTTGTTCGGCTGGAAGCGTGCGAAGTCCTGGGCCGACCCCCGGGTTTCCCGTAGCCCAGCGTGATCCTGTGGGAGATGATCCTTGTATCAAGAGATCAACCGTGGATCGGACGGTCTGATAGTCGAGAATCAATCATTGCGTAGTACTCCGTAGAGAGGGTTGGATCTGAAGCTGATTGTGAGCAATTGCCTCCATTAAAGGAGTTGTCAACAGAGGAGGTAATAGAAACTAGTGACTTACTCGGATACGGAGTACTGTCTCGGTAGAATGGAAACGATCCACTTCCTCACTAAACCCGTTAGTCAGTTGCAGAGAGAGTTGGGTTGCGTGTCTCAAAAAGCAAGTTGGAGTCGTAGTTTAGTTAGTTGGTGACAGGATGATGGATGAGGATTTGACGGGGAGGGAGTGAACTAACAACTAGTGACTTTGCCCACCTTCCCCCATTTTTCCCTCTTATTATTATTAACATGATCATCGTCTTTCTTCTCCTGCTTCCCTCTTCTCCTTCTTCTTCTTCTTCTTCTCCTCCTCCTATCTTCATCTCCATACTCCTTCCCTTCCCCTAGTCGGCACTCGACCTCTGTCCGGTCCGTCCGCTGCTCCCTTTTAGTCCGCCGATTTGTTCATTCCCTCTTCCCCTCCCCCTTTTCATCTCCATTTCATCTCTCCCCGCATTCGTGGGCTGCATCGAATTTGGGTGCGGGGTGCGAATACCGCAACGATCTATTTCATTCCATTGCATACTCCATCATGGCCGGTGAACAAGACAAAAAACCCGCCGTCCTGATTGTAGGTGGTCTAGGTATGCGCAGCCCTCATATCAGATCCACTTTTTTCGCCGTGACTGACGACCTGGTCTTTGATTACAGGCTTCATCGGCCGACACCTCGCTCTCCATCTCCACGAAAACAACCTAGCGTCCGAGGTCAGGCTTGTGGACAAGGTTCTTCCCCAGTTGGCTTGGTTGGCGCCCGAGTTTGAGGAGGCTTGTTCCAGGGACAAATTCGTTCAGGCCGATGCCAGTCGAGAACGTGAGAGGGCCTACAGCCGTCGACGTCGTTGTTTAAGCGAAATCGTTTCATACTGACGTGGATTCTAGAGCACTTTCCTCGTATCTTTGACCGCGCGAACGGCGAACAATTCGACTATGTGATCAACTGCGGCGGCGAAACGCGACATTCGCAGCCGGACGACGTCTACGAACTCCGCAGCTACGCCCTGACCGTGGCGCTTGGCCGTGAAGTGGCCCGACGGGGCATCCGCTCTTTCGTTGAGTGCTCAACCGCCCACGTCTACAAGCCTGGCTCCGGCCCGCGGAAAGAAGACGACAAACTCGAACCGTGGCACAACCTGGCCAAATGGAAGCTGAAGGCGAGCGATGAGCTCCGGAAGATCCCCGGTCTGAACTACTGCCTCCTACGCCTTCCATACGTGTACGGCGAGTATTGTTCCGGGTATTTCGCAACGGGTATCTGTCTGGCCCGGGTGCATCTGGAGATGCAGAAAGATCTGGAGCTCCTTTACACCAAGGATCTGAAAATTAACACCGTTTATGTTAAAGATGCGGCTAGCGCCCTGTGGAAGGCTGCGGAATGGCGATACAATGCCCCTGCGGATGAATCAACTCCCTTGGCTTTCAACGTGGTCGACCACGGTAACACCCGTCAGGAAGACATTGCCAATGCCTTGACGACTGTTTTCGGTCTGAATTGCTCGTTCCTGGGATCCTTGGCATCGCAGTTGGCGAAGCTGAACATGGATGACGTTGTGGATGATATGAACGAGGAATGTCTGCAGGTCTGGGCGGAGCTGCTCGAGGAGAAGAAGATCGAACGACCCGGCCCTATCGGTCCGTTCTTGGAGAAGGATATCCTCAAGGACTCGGACATGTGTCTAGATGGCTCTCTTTTCGAGAAGACCACCGGCTGGAAGCCCACCCGGGAAAGCTTCGGCGCCGACAGTGTGCGGGACATGGTTGACAGCTACAAACGCATGGGCTGGTGGCCGTAACATGCCTCGCAAATTGGGAAGCAGCTTGCTCCACCCTTCTCCCGCGTCAAATCACAACACACGCAATCAATGCTCAGCGGCAGGATGGACAGGCGAACCTTGAAGCTATAGGGTATCAGCGTGACCGGCTGATGATCTTTCACGATGGCGCTTTACAAGGGCTTTGATCACTGCATCACGCACGAAAACGGGACTGCCTTGAACATAGGTCAACCCGATCCGACCGATCATTGCAGCTCCATTTTCTCCGCCCTCGACCCTAGTGTCTCTTTATGTACAGTGGCCACATATTGCCTGTAATGTATAGTAACAGTTTCTTGGTCCAGGGAGGTGCTATGGTTTTGAACACTGGCCTGTTCGAGACTTTGATTGTTTTTTCCTTTCTTGTTATGGATCCCATGCACATCAGAGCCGGTTACCCTGCATGTGGATAGGTCAAGCCTTGTTTCATTTCTTTTGCTGTACAGCGTTTTGGTTTCTATTCGATTGCAAATACGGCATTGGATTATGTGCTTCCTGTGTCGAGGCAGACAGACTCAATGACGCCGATTCATCAACAGTCCAACCACGTCACATAATACAACACTAGATGTTGCCGATTCAAGTGAGACCCTGTACTGCCTTAATGTATATCTGCCCTCCTTAGTTCATCTCATCGTTGGTCTTGTGATGGATTTGGTTGAATAGATGAAGGACCTGGACAATTCGAACTATCGAGTCGGCGTCTCCTAACGAGGACCATGATCATCAGGGGCAAGGACAGAGGAGTCAAGGACGCGGTAGACAATGATCCTTCACACAGGGACTGGAATCTGCTCAAGTTCTCTAACCTATCCACGTCCACGTAGCTCTATCAACCGGACCAGATCGCTCAATCCTGATCTCTTCACAGGTCTCTCCAGGGTTTCCATTCTACCCAGACGCACGTATTCATTACCAAACTCTTCTTGTGCATGGAGTATTTTCACCTGTACGCCTGATCTAGATTATCAGAGATGACGATAACCCGCAACCGTCTATACAAATCAAGGAGGCAGGAGACTTTCTTTAGAATACCTTAGCGATGGTATGTCGTTTTTACCTGTTTGAATACGTTCGGAGATTTAAATACATTAAGAAAACGTCTCCCTGATAAGAGGGCCTGAATATTACCAGGTTTTTATAGGGATGACAAAAAAAAAAAAGATAGCATGTCCTGGTTTCGATCCAGGGTCCTGTTGTATGTTAGATTGGTATTCAATTGAACTGAACTGAGATGGTGAAACGTACCTCCGGGTTATGAGCCCGGCGCTCTTCCCCTGAGCTAACATGCTGATTGGTGGAAGATTTGGGCAAAAATGATTTCTTAAATCAATCTCTTTGGTAATACACTTTACGGAGTACGTCTCTCAGAGTTATCAACATACCGTCAACTTACTTTCAATGTATAACCATCTGTCTGCAGTGTACGTGCTATGAGAAGGTACTACCACCCAGAAGCGTGAGAGACGTCTATCTCAATACGGACTTCCCGATATCCCATAGTTGCCAACAGTGTCATGTTTACGTCAAAGCGAGTTTGACCACATCGGCGTATACACTACCAGGGCCGGCGGATGGACAAGCAAGAGATTGTACGGTGCTTGGTTACAAAAGAGCCTTTATTCGGAGATACCCTAGCTAGAACCCTTTTCTTTTTTTTTTTTTTTTTTTTTTTTTTTTTTTTTTTTTTTTTTTTTTTTTTTCCCTCGCTCCCATCAACCATAACCTCGTCGGATGCCCGGAAGTTTGAATGCAGGCTCCTCACAATATCGGCGTGACCAAAGTCCAGAGAGCATGCAGCCGGGTGACCATGAATCTCACCTAGTCAGTCATACATAAACCACGAAACACAAAGTCCTCAGAACACATCCATCACATCTGCGCATACTCAAACTTGCAGGACACACAAGCCTTGATTCCACAGCCAGGGCAGGTTAAGGTATAGATCGGCATCCAGCGATGACACGCCTCACACTCAATCGGTCTGAAATCCTTCTCCCAGAATCCCAGGTGAGAGCAGCGCTGCGGGTGTAGACCGGTCTCGAGAGGCCTCGCACCAGGAACACGCAGACGGAGATCCTCAAGCCAGCCGCAGTAGGTCTCTAGGATCAGACCGCATATTTCAATGTTGAGGTCTTCGGGTGTGTATCTGCCACTGGGGTCGTTGAGCTTCGCGTTGAAGTAGGGGATGAAGGGAGCGAGGGGAGACTCGCTTTCTGTGTTGAGCGGATCCAGCGTGTCTCTGTAAGTCACCTGTTCATAGGTAAGATTGGTCCGCGGCTGGGTGGATGCGGGTTCAGAGGACACGGCGGATGTAGCAGCTTCAGAAGGGGTGTTTGTAGAGTAGTTGTCCGCAGGAGTGGCTGCGTGAGAGGCCTGATCCTGTTCCTCCGCTTGGTGTTCAACACGGGCTTCGCCAACTATCACGTCGTCACTGGTGTGGTGACTCTGATCTTCAAAGTCCCTGCAATCATAAAAAACGGTTCCGTCATCCGAACTGCTGTCTCTGGCGGTTTCATATTCAGTGAAGGAGGCACAGGTCGAAGCAACAGACTGATGGTCGACCTGGGCCTGCTCATGGACTCTTCCACTGAGACCATCTTCATCAGTACGTGCGCCTCCAGAAGACTGCTGCACCTGGTCTCCACGATGCTGTCCAGCCGAAGACCTGCGAGTTCCGCCAACGCGAACCTCACCCGCAGACTGCTTCTCTTCCCAATCATGAGAGCCGTCGCCGACGCCGTGAGAAAAGAGGCTAGCATGGGCCGCATCCATGGGATGATGGCCTTCCACGCTCGCCTCATCATCAGCACGCCGCAGCTCTTCCTCGTCACGCATGACGCTGGCTGACATGGCCTCCCTGCTCCTGGCCTGTCCCGCACGCTCGTCCCCGAAAAGAGACTGTCTCCATTCTTCATACTCTCTGCGCATGCGGTCACTGCGGGCTCGCTCATCGACGGAGTCCTGCTCGTCGGGGCTCATATGGACGCTATGGCTATAACTAAACATATAGCGATCAGTCCACCAATTGTATCGCTGCGGTCTCCAGCCTCTATAGTGAGGATCCGCCAGGTCGGACACTTCGCTGGTATGGTGTGGGTCGCGCGCCCATCCTCCTCCAAACGCGAACGGGTCCCGGGTTGGCTGGGGTTGATGCACGAACGGCGCGTGGGAGCGTTTGTCAAGCTCCTCGTCGTGGAGGACGCGGCGGGTGGGATCGCGGAGGATCTCCACGGCTTGTTGGATCTGGCGGAGGTTAGTATGCGCTATCTTCTGAATCCTATGACTTTAATGGTTGACGTTTTGGAGAGCCAGTGAGGCAAGGTCTAGGGCCCCGTCTATGGGAGAAGCTGGGGGAAACGAACCTTGCGGAATTCGTCCACAGAGACATTGTCGCCGCCAGTTTTGTCTGGATGATACTGCAGGGCCAGTCTCTTGTACGCACTGTTGATCTCCTTGAGATCTGCGTCTTGGGCGATGCCTAAGACCTCATAACAGTTCATTCTGCTGGATGGCGCCGACATAGTGGCTTTAGATGCCACACAGGCTTCGTGTCTCAAATCTGCTTTGATTTTTTCGACGTGGTCTGAATGCCTTTGAAGGTCTTTAATGTATGAGATTATGGTGAATGTTGTATTAAAGCCCTCTGAGTTGGCCCTTTGATGATGAAGTGCTGGTTGTGACCACAACAGCAAAGCCAGCATCAATGAAGGGTCGCAGGCTGGGAGTAAGAAACAGAAAGAGAAAAGTGGGAATCACTGGAACAGAAATCATGTTGTGGGTGGAAAGGTGACGCGAGATCATATAGACCAGTCCGGACCTGTATGGATGTGAGTAGATGTTCACCAGAGGTGAGGGTTCATGTACTTGTTATGTGCATGTCCAGTAGGTAATGCTAATGTTCCAGTGCACCACCCTTCCTAATGCCTGAATATTTATCAAGGACAGATCTATGCGGTAGAACGGGTTAAGAATATAGATGAGTTACTATTAGTAGCTTGGATATATAGTAGCTCATGGTGATGGTGGAAGAAATATCTTGTAAGAGATGGTGCTTACATGTGAACATGTGCTACCTCTGAGGAAAATAGTCCCTACATCCTGGCATACCAGATAAATCAGTGACAAATGAAAAGATAAACTGATTTACAGGCTGATAGACTCTAGCTAGGTATTTATGACTAAGTCTACACGAAGGTCGACGACTCCTTCCCACAGAAGCTCAAAGAGCTTCTTACATATCAGCACTGGCGGTGGCACCAGTGATAATCTCAACCAGTTCACCGGTAATGGCGGCTTGACGCTGACGGTTGTACAGGATCTGGAACTTGTTGATCATCTCTCCGGCGTTCTTCGAGGCGTTCTATCAAAAAGTCAGTATGAGTCTAGATGAGGGACTTTAAATTCAATCTCCAGTGGGACTTGCCTCCATAGCGTTACGACGGGCCTGGTGAAATGTCGGTCAGTGACTGAACTATACATGTCATTGGCGCATGACAAAACTTACAGAGATTTCACAAGCGTGGCCTTCAGCCATAGCCCAGAACAGGCTGTTGGCAAGGGAGTACTCGCGGAGGTGGGCGAGAGTCTGGTCGTCAACCTCAAAAGCAGAGATGTTGGCTACGTCCGCGTTAGTATCAGGTCGATTCATGGGACCCAATGACAGGACTGACCGGACTGAGTGATGGCCTCCTCGGAGAAAGCCTCGACGGTGGCAGGCTCGTAGCTCTGAGCGTTGAGGAACTTGTTGTAGATGATCTTCACGCTGGCGTAGTCGGTGGGCAGCAGAGCGATCTGGTCGGCAATGGCCTGGGCGTCGGCGAAGGTAGGGATATCCTTGCAGACGTTGGCGAAGCTGAGGACCAAGTTGTTGGGGTTGGTACGGCTCAGCTGGGCCTTGGCCTTCTCACCCAGGACAACGATATCGGCCTCGGGCGTCTGCTGGAGCATACGGCGGGTGGCCTTGCTCAGACCGGAGTGAATACCACCGCAAAGACCCTTGTCGGAGGAAGCGACAACGAACAGAGTCTTCTTGTCCTCGAGGGGCTTCGTCTCGGCCTGGTCGAACACGGTGTTGGAGGTCTGACCGTAGACACGGGACTCCTCCATGGCCTTCTGGGCGCGAGTAAGACGGGTCGAGGCAATGACCTTCATGGTGTTGGTGATCTTCTCGATGTTCTTGATGGACTTCAGACGGCCCTCGATTTCACGCAGAGTCGCGAAGTTGGCGGCATTGGGAGGAGCAGTGCTGTTTGATGCGATCCAACGTTAGCTACCACGAGCGATTCGAATGGCGATATCCGATCACGTTCGTCCCATGATACTTGCTGGGTAGTTCGAGGGGGTATTGGCGACAGAGGAGGGGGTCCATGAGGCCAACGGGAACCGACGGGGCGACCGGGGAATGAAGGGAACTCACCGAGTGACCACAGCACTGCCGGCCCTGACGGCCGGGCGAACAGCACGGGAGAGCATATCGAAAGAGAAGGAGGTTGAGGAGAAGATTCAACCAGGAAGAGCTAGGTCCAACGTGTGTTGTGTGGGGGGGGAGGAAGATGAGCTCTTCTGCTGGAGCGGGCGGATGGGAAGACACTTGAGTTTCGACGTCTTCTCCTGTTTCTTTTCCGACTGCCGGCGAGGCTGGGACTAAACCGGATGGGGCAATGTGGTACGGGCGCGGAGAAAGGCCCGTAGTGCAGTACATGAATACACACAATACCGTCGCAATACGCCCTCCGGGACGCTCGGTCCCGTGATTTTCCAAGGCATGCAGGCAGCCGTTACATAATCATACCGTTCGGGTGGCCTCAGGCAAGTTCTTGCCCCCGGAGAAACGTGAGGATCGATCGCCTCAGGCCTCGTTTTCCATTGCATTCCTCTGTTTCCCTCCTCTTCTTTCTCCTCTTCCTCCCTCTTCTTCCCTCCCCCCTCTTTCCTTTGTTCATGTCTCGACTCTCCCCCTAACACTCCTTTGTTTCTACTCATAGCTCTCTCATTGACCTCATCTATTCGTCAAGTCTCAGCTCGCCGCTTCAGACTTGGCACCTGGTCAACCTCGAGTTCCCCTGCCCCCCGGCTCCCTCCGTATCGGCTTTACTTTCATTCTCTGTCTTCTATCCGACGCTCCCCTAAACTCGCGACAATGAGTTCCTCGGAGGACGATACCCCGCTCGTGCAGATGAATGGGCGATCTACCGGTAGGTTTTCCTTGCTTTCTCCTCACGTCTTGGCCGCCGTCGCACCTAGCGCATCTCGTCCCCTTGGCTACATTCCACACACACACACCCTGTCAATTCATCCCAAGTTTGTCTCTTCTCGTCCTTTCATACTTTTCCAAGTCTCTCCTTGATCAGGTCGAAGCTGACTTTAACTCCCCACGAAACCTCCAGGCACCCCCAACGACGTGACGATGAGCGACGCAAAGGAAACCAATGGTCATGTCGACCCGGGGGTCTCCATCCGCTTCGGTGCCGTTCAGAAGAAATCCGACGTGCACATGGTTGATGCGGATTCAGCTAGCGCAAGCAAGCGAAAGTCCCGAACCAGCGTTGGCCAGAAGTCCTACGCGGAACCCGAGAGCAGCGAGGATGATCAACCTCTGGTACGCCTTTCCCCTTCGTTTCGTACCCCTATCTACTCTGCGACTCTATTTCTGTCGCTGTTAATCTCGGCGACTGACCCTTCGACAGAGCAAGCGCCGACGCACATCCGTCAAACACGAAGATCCGGAAACCGATGAGGACGTTCCCCTGGGGCTTAACGGAAGAAAACTCCCCAAGGCTTCGGAGACGGCCATTGGCGAAGAATCCGACTCCGACGTCCCTATCGAACGGAAGCTTGCCATGGAGAAGAAGAGGATTGAACTGAAAGGGGAGAAGGAGGGTCAAAAGTCGACCGCAGCTCCTAAGAAGAAGCCTACCAACGGCGTCAAGAAAGAACTTGTGGATGGTCAGAAGCCTTCTGCTGTCAAGAAGACAGCAACCAAGGTCAAATCGGAGCCAAAGTCAGCGCAATCCACTCCGGTGAAGAAAGGCAGTGCTAAGGCTACCCCGGTCAAGAAAGAGGAAAGCGCTGATGCGGAAGAAGCGGAGGAAGAAGAATACAGATGGTGGGAAGACCCTACAAAGAGTGATGGAACCATCAAGTGGACTACTCTTGAGCACAATGGTGTTGTTTTCCCGCCTCCGTACGAGCCATTGCCCAAGAACGTCAAGATGAAGTATGACGGTGTTCCTGTCACTCTTCATCCTGACGCGGAGGAAGTCGCTGGTTTCTTCGGAAGCATGTTGAACTCCACTCAGCACACGGAGAACCCCACCTTCCAAAAGAACTTCTTCATGGACTTCAAGGACATCCTCAAGAAGACCGGTGGCGCCACTGACCCGAAGGGGAACAAAGTTGACATCAAGGAGTTCAAGAAGTGCGACTTCCAACCGATCTTTGATTACTACGAGGCAAAGCGCATTGAGAAGAGGAACCTCCCCGCAGCCGAGAAGAAGCGCCTCAAGGCCGAAAAGGATGAACAGGAGGCCCCATATATGTACTGTATGTGGGATGGCCGCAAGCAAAAGGTTGGGAACTTCCGCGTCGAACCGCCCTCCCTCTTCCGTGGACGTGGCGAGCATCCCAAGACCGGCCGCGTCAAGGCTCGCGTTCAACCCGAGCAGATCACTATCAATATCGGCAAGGAGGCTCGCGTGCCTCCGCCGCCGGAGGGCCACAAGTGGAAGGAAGTTAAACATGACCAAGAGGGCACATGGCTCGCTATGTGGCAAGAGAACATTAACGGCAACTACAAATATGTCATGCTTGCCGCAAATTCCGATGTCAAGGGCCAGAGCGACTACAAGAAGTTCGAAAAGGCACGTGAGCTGAAGAAGTACATCGGCAAGATTCGCAAAGATTACCAGAAGAACTTGAAGCACGAGTTGATGGTCGAGCGTCAGAAGGCCACCGCGGTCTATCTCATTGACCAATTTGCTCTTCGTGCGGGTAACGAAAAGGGAGAGGATGAGGCCGAGACAGTCGGATGCTGCTCCCTGAAATATGAGAACGTGACCCTGAAGCCGCCCAACAAAGTCGTTTTCGACTTCCTGGGTAAAGACAGTATTCGATTTTACGACGAGGTCGATGTCGACCCCCAGGTTTTCAAGAACCTGAAGATCTTCAAGAAGGCACCCAAGAAGGAGGGTGATGAGATCTTTGATCGGTTAACCACATCTGCTCTCAACAAGCACCTTTCAAACTATATGCCTGGGTTGACAGCGAAGGTGTTTCGTACTTACAACGCCTCCCACACTATGGCCGAGCTTCTCAAGGACATGAAGGCGACCGGTAACATTGCGGAGAAGGTCAAGGCATACAACGATGCGAACCGTAGGGTTGCCATTCTTTGCAACCACAAACGGACTGTCGGTGCTTCTCATGCAAATCAGATGGAGAAGATGAGCGAAAGGGTGAGTCTTCACGTGGAGTACCTCGGTGTAGCATGAAATTGCTAACTGGCCCCTTCTACAGATCAAAGGCTTGCGCTACCAAAGATGGCGACTCAAGCAGCAGATGCTCGACCTGGACCCGAATCTTAAGAAAAAGAAGGGTGCCAAGTTTTTTGAGCTCGATGAGGATATAGACAAGGAGTGGATCAAGGAACACCAGGCGTTCTTGGTCGAGGAGCAACGACAGAAAATTCGGAAGAAGTTTGAGAAGGACAACGAAAAACTCGCAGCAGAGGGCGAGAAGGAGATGAAAGCGAGTGAGCTTGAAGAGCGACTTCAAGTTGCGACCGAACTAGAGAAGAAATATAATAGAGAGAACAAGACCGGCAAGGTGGAGGCGGAGGGCAAGGCTCCGACTGTCGAAAAAATCGAAGCGAATATACAGAAGCTTGAGCAGCGTATTGAGACGATGGAGCTTCAGGCGCAAGACAAAGAAGACAACAAGGAAGTGGCGCTTGGGACGTCCAAGATTGTGAGTTCTTAAATCTCTCTTGGGGGTTGGACCTTGGCTGACATCTCACAGAACTATATAGATCCTCGTCTTACGGTCGTGTTCAGCAAGAAGTTCAACGTCCCCATCGAGAAGTTCTTCTCTAAGGCCTTGCGGGAGAAGTTCGAGTGGGCCATCAAGTCCGTTGACGAGGACTGGGAGTTTTAGGATCACTCTCTCGTCGAGGGTGGCATTTCTTGGTTATGTTTTCTTTAGAGGCTTGTGGCTTTGGTTTGCTTGAATCTTTTGTTCATCTTTCTCAATTTGCTTTCCTCCTTGCCCCTAGCATTGCAATAAAAGCGGCATGCTGTCCTTGCATCTACCATGTACCTTAAACCTTTCCAGCTCAGATGGACATTTCCATCACTTTACTCTTATTGACTGTCTAGCCTCGCTGTATGTTTGGTTCTTGTCTTGTTCTTTGCATTCAAAGTCAAGTGCTTGTTCCTTTTAGAGGGCACAACAGTCAAAAATTCATGCATATATCTGCACACCAATCAATCCATGCTAACCGACGCCTTTTTTTGTATGTAGCCTAGGCTCCAATACTACTGGTGATATTTCTGATAATCTTGTAATGGTGGGCTCGAAGAACTTGCGCCCCGAAGGAAAGACTCCGACATCTCTTCGATTCAGCTTTCTACGGAGTATGGACGTGTTTCCCATTATTCTGCCAGTCGGCTTCAAGTCTTATTCGTCGAGATGCGTGTAAAGTAGGCAGTAACTACCTAGTCCTAGTAACCTATTCACCATCAAGATCATCATAACTTACCACCATCGTAATCAGAGTCAGAATCTCAGAATATTAGCTCCACTTCATAGGTAGCATCTTCATGAATCTCTTGGGTATTCTCCCATTAATTTCCGCGAAATTATCTTTCGAGGTGACTGGGGTTTAGGATCTATGTAGCTGTCTGAAGGGAGGCGGGTGAGGATGGTGCGGAAGCTTTAGCTGCTCTGGATGCTCTGTCACTATGAGTTTAGCGTCCCTGGCCGTCGATTTTGGCCTTCAGGTCGACAACGCAGGGTTTGGGAGAGTGTAAAATGAAAGGAAAAGGAAATAAAAATAAAAATAAAAAAGAAAGACATAGCATGTCCTGGTTTCGATCCAGGGTCCTGTTGTCTGTTAGACTCTGTGTTCGGCTAGTTCAGAAATGCCGGTGTAAACGTACCTCCGGGTTATGAGCCCGGCGCTCTTCCCCTGAGCTAACATGCTGGGTGTGGTGGTAAGTTCGCTTAATTTTACAATATCAAGGAAGGTATGATACCTACCTAAATAGGTCCGGTCCTCCTTGCCTAATGTTACTACGCTCCTAGCGTTCTAATTGTCCATTGGATAGTCTAGTCTATAGGACATTTTGTAAAGTTGATCCTCCGTGTCTAGAAGCATGTGCTTTGACTACTGTGTACTGTCCACACCCACAGCATGACCTACTCTGGTGGATATATATTGATGTCACTTCACCTATATATATATGCATCTATTGCTTGACTCGTTGTTTAGTACTCGCATACTGAATCACCATACTGTTTGCGCAAATTGCCACTACATGCAATTATAGCTCCTTAACCACACCCCGGTAGGCATCTCAGCCCAATATAACATTACCAGCCAACCGATCATACGAAGTTGTCCTGTACCCCAAAGCCGAACAAGGTGGTTGGTTGCTCTGCACATACATCTCAAATACTAGATATGCTGGCTTCCTTCCCTCGGGACTAGGAGAATAGGCGCTCAATCTATCTGGGACTGCCCCCAAGCTCGCATCCCCCGCCAGATCTTTACAGGCGATTTGCCACGAGTATGGCCGCCTAGTTCTGTAAACCCAGGAGGAAGATGCAATCGCATGGGTTAAACCGTCCCTATTAAGAAGAATTCTGGACACAAATAATTGATACTGGTATGCTGCAAACGTGGCAAAGACAAATCCGCTCATTCTGCCCCCAGATATCTCAACGAATTCCGTAGCTCCTTGATAGCTGTGTTGACATCATCAAACGCCAGAGCAGATACCGCCCATCTGGCATGCTTCTGGGCCAAAGCGATGCCCTGATCATCTATCGACTGGGGGTTCGTCTGGCTGGATGACGGTGCTGGAGATATATGCGGTGCAGCGGCAGCAGCAGGGGCATGGGGGCGTGCGGGAGGTGGCATTACAGGAGCGGGAGCGGGAGCAGGCGCAGGGGTAGGCGGCACGCTAGGTTGGTTGTAGAAATCCCTCACATCCTGAGGGGGCATCACAGGACTCTGTGATGGCAAGGTCGATGGTGGCGGGAAGGACTGGAAGGAGGCTGCGGAATGGGAGTCATGCGGAGGGTGAGAGTGGGCTGCACCAATGTCTGCGGGCGTATCTGGGAGTCTGGGGACAGAGGTCGACGAGGATGTGATCGTCGCCGGGGCGGAGGGCAGAGTCAACGGCTCGTCCTGGTCTTCACCCGCGTTCTCGTCCCGGCCCTGCGGCGGCGTAGCATCGAGTCTCGCGGACGGCGCATCGGTAGGGACGGAGGGCACATGTGGTTCGTGGGGAAGCGACGGCGCGGCCTCATCAGACACATCTTCCACCGAAGGTTGTCGTGAACGAGCCGCTTCCTGCGACGCAGACTGCATTACAGCCTGCACCTCCGGATCGTTGTCAGCCGGATTGAGCTCGTCCTCGGGCTCTTTCACGGCCGGGTTCGTCGCGTTGGGATCCTCGCCGGCTTTGAGCGCCTTTGCTATCCTCAGCGCATGGTACTTGGCGAACTTGATCTTGGCTGCGACTTCGGGTTCCGGGGGGTTCCAGATCTGCAGGAGCTCGAGGAAGGTAGCTGCCGCTTGGAACGTATCGGCAGTTTGTCTGTGGTTGACACAGTCAGCCGTAGTGCTCGTTGATCTCCGGGGGAAAATCAGCGGAAACCGACCTCGTCACTTTGTTTGCCCGCATGGTTGCCTCCGCACGACCAAAGACCTCCAGAGCAAACTGCTCCACGTAGGCGCTTGCGGCCACTGCATCAGTCACCGTGTCATTCTCGGGGTTTTCACGCTTGAACTGTGGGCCGTCAGTGTCGACAATTTCCCGTCGGCGACGCACTCCATCGGGCGTACTTTTTCCAATTTATCCACCAGGTTCGTCGTGTACAGCTTGATCTCGTCGTCGGACGTGTGCAGTCCTCGTTCAATTATCTGGTTCACAATGAAGAAATTGCCTGCGGACGGAGGTCTTGTCAGTGCAGATTCAGGGTCAGATCAGGTCCAGCACTCACACCAGTAGGCAACAACCGGCTTGACCGATTCGAGCTGGGCGGCTCGCACGGCAAAGCGGCCAAGGTCGGCTGAGCGCAGACCAGCGGGGATAGAGGTCGCCATGTGGGAAGGAGATTCGATGGGAGGTTTTTGTGAAGAAGCGGGGATGCTGGGGGTGGTGGGGGGTAAACGATGCAGAGGAAGCGGGATGACGTTGAAGCTCGGGAGAGAGTGGTTTTAGGTTGTTATCTTCCGCCCCGAGCAATGCGCTCCACCAGACCCGCCTATCTGAACGAGATCGATGTATACATAGAACAAGGTAGTACCAGGGTACCTGTACATATAATGCAATTGAAGCTGGTATGTTCACTGAGCCCATCTGCCTTAATCTATACTCCATGTAGCACAAATCTACGCATCTTCCACAATCCACTCGCCAATGTCCACCCTCTCCTCCGCCAGCGCTTCCACCTCAAAGTGGTCTTCCACCTGTCCTCCAGGTCCTCCGATCCTCTCAAGGACAACCCAGACGCCACCCTCATCCTCGAGATTTGGTCGTAGATCAAAGTCCTCCACTCGGACTCCCGAGATGGCGTCGCTGTGGTTTCCGTCTTCCGACGTGGCCAATATTTCTTTGTATGGCCCCTGGCCCAGTTCGACCGTCATCAACACCGGGGAAGGCCCAACAGGATGATTGCCGATCACGGACAGTCTGCTCCGAGCGATAAGTTTAATGCGCGTCAACCTTGGAACCTGCAGGGGGGCCAGCATCCGGTCCTTGCCCGGAGGTAGCACGCCAATATCAGAGAGTACCGCCCTTCGTCCAGCAGATTCTGATGGCAGGGGCTTGACCTGACATGGAATAGAGGACGAGACCCAGAGAGTAAAGCGGGCCAGTTGATCAGGGGCAAATGTAGAACAGACAATAGTGTAAGACCCTCTGTCTAGACCACTCTTCTCCGCGAGAGATCCACCACGACGATAGTCGCCGCTATCGGTGATGATGTCGCGGCTCCGCACTCGTGATATGCGGCTACCATTGGACCAGAACAACTTCACGTGGGTCGCCAGCTCCGTGTCGGGGCATTCCAACAGGAGAGATACGTCGGTCTTTTCCGATATCTCTAGGCTGAATTGGGGATTGAGGGGGTACCTGGCGGACTCTGCATTTCCGCCCGCGGTTGAAGGTGTCCAGCTGCCATGTAGCTTCCTCACACACATGAACCTGTTCTGGGCCGGAGATAGGTGAATTGGTGCGGTCGACAAGGCAGACAAAGTGAAGTTCTGACTCAGAGAAGGCAGTGACTGTTCGGAAACCACCACCGTGTACGTCGTTTTGGGAGGCATTTCCAGCCTCATAAGGGTGTTGGGTGAGTCGACGTAGGGTCCGCGATAAAGCGCACCATCGCTCAACGGCACTTTCTTGCCACCTGCATTGAATGCATACAAGCTTATGAACGCTGGATCGCCATGAGCATCGGTGCTCGAGTGATGCTCCATGGTCCGGAAATGCTTGCCAAGTAGCAACCAGACCGTCCCTCCTATTTCAGTGGACAACGCAAACTGAGGGTTCTTGACAAAGCACCCAGCCACTCCTCTTCCCTCTGAGAGATCCCACGTGAAGTGAATATCTTCGCGATATTGGAAGATATTCGGGTTCCAATTCAAATAGAGGTTTTCGAAGTGTTGGAGGATATTGTCGCAGTCCATCCAAAAGGTCCCAGGAGAAAACGACGGTGCATCGTAAGGGGATTCTGAAGTGTGTCTCGGTTCCTCGGGAGTGTTCTCCGCCCCAGCCCATGGGTTCTTTACAAGCATTTGGCGACGGCCTTTGGTTTCCTTCATGTCCAGAATCGCGTAATCATGCTCACTGACGAGTCCGAGCTCGGTCTCCTCCTGTTCGGTTAGCTTCCCAGTGCCTATCGTCAGGAGGACGTCTCCACAATGAAATGCTCTGTACAATCGCTTCCATAGTTGATAGCCGGTCACATCGTCGCTGTGGAGAAAGACTTGTTCCGGGATCCAGCCAGTCAGCACCCACAAGTCGGTGCCAGAATTGCTCCCAGGGAAGTCGTATCCTCCGCGCAGTTTCAAATACGCTTTCTCCACAAGTGCAGGCCACAGGAAATTGGGGTTGTTGCGATCGATCACGTGAAGCGACCTTGACGTTCTGGAAGATGGCAAGCGATCATCTATGACCACTCTCCGGAAGCAGCCGTTGAAGTAAAATCGGAAGATGTATTTCCCAGATGGTGAGGGCTCGGGGGTTTCCCCACGAGGATACACCAATGGGAGGAAATACTATTGCTTCCGTGTTAGATCACAGGTCCATCAAATGAACAAGTAACCATACCTTATCTAGACCACGTTCCAATCTTGACGTGGTAGCACAAAGGCTGGCAACAACGGAGCAGTCGGTTAAGACGTCCTGTACCAGATCCGTCTTCCCCGAAACAGACATGACGGGGGCTGTCGACCCATCGCCAACCTCCGTCGACAGCAGTTCAACGGGGCGTTTCCAGCCATCGAAGATGTTTCTCTGCAGACTGGAAAGATGAAGTTCTGGACGGTCGCTGTTTCGTGTCAGAATGATCAATGTTGGTAAATTGTTTGAATCCCTCCCTCGGACTACTCTACGTACATGAAAGGAGCATCACCCTGCACGAACTCTGACGGATCGGGCGCCCTGGTCCAGGGAGGGAAGATGAACCCATGTAGTTTGGCTCCTTCTAGAAGGATAATCTCTTCACGGGTGGTGAGCTTGCGTGTAGATACCAGAGAGCGGGAAGCCCTGGCTTGACCTCGAGCTGCCGACTGCCAGTCTGTGGCTTCTTTGATTCTCTCCGCTCGATTCAGCCACTCTTTACATTTTGCATCTAGCGATTGTTTGTCTTTTTGGACGGTTGCCAATCTCAGGGCTTTCATGTAATGTTCGGCAGCGTCAATGGCCGCCTCCAGGGCCTGCGCTTGCGAGGTTGCCGATGATACATTGCGTTCCGCTCTCTAACTGGAGGTTAGTGCGAAGATCTCTCGACTAGGAAAAGCATCGACATGTCGGGAGGACTAAAGCAGCTAAGTACCAGAGCCTGGGTAATTAACGTGTTTTGCGTGGCGGCGCTGGGTCGGGACATCGTGCTTGATGCGCGACTGGGATCGTTCCGCAATGATCACTGCCCTGACCTTCCCCCACAACGGCCACCCAACCAGCCTGCGGCGTCAGACAGCGAAAAAAAAGCACCTATCAGAAGACGCAGTCCACAGGATTCCTGTGACCCTTCCGACCGGGCCCGTCAACCGTCCGAGGGTATGACATCCGAGGTCAAGCACCACACCCAATCACGTTGTGGTGGGGGAGTTGGAAGGAATGGGAGAGAAGAACTCAAAGATTAACCCCAAGTGGAAATGATGAATAAATGGGGTAAGCGTCAAAGAGACTAGAAGGGCGACGCAAGGACTTGAAGTTGTCGTGTCGGGGGAGAGAAACGGGAGTGGTGAAGGGAAGAGGAAAGCCGTGTCGGCGGATGGACCTCGGCTCATTTCGTCATGCGCCTCCAAGCGCGCCGAGGTGCTTTTCCACTCCCTGTAGTTAGACTACTACTCTCGGTCTGGCCGCGCGCATTCGATCCTCCTCTTCCTTGCCGATTTCTTTTCGCTAGCTTTCGGTCAGTCTGGTCTGGAGGCCATTGTCTATCTCCTGTGTTTCTCTCTCCTCACTTCCGAACTGGTGGTCCTCCCATTTTCTATTTTTTTCGTCTCTATCAACCTCCGGAGGTATCACCATCTCCTGTTCGGCTTCGCGGACCCCACCCGGAATTTACTCTCCTCCCAATTAATTCCGCTGACATTCCACGCCGAGCCGAGGATTGAACTGCACCATCGTCGACCTACCTTCCTCTCTCCTCCCTCCTGTTCTCCCTCCTCGATCTAAAATACCAGAGAGGTTGCCCGCCTCCGTGTCAAAGATGGCCGGTCAATCGAAACAAGTCCGCCTCTCCCCTTGGGGTAGTGCTGTCGCCGGTGCCACCGGTGCAGTCCTCGCAAATGCCATGGTCTATCCTCTTGACTTGTAGGTGAAAGTGCTCTCCCGTCGCATCATTATACAAGAAGAACGCCCCGGCTAACCAATTGGTTGTCACCCAGGGTCAAGACGAAACTGCAGGTTCAGGTAAAGAAGGCCGCATCGGAGGGCGACGATTCAGATGCCGATCACTACAAGTCAACTTGGGATTGTATTGCCAAGATCGTCGAGAAAGAAGGTGTGGAGGGTCTATACTCGGGAATGGTGGGATCCTTGCTGGGCGTCGCTTCCACCAATTTCGCCTACTTCTACTGGTACTCGGTGGTGAGAACCCTCTATATGTCCTCCAAGTCGGTACCGAAGCCTCCTGGTACGGCTATCGAACTGTCTCTCGGTGCGGTGGCCGGTGCTGTCGCCCAGATCTTCACCATTCCCGTCGCCGTCATCACGACAAGACAGCAAACCCAGCCCAAGGGCGAGAAGAAGGGCTTGATCGACACCGGCCGTGAGGTTGTTGAGAGTGAGGATGGCTGGACTGGTCTGTGGAGAGGTCTCAAGGCCAGTCTGATTCTCGTCGTCAACCCAGCCATCACCTACGGTGCCTACCAGCGCCTGAAGGATATTCTTTTTGCTGGAAAGAACAACCTCAAGCCCTGGGAGGCTTTCCGTAAGTGCCTCGAATCCATCTTACCATTAGGCTCGTCGAACTAACGATACCAGTCCTCGGTGCGCTCTCCAAGGCCATGGCCACAATTGCCACTCAACCTCTGATCGTGGCCAAGGTTGGCCTCCAGTCTCGCCCGCCCCCAGGCCGCGAGGGCAAGCCATTCAAGACCTTTGGTGAGGTCATGCGTTATATAGTTCAGAACGAGGGAATGCTCTCCTTGTTCAAGGGTATTGGACCCCAGATCCTGAAGGGTCTTTTGGTGCAGGGTCTTTTGATGATGACGAAGGAGAGGTATGTTTCTTGATATGCGTGAAGGTTCTATATGGATGTGCTGACAACCTGTAGAATGGAACTCATCTTCATTGTTCTCTTCGCCTACCTGCGCAAACTCAAGGACGAGAAGCTGAAGAAGGCGGTCAACACCGCCGCCTCCTCGGCGAAGACCAGCCTCCCGGCGACTCTGAAATAGACGCTTTTATACCTCTTACCTTATTGTATGGACATATTGCTTCCTTGTTCCTCTGTCGTTCATCTTTCAATGGCGCGTGGGTTGTAGAATCTCTTTGTTGTTTGAATCCACACTACCGGGGTTTGCTCCTGTATAGTTTGCAGCCACAGTGTATAGAGCTTGTCTTCTCAGGCATTGTACTAGGATAGACCCGCACAATACAACGTTCACAGGGTGATCTCTAATATCTGAACAGACCATATTCAGAAATATATAATAAGCGGGTCAACCCCTCGCATAAAAGGAGAATGTATATCGTGCGCTTTGTGAAATGGTAGGCTGGTCAACTATCATGATGTGCCGCCGATATAAGGGACTGACCGCGGACTGACCGCCCGGCCTAACACAATCAACTTGTGGAACATCCACGCCTCCAACCCTCTACCTTCTCCGCACCACCACCACGTTTCGACGGCCTTGCACCCGCCCAAAGAAGCAAAGAGATTATGAGCCGCCATGCGATGGCCGCCATGGGGTTCCGAATCGCAACAAGCCGACACCCCCAGCCCAAGTACTGAGCAACAAGCACAACAACCGCCAACAGCCCCCGCCGCGCGCCCATCGCGCCCAAACAAAGACTGGAACCAGTCCGTCAACGCCTTCGACTGGGCCGCGTTCACGGAACTCCGCACCATCATCCCAACCGCCATCCTCACCACCGCCATCCTGGGCATCGTCCACATCCACCGCCGGTACCTGCGCCGCTTCCCGGACGCCGTGAGCATCGCGCCGTCGTATTTCCGCCAGCGCAGCATCCTCGGCCAGGTCACCAGCGTCGGCGACGGCGACAACTTTCGCCTGTTCCATACGCCCGGCGGCCGGCTGGCCGGGTGGGGCTGGCTGCCGTGGAAGAAGGTGCCGACGTCGAAGAAGGAGTTGAGGGATAAAACCGTGCGTGCCTTCCCTCTTAGTGCTTACCGGGTCTCAGACTCAGACTAACGGTGTGGTGTGACAGGTGCATGTTCGGCTGGCGGGGATCGACGCCCCGGAGCTGGCGCATTTCGGGCGGCCGGCGCAGCCGTTCGCCCGCGAGGCGCACCAGTGGCTGACGGCGTATCTGATGACGCGCCGGGTGCGCGCGTATGTCCATCGCCAGGACCAGTACCAGCGGGTCGTGGCGTCGGTGTATGTGCGCCGGGCGCTGGATTTCCCGCCGTTCCGCCGGCGCGACGTGTCGTATGAGATGTTGCGGCGCGGGCTGGCGACGGTGTACGAGGCCAAGGCTGGGGCGGAGTTTGGGGGGCCCGGCATGGAGCGCAAGTACCGGCGAGCGGAATGGTGGGCGAAGTTCCGAGGGCTTGGGTTGTGGAAAGGGTTTCGGCGGAATAAGGAGTGGGAGAGTCCTAGGGAGTTTAAGACTCGGATGGGGTTGGAAGATCAGACGCAGGGGAGGGAGAATAAGAGTTAGGGTTGATACACTGTTTATAATTTTATGATTGTATGATATCCCACATCGTGATATGAGGTTCATGACTGGTATAGACAAGACATGGAGAATGCTTTCTTTCTGCAATTACCTATTCAAGGATCCAATTTCCAACTCGTGACCCGAAGTTGAACCAAAAAGAAACGAAGTGCCGCCAAGGAACAGGACATCACAAGAACATATAGTACAGAGAAGTATCAAACAGTGGTATCAAGGGACAGATGCGTCAACAGAATCTCCGCTCGATCTCTGCAAAAAGTCTAGGGCTGATCTCGTCGCTCGTGTTGCCCTCCACTCGCCATAGACAGCCTTTTCGCCGGTAATGGTCGATCAGGGCCTTGCTTGTTTCCTCGAACTTGTGGAGCCGCTGTTTCCACGTGTCGATCGAGTCGTCTTCCCTCTGTGTCAGAGGCTCGCCGGTGACATCGTCCTTGCCGGGAACTTTGGGTGCATTGAAGTCGGTGTTGTAGACCCGGCCGGAGGGCTCGTGAATCCAGCGCGAGGCGATCCGGGAGAGAATAACAGACGGCGGCGTGACAAGATGGACGACAAAGTTCACGGGGACGAGGGAATCCAATGTGGAGGCTTGGGTAGCGGTGCGAGGAAAGCCGTCCAGAATGAATGAAGCCGCGGGGGATATCGTCGGGGTTGGCGCGGTGGAGAGCCAGCCCTTGGATCGAAATTCGGCAGATATGAGGTCTAGTATCAGGGAGTCGGGGACGAGATTCCCCGACTGCATGGTCGCTTCGGCTTTGACTCCTGCAGACAAGGGTTGTTAGTCGCGCGGTCATCGTCACCGGAGATATGTTGCTGCATACCCAAAGGCGTCTTATTTCGAACATTTTCTCGCAAGAGGTCCCCGGAACTGATCGAGGCCAACTGCGGGAATTTGGCGAGTAGCCGTTCTGTCTGGGTACCCTTGCCCACGCCGGGGGCGCCGATGAGGATGATTCGCGCGGCCCTCTTGAATTCACGAGTTGCGAATGTCATTGTGTCTTAGTCTAGTGTCTGCGATTGGAGTCTTGGTCGTGCGAAACGATAGATGGAACGTGCGCTGTTGGCGACAGCCAGTCGAAGGTGTGGATAGGTATAGCTTTCCGGATCGAAAGAATGACAGGTAATAACCGGTATTATTGTTTCATGGTGATGATGGTGCAAGAATCCCCAGGTCTTTATTTGCAAGAATGTGCGATGACAGGAGTTGTGTGTCGTCGTGGAGGTGAAGCTGACGGAGTGCACCTGTACTTTATTGCGGCGGTTCTCCGATTCTCCGGAGCTCAACACTTTTTGCCGACTGGGGAAGCACGCGATCCTTGCGTGGGGTTGTAGATGGTGGCTCCTTTAGGAAGTCGGTGAGCGGAGGCCTCGGCGGCTTTTCCGACAGACACACAAAATTGAATGGTTTTAGGAAGCAGCAGAGTAACTATACGGAGTACACTACCTAGGTGTATTAGGAAGAATAGGGTAGAAGTAGTAGTGATTGTACTACACTCCGCACCATTCACATGCGATCTTCTGTCCTAACTACCTCCTACCTTAGTACCTCTACTAAAGTAGGTGGTCCCATCGAGGCCTCGGTAAATTGGTTCTGTTCGTGTCCCGATTGGATGCATAAATCATGTGACCGCGCCGGCGCGCGTCGCGTCGCAGTCGCGAAAACGGATGATGGCGATCCCGTATGAGATGCACTTGAATGATCAACCACAGCAAGACACGCTTTATCTGCACACAACTCACAGAACAGTGTCTGCAAGATGATCCGGCAAGACTTTCACCGAATTGATCCAAAGCGAAGGGCCAACCTTGATCACAAAAAGAAGCAATTCGCTGCCCCCGTCTTCAAGCAACAGGACTATCCTCATCGGTTGAATTTCTACGACGTCCCCCCGACAGCAGAGATCACTCTGGAACAATTTGAACAATGGGCGATCGACCGGTTAAAGGGTATGTCTGCAACGGCACTTTTGCTGGCAATTTCACTAATTGATCATTCGCGTAGTTCTTGCTGAGATCGAGGCCTGCTCTTATCGAAACAAATCCGCTTCCGACACGGAGGACCATATTAAGCCTCTGCTCCAGAAGTACCTTCCTCTGAGTTCCAATACCTCGGCATCATCCGCCGGAGGAGAACAGCGGTTGAAGAATGAGCGTCAGAAAGATCATTACTCACACTTTATTCTCCGCTTGGCGTTCTCGGCTACCGAAGACCTCCGCCGACGATTCGCACGGGCTGAGACAATGCTCTTTCGTTTCCGATTCCAGAGGGATGACTCAAGAGAGAGACGCGCCTTTATTGAAAGCCTCAACCTGGACTGGGAGCCTGTCAGCGAGGAGGAGAGACGGCATCTTGAGGGGGATCTTCTGAGCGCGACGCCAGGCCTCCGCAGCTCCAAGGACGAGTTATGGTATAAGGTCGATTGGGAGAGGGTTCCCGAGTTGGTCGAAAGACGGGCTGTTTTCCTGTCGAAAGGGAAGGCTTATGTTCCGGCGCGGGAGCAGCAGAGTATGATCGTGGCAGAATTCACGAGCCGCTTGGAACGTGCGCTCGAGGTGTGTGTTTCTAATCCTGACATGGATATTTGAAGAGCTGACGATTCGTAGCTCACAAGTCGAGCCCTACCACGACTGGACGAAGACGATCGCCTGACCCCCATCCTCAACCACCTGTCCAAGAATTTCGGTAGTGCTGAGTCGGTGTATTCTGAGGGAGAGGGTTTCGTTGATGGAGCTCCGATCACCGCGAGCAGCATTGATCACCTCTCCCAGCATTTCCCTCTTTGCATGCGCAGTTTACATATGTCCTTGCGCAAGAACAACCATTTGAAGCACTATGGGCGACTTCAGTATACGTTGTTCTTGAAAGGAATCGGCCTGTCGCTCGAAGAATGTATTCTGTTCTGGCGCCAATCGTTCAAAGGCTTCACGGACGACGAATTCAACTCTCGGTACAAGTACAATGTGCGACACGCCTACGGAGATGTTGGTGGTGATGTCAATCGGAGAGGCCGAGGATACCCCCCCTACTCATGCCAGAAGATCCTTAATGATTCGAACCCTGGAGTTGGCCAGACACATGGCTGCCCCTACCGCCATTTTTCTCCCGACAACCTCATCGGGCTGCTCCAGTCCACGGGAGTCCATGACAAGGAGGTGCTACGAGGGGTACGCGAGGATGTCGAAAAGACTCGGTATCACATTGCGTGCAACCGAGTGTTTGAGTGGGCACACAAAGCCGAGATCAAGAAGGTCAAAGAGGATGGAACTTGGAACCAGACCGACCTGGATACCATTGTCCACCCGAACACATATTTCAAGCGCAGCTACCTTCTCAAGCAATTGGGCAAGCCTCCTAGAGAGGCTTGACCGCGCACGCCAAATGGATTGACGAAGTGATGGTCTTGACCGGTGATAGGGTTTGGATTTTTCATTTACCACTTTTTTTGTTCTTTTTGCTTGGTGCGGTCACGCGAGGCGTTTGGTGTTGAGATGTCAGATTACGGTCCAGGCCCAGAGGCACGCATTCAGATTTGAACCGAATTCTGTGAATAGGATATCTACGCTTTTAATGCCATGCTCGCTCCTCTGTAGAGGTCTCTGCCATACGATATTCAAGGACAAGTGTAACCACTGCTGATTCCCGGATTATCCGAAAGGATCGGAACGACCTTTCAAAGCCAGGTGCCCAGCGACGGGTCGAGTTACTCTTCGCTCAACCCCAGGACTGCTTCATCATAGAAGGACGAAAGCTGTCGAAAAATAAGGTGAGGGCTGGCGGAATTAAAACATTTGGAAAAAGAAGAGAAAAGAAAGAAAAGCGGGAGCGGACGGAGAATTTAAAGGGCGGATTTAGTGCGGATTAGGCGGCGAGGGTGGTACGGGAGAGCACAGAGACCCAAGATGCTGCAACCTGGCCTCATGCCTTCTCCAGCTTCACACAACAGTGCTCCTCCTTGATCCCCGCATTAGCTTCCAGACCACAGCTGTTGGCGTTGCCCATTTGGAAGAAGGTGAACGCGACAGGACTGTTCCTACTGAGTCCCTACCTTTGTTCAGTCTTCAATTCATTTCCCCCTGACCTTGTCGTTACTCCCGATTGACCGTGACCCCCGAATCCACTCTTACCGAGTTCCCCCCTTCGTCCTCCCGGCATCATGGACTACGAGGCCTTGAAGGATTACTGGACTGACATTGAGGATCGTGATGGGATCCGGCTCAGTTGGAACAAGTTTCCAAGCTCTCGCATGGTTCGTTCTGGTGGTTGTTTATCCATGTTGTTGTGCTAACTCATCTACAGGAAGCGTCCCGCCTAGTCGTCCCCATTGGCGCTGTTTACACTCCTCTCAAGGAACGCCCCGATGCTCCACTGCTACAGTACGCACCGGTGACCTGCAAGCCGCCCTGCAACGGTGTCCTGAATCCCTATGCGTAAGGAGAACACCCCATTACACTGATGTTTGGGTTGTTGGTGACTGACCGCTACCAGCAACGTTGATGACCGGGCCCGTATTTGGATATGTCCCTTCTGTCTGATGCGCAATCCCCTTCCTCCTCAGTATAAGGATATCAGTGCCACTGTCGTTCCTCCGGAACTTCACCCGCTAAACACTACCATCGAGTATCAACTGCCGCGCGGCCCCCGCCCCGCCCCTCCGCCGCCTATCTTTGTTTATGTCGTCGATACCTGTCAAGAGGAGGACAGCTTGAAGGCTTTGAAAGATGCTTTGGTCGTGAGCTTGTCTCTACTTCCGCCTAATGCGCTGGTGGGCCTGATTACGTTTGGTACTATGGTATGGAGTGCACGATATTCACTGGTAGCGGCTTATATTGACTGGTCTAATAGGCTCAAGTCCACGAGATCGGCTACACCGAGTGTGCCAAGTCCTACGTTTTCCGGGGCAGCAAGGAGTATGCGGCGAAGCAAGTCCAGGAGATGCTTGGTCTCTCCCAAGGCATGCGTCCGGCCATGCCCAACCAACCGCCCCAGGGCCCTCTCGGCCCGGCGGCCCGTTTCCTTCTTCCTGTCCAACAAGCCGAGTTCCAGATCACCAATGTTCTTGAACAGTTGCAGCGTGACCCATGGCCCGTTGCCAACGACAAGCGACCCCTCAGATGCACAGGCGTTGCCCTGGGAGTTGCCGTTGGCCTTCTCGAAACCTCCTTCCAGAACGCCGGTGCCCGCATCATGCTTTTCACCAGCGGTGCAGCCACCGAGGGTCCTGGTCTGGTTGTTGGACATGAGCTCAAGGAACCCATTCGTTCCCACCACGACATTGACCGGGATAACATCAAATATTACAAGAAGGCTGTCAAGGTGAGTTCTCTTATGCCATCCGGCCGATCGACTTTGTAGCTGACGATAGTAGTTTTACGATAACATGGCCAAGCGTGCGGCCCACAACGGACACATTGTTGACATCTTTGCGGGCTGCCTTGACCAGGTCGGTCTTCTGGAAATGAAGAACCTCTCCAACTACACTGGAGGCCACATGCTGCTCACCGACAGCTTCACATCATCGCAGTTCAAACAATCGTTTATCCGAGTCTTCGATAAGGATGCCAACGATAACCTACTAATGGGTTTCAACGCATCCCTTGAAGTTCTGACTACCAAGGAACTGAAGGTTACTGGGCTTATTGGGCATGCTGTGTCCTTGAACAAGAAGTCCAGCTCTGTCGGTGAGACAGAATGCGGAATTGGCAACACATGTGCCTGGAAGATGTGTGGAATCGACCCCGCCTCGAGCTATGGTATTTACTTTGAGGTTGCGAACCAAGGTGGCCCAGCAGCCGTACAGCCAGGTACCCAGAAAGGAGTCATGCAGTTCTTAACATACTACCAACACTCGTCCGGCCATTACCACCTCAGAGTCACGACGGTTGGAAGGGAACTTAGTGGCCCCGCCGGAGACCCTACCCTTGCACAGTCCTTCGACCAGGAAGCTGCTGCAGTGCTGATGGCACGGATCGCAGTCTTCAAGGCGGAGGTAGATGATGGTCCTGATGTCCTCCGATGGGTCGACCGTATGCTCATCAGACTTTGCTCTCGTTTCGCCGACTACCGGAAGGATGATCCGACTTCATTCCGCCTGGAGAAGAACTTCACGCTCTACCCTCAGTTCATGTTCCATCTCCGCAGAAGCCAGTTCTTGCAGGTGTTCAACAATTCCCCCGATGAGACTGCCTTCTACAGGCACGTGCTTAACCACGAGGATGTCGGCGACTCTCTGGTCATGATCCAGCCCACGCTAGATTCATACTCCCTCGAACACGAGGGTAGCCAGCCCGTTCTACTGGACTCGGCTTCCATCCAGCCTACCCACATCCTCCTTCTGGACACATTCTTCCACATTCTAATTTTCCACGGAGAGACCATCGCCGAATGGAGAAAGGCCGGTTATCAGGACCAGGAAGGCTACGAGAACATCAAGGCCCTTCTTGAGCAACCCAAGGAGGATGCTAGAGTGAGAATTCCCTACTTAACAATCTGCAGACTGACAATGGCTGACAAATTCACAACAGGAACTCATTGCGGATCGCTTCCCCCTGCCTCGGTTCATTGTTTGTGATGCCGGTGGTTCTCAAGCCCGTTTCCTTCTGTCCAAGCTTAACCCCTCCACTACCCACACGACGGGAGGCTACGGTGGCGGTGTGACATCGCAGACCATATTCACTGACGATGTGTCGCTGCAGACTTTCATGGATCATTTGATGAAGCTTGCTGTTTCGGGAACTAGCTAGATCGATCTATGAGGTTTAATGCCCATGACGAGAGCAAGGGATGGTATCGAAGGCAATCGTCGGTCTTTTGTATGTTTAGCGGTGATTTGATTTTAGTTTGTTACCCCGCGATACAGTCGGAACATAGTCCCGTTTAGATAAGAATAATCGAATGTTGCAAGACCTGGCTTCAAGATCGAAGGTAGCTAGTTAAGGCAGATGATATGGATTACGTAAGATAAAATTATTCACGTGACACAATGAGCCCTAGCGGCCTTTCCGGAAGGAGAGACTCGCTTAGCTGGAAGTGCGGGCCCGTTAAATAATCTTCCGCAACACCCAAGAACTTCTTTTCCTCTCCTTGTACCAACCAACCCGACAATTCTCCAAGGACGATTGACGACCTTTCGCACTCGCCATGCGTAAGTATCATCTCCTTGGTTACAGTCAAAATGGCGAACTAACGTAACACCCATTGGGCAGCTCCCAAGTTCGACCCCAATGAGGTGAAGGTCATGTAAGTTGAGCTCATTGCTATCGCATCCCGTCAGACTTTCACTAACAATGGTTTTAGTCACCTGCGAGTGACTGGTGGTGAAGTCGGTGCCCAGTCCGCTCTCGCCCCCAAGATCGGTCCTCTCGGTCTGTCCCCCAAGAAGATTGGTGAAGATATTGCCAAGAACACTGGTGACTGGGTAAGCACTCAATACGGTTGCTGCGATGCACGAAAGGAGCAATGGCTAACGTGGACTGTTTCCGCTGTACAGAAGGGTCTCCGTGTGACTGTCAAGCTCACCATCCAGAACCGTCAGGCCGCGGTCTCTGTTGTGCCCTCCGCCTCTTCCCTGGTCATCAAGGCCCTCAAGGAGCCCCCCCGTGACCGCAAGAAGGAGAAGAACATCAAGCACAACAAGTCCATCCCCCTGGACGACATCATCGAGATTGCGCGCACCATGCGCTCTCGTTCCCTCGCCAAGGAGCTCAAGGGTACCGTCCTTGAGATCCTGGGTACCGCTTTCTCCGTCGGCTGCCAGGTTGATGGCCGCAGCCCCAAGGATGTCTCTGACGACGTCAAGGCCGGCGAGATTGATAGTAAGTGGAGTGGTGTGGACGTCTGTCGAACCAACGTGCTAACGGTTTTCTAGTCCCCTCGGAGTAAATGGTTCACATGTCTTGACGGCGGTCGTTGATGTGTATCGGCATGCTAGCTAAGAATATGATCATTACCTTCGAACAAAAACATGTTTACGAGTCATGACCTAAGATTCCCACGTTCCAAAAATGGACACTTGTTTGACTGGATCCCTCTCCATTCCGTTGTTTTTTGTTTTCATCTGTTTGCGAGGTTCACTTGCTGCCCAATGCGAGCCGGATCCCAAGAACATCGTCCTCCCCCTCCAAATGACCTTTGCAACACTCTGGCCCGTACCGTCCCTTCCCGCCTTCGGGCCTGGATTGGACTTTATGCAACGTGGTATAGGCTTATTTTACGCAAAGAAGATCAAACCTCGACCCGCTACTCACCGCGGTATCTTTGAGGGAAGTCTCTGGCTTGCCTCTGTGGATGCAGTGGTCCATCTTTACGGTCAACATCATATTGCTATCTCGCCATTTGGCTTGGTCGTAGTTTGATCGTAGATTAGTGTTAGTTATAATATGATTTGTACTTTTCTCTTCCTATTACGTTCATATTTGAACCCAAGGTACCTTCCGTTTATATCGGCACCTGCCTAATTTCGAAATTCTTTGATTTTTTTTCTTTTTGGCTGATTGTACATGAAGCGAGGGTTCGACAGCATACCACTTTTTAGACCACCATCTCCCCCAAACGTAGATTACCTATTTTAATAGAGAAGACGAGCTGGAGGGGTACTTCTGTTTGTCTCCTGTCCATTACATTTCATCACCTGTCTTCAGTTCTGACGACATTTGACCTATAGTTGTCTACATGCATTCCAACGATGCCTTTCAAATAACTCCCCAGTGTCAAGCCGGTTTGCTTTAATCAAGGGCTAATCAGCGAAACACGTCATGTTGCACAAGGGATCAAGCCCCACGAGTCCTGGGTGTCCTCCGATACTCGCTATTCGGAAGGAAACTGGGAGTGTCAACAGAATATCAATCGTGCAGGCAGGGAGCCCCCTTGTTCTGAGCTACATAGATGTGTTCTACGTTCGAGAAGGCAATTTCTATCATCAGAGGAATGTGTCCGCGGATGTAATGCTTCTCCTACTTGTGGCACAGACATGACTCGCTCAGGTTACGAGTTGAGATTTTGCCATAAGGGTTGACTTTCCTGCTGATCGTGAAAGCAGCGGTCAGCCATCAAGGCAGAATGAAGAAGTAAGGATGTGCGTTGGGATCTGGTCGTTTGCCTGGCTGTCCTCAGCACGGTGAGTCTTGACTATGGCAGACAGGTGTTTATGTCTGCATTGCAACCACATATGAGCGTTTGCTCCCTTACAGAAGCTGCTCTATGTTGGAGCGGGCCTTACCTCCTTGATACTTGACGTGAGCATCTATGGAATCCTTCCAAATGGAGAGAACCGATTCCTGGACCGTTTCCTATCAATGGATGTAGCGTACATGCGACTTGGCCAGAAATTAGCATGACGGATCATCAGTATATTGGGCGAAAAGACAGTCGCGTTGAGGGTTGAGGCCGGTTCATCGGTATTGGTGCAGTTGAGGAGAGGTACATCCGCATTCCATTACTCCAAAATCCTCGTATTCTCACAGTGGAAGACAGATCGTCGTCAGCTCCACAGTCGCAGACGTCTTGACTGTCAATCCTCGGGCGGCCCCGAAATTTGATCAGAGAGCACGCCAAAGCGAGTCAGTTATTTTCACCGTCATTGTCGAGCGTACTCCTCCCTAGACCTCGACCGGATCGTTGCAAATGGCGATCGGCGTGTTGGCGATCTGATAGGGGTAGCTGCGCTAGCCAAGTACTACGGAGTACAGTATTTAGGTAGGTAGAAGGCCTATCAATGGGGAGAGTATACTTGTCTTCTGTCATCTGCCATGGTGGTGCGGCGTGACGCAGTCCGTAGGGGGGGCATGCATGACGATTACCAGTCTAATCAGGAGAGAAATAAACCTGATGAGTCAGATAGGGATGACAGGGACTAGGTACATAGTTACCTATAGACCGTTGGAGCTTTTTTTGCTTGCGTTTTAGGTTAACAACGTGGTCCCTTTGACTTTTTAATCTCGCGAGCTCTTTGCATTTTCTCACTTTGTTTTCTTGTATTTCCCACGCTGTCCGATTCGGGATAGAGGAGTAGAAATAGGAGTACGGAATAGAAGAAAGGAGTTCTACTGTTCTTTAACCAGCCAAGTAAAAAGATCATCTACAGTATGGAGACTGGTGGAGAAGTCAAGCAAAGGTACTCCGTAGAGTTTGCTGATCGTCATGGGCGACGGCTCGTGACAGGCGATGGGGATCGGAGCCGCGGCTGTGCTCAAGGAGAAATAAAGGGGATAGACGTACTTCCCTATACAAGTAGTGGTGGATAGAAAGAAGATTGATGGTGCCTACCAGACCATGGAACGGAACCTTGAAAAGCGGCTGGACTGAAGAGCTGCCAAGGACGGACTGAGACGATGAGTGGATGGAGATGAAACTCGGAGGGGAGGCTCCACCCCGGCGCCGATTTGAGTTGGACCGGTGGGTAGCATTTGATTGTATACGGAGTACGGAATAGTTAGTTACTCTGGAGTACTTCTGATGGTCGCTCTACGGATTAGTCGGTATGGATGTTGGGTACTAGTATGTTCATATATGTAACGATAAATAAGGGACATATATTTTCTCTGTATATATTTACGTGGTATCTTCGATAATATCAAATGGTAATATATCACTCCACTTCCCCGTGCTCTGGGTGCATGGGCTGCAGATGCGCCCACCATTCATCTTCCACTCTGGGGCTGACGACGTGTCTGAGCCTCGTCGACCCCGTCGTCTTGACCCTGTCGGATGGACCGTCGGAGAGATCCTTGAACGTCCATAAATATAATCATACAGATCGTTATGATTATTTCATATCCTACTCTACTCTTATCTTCTACTCCGTAGAGTACTCCGTAGATACCTATCTGGAAGATTCCACCTCAGCTCTCAGACCAGCTCCACTGCATCCACTGCATCCACCGCTCCGCCGACTTCCACCACGGCCGTGTGCTCCCCAGGGCTTGATCAACAGCGGGCGCCACGGGTCCACCGACGTTGAACAGACCTGGATTTGCCCCGGCTAGCGTCTTGGGTCCATCCCAGCCGTTGGATCGGATGGGTGGGACCGAATGTGATAGATTTAAAAAATATATATTTTATTTTTTTTTTTCCCTCCCTAATTAATTCATTGGATTTAATTCCTTTGTTTGATGTTGGAATATCTCCCAAGATCATCTCTTATTATACAAGGATCATCTGGAATGGAGGTGATGCATTCTTCCCTGATTTTCCTCGCTATCCAGTTCCCCGCCAGTTCTGACACCCAGACCTATACCAAGAGAAGAAGAAGAAGAAGAATAGTAATACTACCATTACTCCGTACTGCTAATAACAATAGGTCTATAGTACCGATGTACAAGCAAGCCACATAATCATGTACTCCGTTGGTAGCAGACGACGCCCAAAGCCCCTCCTCCCAACACAGTAATGGTGGTCTCCACTGTCGCCGGCATCATTGGATGGATTCCCGCTGACCCACTGACGGACCCACTCAGGAAGCCCCCCCACTCCCAAAAAGGAACCCCCCCTCCCCTCCACCCCAATTAGGGGAGCTCTAGGCCGACCAGTCGTCAGTCGGCGTTCCGCTGTGTCAATCGCAGTCGTGGATCATACTTTGCTTTGGATTATGGGGATGATGTTTCTTATTATTTCTTTTATTATTATTAGTATGAGTCGTCTCCCGCTCAGCTGTACCGTCGACGGTTCCTGGCGCTTCTTTGGTTTCTTTCTGATTCTGTTGACAGCTACCTACCTAACCGGCAGACTACCTTACCCCAGAACCCTCTCCTCCCTCCCGCGCCCGTGGTCACTTCCACTCCTCCTCCTCTCCTCCTCCGCCCGCCTGTTGCTTCTTCTCCGCCTTCATCATCCGCCCGCCAGGAATCCGAGCCTTCGCGCAGATTGATTGCATGGCCCGAAAAACCAATCTCCTTCCCTAACCGGACACGAAAGCGGTTTCGAAAAAGAAAATCCAACTGACCGACTGGACTCTCCCAAATTTAATCCCTGGAGGGTTTAAGCCCACTGCAGAAATTTGCTCGTCCCCCTCGATCAGCCTGTGACACTTAGACCTAATTCTTAATTCCTCTTCCTAAAGGGATCTTTTGTTTTTCTCTCCCTTCCCACCGTCCTCTGAGTACAACATTTCTGCCAAGAATCCCCTGCTCAGTGATTGATCGCCATTTCGCGGACACCTGCGTCACTGCGGATGCGCTCTCTCACCTCGGACCAGATCCCTTTGCTCCCTTGCTTCGCTTCATTTCTCTCCATTCGCCCAGACGGCAGTCCGCACCGCCGCTCCCGCTTCCACTGCGTGCCTCTTCTTCACCTTTGGAATCCCGTCCTCTCGTGAATGTGAACGCTCTCGTCCACCGCGCCCTCGTCTTCGTCCATCACCACCACCACCACCACCACTACCACCGTCGCCTCCGTCTCGCTCCCCTCTGCAGCGTTTGGTCTTGCTAGCGCCTGCGTTCATGTCGAACCCAGAGTCCAGCCGTGGGGGCTTTCGCTGAAGCGTCAACTGTGCCCGCGCACGTCCAGGATGAGGTGTAGGAAACGATTCAAGGAGGATGCTTGTTGATAACTCAGCGAGAGTGAATGTGCGTGTCTTGAATTGCTGACCGCTCTTGATCTCCTTACCTGTGTTCCTACCACGCCTGATACCCTCTCTCCTTCTCCTTCTTTCGTCCGCGCTATCTGGTCGTCTCGATCCCGTGCATCATCCTTGTCATCTCTACGGTGGGAGGCGGAGAGGTCCAAGCCGTTGCACCCCTTCAGGCCCAAGATGTTACCCTCCGTCGCACCCTTTCCTCCGGTCCAACCACACCATCATATGGACCGTCACCACGATGCCGCCTACGACTACTGGAATCCGATCGCCTTCCCCGCCTCGCTCCCGCCGAAGGACTACGCCAAGGATCCCTACCAATCCATCCCTCGCCGACTCCCATACCTTCCGGTCCAGCGCTTGGACGATCCCACGGGCCATGTTCCCAGCTCGAAACCTGGCGGAGAACATGCGTTGAGGAGGAAAACGCCCAACGGTACCCTCGCAGCGGGATATGATGGGACGCCGGGGGACACCACGCTTCAGCCTGCCAGCAAACACATCCTGGTGTCTCCCCTGGACTCCTCCGGCCGCCTGATGCCACCTCAAGCGGGGTTTGCCGTCGACGGCTGGTCCCAACCGGCCCTGGATCAGTCCGCCGCTTCCAAACACATGAATTTTCCGCCGATGTACAAGAATGAATCCGCCCGAGTCAATACAATGCCCGAGATTCTGCAAGGGCCGAACGGGGCCAGCTGGGTTCGCTCCCTCAACTACAACCCCGGAGTCGACTCCGTACTGAACCAGTCCCTACCAATGCAGCCACCCCAGCAACGACTCTACTGGCCCAACGGAGCGTACGTGCCCACCGTTCTACCGGCGACCCTTCAACCGTGTCTGGGGCCCACCGCGTCCGCGGGGACCGGTCCATACGGCCCGTATTGGCCGGATGGGGCGTATATCCCATATCGTCCTGCAGCGTTTCGAGAACCTCGCTTGAATGGCCCGTCGCCATTTGCCAAACATGTCACGCCTCCGGGGGTCCCCTTCTTCGATACGACACAACAGGCGTTCAAACGGGGTTCAATTTCATCGGCGTCAAATCTGGACGCTAGTCAAGGTTGGCACCCTCCGCCCTTGGGCATGGTCAACCCGGACCCGATCAAGAGCCATTTCCCTCCACGGCATTCGGAGCAGAAGCCCCTGGATGCTTCGCAGCGTGTCCTGCCTTTCCATACGCGTAATGGATCCGGCTTCTCGTCCCACCCGGCACCTCACGAATCGGCCCCGTCATGGTCGGGGCCTGCAAGCGGACCGAGCGTTGGGCCGACGGCCAACTCGCGTGCGGCCAACGTCGAGTTCAAAGAGAAAGTCTTATCGTGGGCCCACGGCGTTTACGTGGACCTGTTGGCATCGATTCACCATGCTCGACGGAATAGTATGTCGCATGGGGGCGACGTTCAAAATGCACGGATCTTGAAACCGAGCATCTATCCTAAACCCCCGCGCCAGCCTGGACTGGACTTCTCCAATTCGAATGGACCGGATGCTACACGCCATAACAGCTACCCTTCCACCCAATATGACCATCACACCAAGGCAACCTTCCAAGGTCATCGCCTTCCCGAACATCCCCCGCCGAATCAATTCCCGCTACAGCCGACGTCCGATGTGCAGATGCTGGATAGGCTACGCCATACAGGGCGATTTACAGCATCTGCCGTCTCTCGCTTCCCAGGTACATCCTTGAACAGTGAGAACACGATGACGAACGCCACCAAAGCTCTTGAAATGCTGTCTCATCTTTGTATGGAGAGTAACTGGGAGTGGATTGACGGATTACTCCTCGGCGGTTGCCTGGCTTACGGTCTAGGTGACTACCAGAAGGCCATGAGATGGTACTCGAGAATCATCGCCCGAGACGCAACGTGAGTGCCCCACGTACCCTAGTGAATGTACTGTTTGCTGACTAGTCTAGACACGTCGAGGCGATCTCCAACTTAGCCGCCACTCTTCTGGCCTTAGACCGACGCGAGGAAGCGTTACACCACTGGCTGCGTGCTGTGAAGCTTCGCCCCAGCTTTTTTGAGGCAGTCGAGCACCTCATTGGCCTGTTGTGCAGCAGCCATCGCGGGAAAGAAGCCGTGAACATCATAGAGTTTGTACAGACGTCGCTACGCCATCCTAAGAATGGAGATTGCTTCGCCTCCGACGAACACGCCAGTGAACCGGAAAGTGACGCTGAAAGCCGATCATCCAGTGCCTCTGATCTGGGGTCCTACGAAAAGGCATCGTTCGACTACGATGATGACCTCGGCCGAACCGTGTCGGCCAACCAGTCCACAGAAACCCCATGTGCGGGTTTCGGCTCGAGTGGTTATGCCATCCCAGGTACCGACAACGGGCGAATGCTTGCTCTCGTACACGCCAAGGGCAACATGCTATACGCTCTCGGTGACAATGTCGGGGCTGCCGCTGCTTTTGAAGATGCAATCCTGATCGCCGGAGGACGAAGACGCCATGGCATTCAAAGTCTGATCAAACGGATCTTTGCCGCCTTCTCCCATGATTCTCACCATCCTGCCCCTGATCAGCATCCCTCGAATGAAACCATCCTACTCTACCCCGATAAAGCCCTGCAGACGTCGAGACTGGTCTTTCCGCCATGTGGAACGCCACCTGGATTCAAATACGTCGCCGAAGGCCTCGCCAGAAAAGCCGCCATCTCCACAACCAGCAATTCGTTGTTGTCTCTGGCGAAGATCTACCAGGATGGAATGTCCAACATCTCATCATCTGGGGTTCCAAGATCCGCACCGGGTGTCCGAGATATCTTGGCTCTGTACTACCTCTCCCTGTCCCTGCAACCAAGTCCGTCGACAGCAAACAATGTTGGGATCTTGCTTGCTGGCATTCAAAACAACTCAGGTAAGGGGATCCCCCGGTCTAGTGGGGAGATGCATCATCCCGAAATCCCCGGCGTGGTCCCTGGTAGTGGCATTTCGTTGGCCCTGGCGTATTACAACTACGGGTTGCATCTCGATGCTCGGCATGCGCACCTGTACACGAATCTGGGTAGTCTTCTCAAGGACATTGGTCAGCTCCAGGCTGCCATCCGCATGTACGAGCAAGCGGTCTCATGCGATGGTAACTTTGACATTGCACTGGCAAATCTGGCAAATGCCGTCAAAGACGCCGGTCGAGTCAACGACGCTATTGCGTATTACAAGCGCGCTGTCAAGGTCAATCCCGAGTTTGCAGAAGCTGTCTGTGGCCTTGCAAACGCTCTCAACTCCGTCTGCAACTGGGTGGGTCGTGGGGGTATCGCCAACGGATATGGATTCCGCGACCGATGGCATGTCACCGAGCAGGGGCTGCTGCACGACGCGTACCGTGCTGATACTAGTACGGGCTGGATCAAACGCGTGGTTGATATTGTGGACCGGCAACTCAAGGAGGGCGAGTCTTGGGGTCGTGGGCTGTTGACCCCGTCTGCGATTGAGCAGCTCTGTGCGCAGCTCAACCCCGCGTTGCAGAGCCGGCGGTTTGGGCCTGATTCCATGGCCACCATTCTGAGATCATGGGCTGGTCAGCGCTGGGAAGGTTCACGGGTTGTCAAGCTTGTCGAACGCGCTACGAGGTCGATCACCTGGCAGTGGTACCAGGATCTCTATGTCTATGGCAAGGAGTATCCGCTGTCCAAATACCGACGACCACAGCTGCCTCCAGGCCTTACTGCGCCTAATGCGCCCACCGTTCTTCCTTTCCATACGTTCACCTGCCCTCTCTCCGCCAAGCAAATTCGCCAGATCTCGCAGCGTAATGGGCTTCGCATCTCCTGTGCGACTATGCGGTCGCCATGGCTCGCTCCTACTGTGTACAAACCGCCCGCGCCTCCTAACCCCTACCTCAAGGTGGGCTACGTCTCGTCGGATTTCAACAACCACCCTCTCGCCCACCTGATGCAGTCTGTATTTGGGCTGCATGATCCCTCGCGGGTGAAAGCCTACTGTTATGCCACGACCGCAAGTGACAAATCGGTCCATCGCCAGCAGATCGAACAGGAAGCCCCAGTGTTCTATGACGCAAGCGGGTGGTCGGTCGATCGACTCGTGAAGCAGATCGTCGCGGACGGCATTCATATCCTCATCAACCTGAACGGTTACACACGTGGTGCCCGCAACGAGGTGTTTGCTGCCCGGCCGGCCCCTATCCACATGTCTTTCATGGGGTTCGCTGGAACACTGGGTGCTGAATGGTGTGACTATATTCTTGCGGATGAGATGTCGATTCCCCCGGAGACTCTGTCCTTGGGTAGACGGAATACACGGATCGAGGACCGACTTCTTGAACAAGATCACGGCGAGGATCTCGAAGACTGGGTGTATGCGGAGAAGATTGTCTTTACCCGTGCCACGTTCTTCTGCTGTGATCACCGACAGAGTGCACCGGATGCAGCAGACCCCCAGCTCTCGTGGGAGCAGGAACAGGAACGACGCTGGCGTATGCGAAAGGAGCTTTTCCCTGATCTCCGTGACGATGCTATCATCCTCGGCAACTTCAATCAGCTATACAAGGTGGGATCCGGCCGAATACGATAGAAGAACCTGACCAAGCTAACGCTGCATCCAGATTGAACCTACCACATTCCGCACCTGGCTGCGGATCCTAGCGCGGATCCCCAACGCCGTACTGTGGCTTCTTCGCTTCCCCGACCTGGGCGAGCAGAATCTCCGTGATACTGCTGTCGCCTGGGCCGGGGAGGAGACCGCCTCGCGGATTATCTTCACAGATGTGGCCCCCAAAAACACACATATCTCTCGGGCGAAGATCCTTGATCTCTTCCTGGATACCCCCGAGTGCAACGCACATACCACTGCGACGGACGTGTTGTGGAGCGGGACCCCCCTCCTGACCTATCCGCGCTACAAATACAAGATGTGCTCGCGCATGGCGAGTAGCATCCTGAGCAGCGCTCTCCCCGACTCGGACGCGGGAAACCAGGCCCGCGAGGAGCTGATTGCTGTCTCGGACGACGACTATGAGAACAAGGCTATCCGACTGTGTATGAGTCAACAGTACGGACCTGGATGCGAGGGACGCGGCCGCGGCCGGCTGTCCGACCTGCGCCAGATGCTGTTCCACGCGAGATGGCGCAACAAGCTGTTTGACACGAAGCGCTGGGTTCGTGATTTGGAAGATGCCTACGAACAAGTTTGGAAACGATGGGTGAATGGCGAAGAAGGTGATATATGGTTATGACGTGCGGTTTGGATATACCCTTTGAGCGTTTTGCATGTGTTTTTCTTCATCATGTATCTTGTTTTATGTAGGTTGGAGATTGGTGGATCTATTTGGTTTCTACTGACCCTGTTTGTTTTTCTTTTTGTCATTTTTGTAATGGATGTACCCTTGCAAAGGGATTATACCTGTCTGCTTTTGCATGCTGGCGTTGGATGTGTGTTGTGGTAGGGTACCGAGGAATGATGAATCTGTCAGGTGCTGTCTGGGTAGGCATGGCGTTGAGTTGGTTGGTCTGACGATAGACGAGTTGAAGGCCAACGCATATATTGTCGTTGTAAATGCATCTCTCAACAGAAGAATTAACACCTTGTCATGATCATGACGCTATACTCGGAGAATATCTACACCTTTAAGTAGAACTACCCCTAACAATAAGCACCTCCGCATGTAGCGGGTGCAGTTAGACTTGGAGGGAACTGTATTCTTACCGGCCTTAAGACGCCAAAGGTATTGATAGTCCATGGAGAGGTCTCTAGCCTAGTATACTGTCATCTCTCCTCTCGAGAGTCGAATTCCGGAATCCTCCAGCGTCATACATTCCTTCGCGCTGCCCCTCCATTGGAAGTAGAGCGCACGCAGTTGCTACATGGCACGCCTCTGTCACATTTGACTCTTCTCTTGCGACAGGCGATGCATGACTTTGCCTTCAAGACTGGCTGGGCGTGGACCAGAGTCGTGGATGCAGAGAGTTGGATGGCGTTATGCGCCAGTATGTCTTCCATTCCTGATTTCCATGCTCAGGAGCATGGGAGATGGGTAACGAGTTGAGTCTCCGGTATGTCTGGCTCTCTTGAGGATGACGTTGTCGGGCCAGGCAAACACGAGGTGGCAGTGTAGATATCACGGGAATCTCGCAATCCTCAGAGGCTTGGCCTGCTTACGGCGCATCGAGTAGAGGGAGATGACTGGTGGATGTGTCAGGTTTCTCGGGCTTGTCTATACATCTGCTGTAGGTGATGTGGTCATGGAAAACAGCGTCGGTTGGATTGGCGCTGTGGAAGAGCCTGGTATAAAAATGAAGAAATCTCCGTTGTACATGTCTCTCTCTGACACAAGTGTATCGCAATGGGCCATATCACTGAGTTAAGCAACCACAATGCTTCGCGACTTCTATACCTCCCTAGGGGTCTGGTATAAGTCCAAACAACACCGATTGCTAGATGCACAGCTAATCAAAGATTGCTCGGACAGACATTCTCGCACCGCTCTGCAAAGCCAACATCATCTACGAAGACTTACATCTTGTGCCCACACTCGCAACAGCGCATGGAGTCAGCATGGGCATCGCCTTTGTCGTGATCTTCCCCCTGGGCGCCATTCTCCTCCGAGTGCCGCCGTCCAAACTCAGCGTCCCCATCCATATCGCATGCCAGGTTCTCGGTGTTGCGCTCATGATTGCCGGCCTTGCGACAGGAATCCGCGTGGGCAAGATCCTCAATCGGGTGGGGATCTTCAAGCTGCTCGTCCTTGCATCCGTTGTCTGACACTGTTCTGCCGCTGCATGATAACGCGCATATCTTTCTAGGGGCAGTCGTGGTGGTCTTCTTCCTCGTCCAGCCGATCATCGGCTTCTACCACCACCGTCGGTTTTGTGCTACGCAGCAATCTTCTCCGTGGGCCTTTGTTTATGTCTGGCTGGGGAGGATAGGTGTACTGCTTGGCATTATTAACGGAGATCTGGGGTTGAAGCTAGCCGCAAACACGCATGTAGGTTTGATCGTGTATGGAGTTTTGGCGGGCGTCTTTGGCGCGGGAAGGCCGGGTTGAAGTTGTGGAAGAAGGAAAAGCAGCCGGAGGTGTCTCAGACGGGGATCTAAGGTGATGTTAACTGTTTAGCGTATGCATGGGTTGAAGACACCCTACAGCCCTTATATGTACATACCGTAGTAGCCGTCCGTCCTCCAATCCAAGACCTCCCTAGCCACGCATAGGAGTTATATCTTGTACAGCTCCCCAAGATAACCAATTGTATTAATTTATAGTGTCACTGTAAAGGCAAACGAATTCTACTCTATTTGCGACAGTGTGATTTACATATCTGCCTTCTGGACCCCCCTCCACTGCCTTTATGTACCATTATTACCACCACCCACCAACACGATGTTATAAAAAACATACAACAGCAGGGATTCGCTGGTGGTCACCCACCCAACTACTAACCTGCCGGCGTGTGGCTTACATGCGGTCAGTAGTCGGGTGGGTGCACCTAAAGGGTGCGAGTTGGTGCGCAATCTTAGCGCTCGCGCGACTAGCACGAGTGCACTATAGACAGGTGCGATTCTCTATGAACACTCACACCCCTAGTGTGATGTTCCTTTGGTGGTGCTAAATAATCTACTTAACGATAAATATGCGATATTTTATTGGCCTTTCGCCCCTCCTTGTGAAACTGTCCGGCACCTTAGTGTATGCACTTCGCCACTGTCCATAATAGGCAGCAAGAATATCTGCGTCTGCCAATAACGAGACGTAGAGCCTCCATTGACTAGTACTGTTTTTGTTAAATACACGTGATTTAGACTAGTGTTAGCGGGCCTGCTAAATTCAATGAGCAGCTTCGTTCAGGAGACGAGATATTGATTACTTCTATATACCGAGTCTTGCATTATGAAGATCGCATTGTTACTTAAGACTACTGATTGTTGTGACACGGACTTGTTATTAAATTCTTAGAGTACGGCAGCAGGTACCGCAGTGAACGATCAGACCCTAGACTACAGAACTTCTAATCGCAAGGTTTACCAGACGCTAATAGAGACTTTGTCTCGCCAGTGTCTGCTGCAGCTACTTCCATCAGTTAAACCTAGCTAGAGAAGAAGTTCGAATAATAAGCAATTGCGGGGTATTTATACCATAACAGGAATACAGAAACGTAGGGAATGGAGAGTAATATATCGGAAAAGTCTATTAAGATATATCGGTATGATAAAGGCTTAATAGTTATGAAAGTAACTGACCTGTCGGGCAGGCGAGAGGCTGGGTATTCAAGTTACATCCTCTGTAGTACGCCTCGTGAACGGAGGAGAAGATATGCCTTATGCATGGCATATCAGTGATCCTTTAATTAAACCTCTCTTTGAGAAATCAATAAGCAAGCACTCTGTGGGTGCATATATAGAGCTTCACGCGAACGTTGGACGTTCTTTCTGGGCTGCTCACTCTTATGATAATAGAAAGGGTTCAGAGGACTCGACCGATCCTCATTCTCATTTGGATATATCTCCTCCAAATCAGGACTTAGGGGCCCGCAGTTCATAAGCAGCTACAAAACCTGCGAGACGACACGACGAGATTACTGGAGCGCCTGGAACAGGCTAAGGCAAGGTTCTAGAATCAGACATAGGCCGACACTGAGTCTCAGGCGGACATGGTCAGGTCAATAGTCCAAGATGCGCAGACTATGATTAAGATGCACCAACGGCTGCTGCCAGCCTAAGTCCCGGGAAGATGTTTTCTGACGGCGGGTGTATGCACGATACACTCGAAATCGACCGGTTGATTTATTATGACTATAAGCAGTCTGACGGCGAAAACCGATCAGCATATTTAGACGCCGCCTGGCTGCTTTACTATGTTCCGCTCGGGTTTCCTCCTTCCCAACAGAACAGGCAATAACCCGTCTCTGACATGCACTGCATGGAAATTCACCATGGCAGCGCTCTTTCCGGGCATGGCATGCATTGCAAGCCTTTCGGGCTCGCGTTGGTGGAGGCTCTCTATCCGGGTGATAAACCCGGATGTGTCGGCGTAAGAGGTCACTAGACTTTATTTAGCTTGCACATTCTCGAAATTCAAAGAAGCAATGTTTATCGTCCCTCCTGGTCAAGGTGTTCGTACAGTACGAGCAACAAAACCTTTCCGCTCGCAAATGGTGTGCCAAATGTCGATTCGGCTGCTCCTTCCGTCGAGATTTTGTGGGATAGTCACACTGGAACGATGAATGATTGGGATCAGGGGCGGCTGTGGTGGCATTATGACATAGAGAACAATTGTTTCGGCTACCGGGTCTGTATGAGACTTGGTCAATCTGAGTAGCAACAGGAAGGATGTGCAGAGTGGCAGATGTGGGCGTGGCTTACAGTATCGGTCTCGGCATCCCACTCAATGGATCGCTGGCCGGTTTCTCAAGATGACAAACAATTTATTTCGCATGATCTATATCTCTTGACGTGACCGGGGGTTTATTAAGCAATGAACAGTAATATTTTAGCTTAATGCGAAAGGATTTTAATGTCTAGAAGCACTAGAAAATTCAAGGATCCCTTAATCTGAAACAGTTCTGGTCACTCGGACCAGGCCAGTTCATGTACAGCATCTGGTCTCTCCCAGTGTGGATCTGCGGCAATAGCACGAAGCAGTAACGGAGACATCAGCGGAGGCTAGAGCAATATCACGTGAGGATTGGATGAATAGAGCCTCTTCGATCTTGCCGCAACGCGTCAAACATTCGCGAAGTCCGTGCAGTCCCCACACGTTGTTAAGTTTTGCCCGACGACGCGGAAAGTCCTTCGCCATACCAAGGTCTTCTCGAAATACCGCTTCTGCTTCATCGACACGGTTTTGTTCGAGCAGCAAGCCGCCCAGGGCATGGCGAACGGGTTGCATCCAAGGTGGCGGATCAGAATATGGAAGTCCATCCTCAAGCTCTATAGCTTGCCGGAGAGTAGAAAAGGCGGTTTCGTAATTCCCTTTGCGATATTCCAGTTCGCCAGTGAGCATTGAGGATGCAACTCGAAGCACATCAACCTCGTTGCACGGTATGCTGTTAAGACGAGAAGTCGGCACGGATGCCCGCGCTGCTTCGAATTCTTTCTGGGTAGCCTCAGCCTCTGTGATTCGACCAAGCGCGCTAAAGGCAAGTCCCCGCGCATAGAGAATGCTCGCTATAGTCACGCAGTACATGGTCCGGTCAGTAGGTAGCGGAAGACGAAGGATCTCCTCCCAACGGCCAAAGCGCACGAGCACATGCGCTTTACTGCCTAGAAAACTCTCTATGTAGTCTGCAATTGGTGGGGTCTTGACAGATAGCAATTTGGCATCAATTACCTCCTCGAGCTTCTCTGCAGCAGACATGGCATCTGTAAAGCGGCCGGACATCATAGCAGCGTACAGTTTTGCGCAGATATAGTGCACTCTATACGCCACATACTGGATGGAAGCACCCTCCCGAGCAAAGTATTTGTCGTCCGCAATAATTGCTTCGTGGTTGGAGTCGACTGAGCGGCGATAGTCGCCAACTGCGGCATCAATGTGCGTCGGCATGTGCAGCATATGAGAACCGTCTGGAACCAGGCGACGTAACCGATCGGCGGCCGGGAGTGCCAACTCCGGGAAAGGAGACATCTCTAACATATGGATATAGAGGTGACACAGAGCCGGATGATCATAACCTTCGGGTCGCTTTAGCGCCAACTCGATTGCTTCTCGAGCCTCGATTGTGTGATCGCCAGTTGGTTTCCCGGTATCCAAATCCCAGAGAGCCCGAGGTGTGATGCACATAAGCGCCTCGGCAAATAAAGCCGCTACATCTGGGTCACGGCCAAAGCGACAATATACAGGGCGCATTGCATTCGCATAAGCATGATCCAAAGAGCTCAGGTCGTCAGGAATGCTGTCGGTGGGTGGGAAGCGCGCAGTAATTGCCTCAATTAACGCTTGCTCAACAGGGCTCGACTGGGTCGCCAACTCAGCAGCTCGGGCTAAAGCATCATTCGCTCTTTCAATCGAAGCCCGAAGATCCTCTTGATCGAAGAACCTCCACGCCTTGTTGTAATTTGGCCCGGCCGCATATGCAATACCCCATAACGCCATCGCACAACTCGGGTCATTTGTAGCAGCTCTCTCAAAGCATCGCTCAGCCTCGCCATGGTTGAACGAATATGACCATATAAGACCGCGGTCGAACCAAAGCTGAGCTCCTTTTGAGCTAGTGGTCACTGGCCGATGGTGAGAGCCAAGGTTGAAGTAGACCACATCGCCAAAACTGGCTGATTTCCTGAGTGGGTGTCAGAAATATATCCGAAGTTTGAAGAATAGCAGGAACTTACAGCATCTTGGTGTAGGTTAAGCAGTTAATACACGAGTGGACAAGTCAATGGTTCGTGATGAACAAAACAGCCTACAGATATCCTCTATACATGTGAGGCCTACCAGCCTTGGTGATGACGTATGCTTACCACTGCTGGTGGGATGCCGAGCGGGATAGCGGGACATTTATCATCCTCTAGGCCAAGTAGTTACATGGTTATCTTACATATCCAACATTAACTATAGCGTAACTGACTGAGTCAGCCACCTTCCCAATTCCTCCAGATCAGGCCGGTGGGATACCGAGGCTGGAGGTAGCGCGATTACGTACGTAGTGGCTGGTTGCACCACTTTTGGTGACGATCCTGGAATCGTTATCTATATACACCAATATTCCTGATCCATCTCTAGTGGTTACGAAGGAATTTTTCACGTTATTTTTCAAATGTCAATTGCCAATTCATCTAAGAATGCGACTAGAGCTCCCAAGAGATATTCTGGGAAGAAGTACGCCAATATCTAGGATGGTACTCTGGGCAATCTGCGTCCCGCTACTTGAAAGTATCGGTGTCCTAGAGCCAGTATTACTCGAGTCGGGGTGAGCATGAGAACTTTTAGAACACTAGGCTGCGCCTTATATCATCTCCACATGTCTCTCATCTTGTTTCATCTTGTCTCGCCGCCAACACGTTCCAGATATGCCATAGAAAGTGACCTCGGCCTCAGGGTTGTTGACATCTAAACTTCGTCCTAAGACGATCGTATCACAAAGCAGGAGAAACGGCCAAGTCATGTATTCCAACCCATCTATCGCTTGGTGATAACCTTCACCAAAGCTTTGATACTAGGGCAACTGTGATAAGCTTCTTACCTAGTACTAAGCAGGGAACCGAGTTGGGTACTGTTAGTGCCAGATGCAACATCACGGCTTCGACTAAACTATATTTTGTATATATATCCTCTAAATATAGAGATCCTACGACATAGCTTGAGTGGCTCGCAGATTATGATGAATGGGACCACAGATGCTGGATCGTATTTCTTACTGCTAGTAGAAACTCCATACGTGTCCATGATGCATGGGCATCTTGCCTCTAAGGTATATAATCAGTCGGTTCGACTGGGGAAAACACTCTTCTTTCTCCTATTACGTGTTCCTGGCGGTGATTCGAACGACAATATCCTGCTTATTCACTATGTCTCTACTTTTCTCGGGTGCTCTCTTTGCTTACATACATAACTAGCTCGATTTTCTTCGATGTTGTTCATTATTTCCTTCATCAATGGTCCACCTCAAGATGGAAAGCCCTACGATGGCTTTCCCAATGTCACCAATACCACCATCTATACTACAACCGAACGTTGAGCTTCAACAATCGATTCCTCTTGCAAAATAACTGGATCGCGCTACCCCTCGAGATGATCTGCCTGTTTATAGGAGGGCTACTGGGCTGGTCCTTCCTCCGATTCTTCAACGCGAAGGACGTCAAATACACTTCATTTGCAACAATCCTTACAGTGCACCTCGTACGGACCTTAGTTGTAATTTGGATGAATGGCCGTGACTCAAACCATATTGAGTATAAGACCGCGCCGAAAGACCCCCATTGGCTGTTTGTTGGACCTCAATTTCACGCACTACATCATGTCCATCCCGATCGCTACATGAGCTCGGTGGTGAAGGTATTTGATTGGGTTGCAGGGACCGCGTATTCCCTACGAAACAAGAATATTGCCATAACAGGGGGCTCGGGGGCATTTGGATCTGCACTCCAAAAGCAGCTACGAGCTGAAGGGGTTAGAAACATACACATGTTGAAGTTTGGTACACACTGGACTCACCATGACTTCAGCCATGTTGGACCGGCCTTCGACAAGGCTGATATCCTTATTTTGGCCCACGGCACCAAAGGCAAGGATGCTATGGATTCGAATTGCAACTCAGCGATCCGTCTGGTTCAACTTTATATGGATCGAAGAGTTCACCGAAAAGACTACAAGAACACAATGCCAGAGATCTGGTACATAGGCAGCGAGGTTGAGCTGCATCCTGCGTTTGGAGCTTCGGATATGCAACGGTATTCTGCCTCGAAACGGGCCTTTTTACCCTACGCCCGGGCCCTGTACGACCATCCAAAGATAATTTATCGCCATATTGTACCTGCTGCCTTCAACTCACCGATGGGAAAAGCTTTTGCTTCCCCGGAATGGGCTGCAGGTGTTATGATGTGGTGGATCCGTCGCGGAGCCTGTTACGTCCCAGTCACCTACACGGGAATCGCATACTTAAATTTTGTGAAGTTTATTGGTTTTGTCCGTCCAGACTTCGACAGGGTTGCATGTATCGACAAAGCGAATTGATAGCGATGGATGACCCTCTGTCATTTGATTACTCGCTTCGACCGATAAGATATTGGATTGCACAACTTCAGGGGCGAGAGAGATCGACGCTTGGTATTGCTGGCTTTACAGATCTTGGCTACAGAAGGGTTCTGACTACTACCTACCTTGTTTTCCCCTCTTGTTCCCAAAAAGAAAAGCTATCGTAGTGAGACTTTTATTCCTAGTATTGTATATTTTATAAAGCAAACGTCGCGACAAGGCCCAAATATTTGTGAAAATTGATGTTTTTGTATTACGGGACAGCATGTGGTTAGAACAGGAGACTGACTCCTTGATCCCTCCCAGTTAATATGCCTCGTAGTCGGCTCACGCATCCATGCCAATGCGAAGCATTCTTCGTTGTAGGCCCTGGAGCTCCTAGTCAAAGTCCTATCTGCGAAAAGTATAAAGAATTGGTACTCTCTGAAGTACGTGGGTGTCTGGACATCGAGACGCACTGCAGTCTTACGTATTCTCAGTCCTAGGAGTAATTATATGTCAACGCAAAACCTTCTAAAAATTTAAGAAAAATATTCCTAAAAACAAAGAAAAAATGAAGAAAAGAAAAAGGAACTCCTGCCCGTTGTTAATGTCACTTTCCCCATTTCTATGCCTTGTATGTAACCACCGATTTGTTAAACCTAACAACAGCTAGGCCGCAACGAATCGTTCGACCTCGGTAATAAGACGGCTGGCCTTGCGAATATTATGCCCGTAGAAGTAAAAAATAACAGGAATTGCGATACACACAGCCTCCACCAGACCAAGAAGAGTGCCAGCCCAGTTCAGACCAAGATTTCCGTACATAGTCGGACCTGCAAGGGGTAGACACGCTCCCATGACACTGCGTACAAACATATTGCCCGCCAGAGCTGATGCCGCGTAGATACCATATGAGCGGGCGAGATAGTTAGAGGCGTAGATAAAGACGCATGCATTCCCAGCGCCAAACGGAAGTCCAGCCAGGATGGGGATGATCCAGTGGACATTTGGTGTACACGTCCAGGAGAACCATAGCTGTCCAACGGCGAGAAGGATCGCACCAAGAGTAACGATACTGACCATAGCCTCTGGTGGTACGTTGCCATCATCAGACTTTCGATGCGAGTTGATGACTTTGCGGAATAATGGCTCACACGCAATGGCTATCAGCACTCCGACACCTATACCGATGAACCCAAGGCCGCCGATTCCTGGTGACCATCCGCGCTCCTGCTGGAAGGCGATCGGATAGGCAACGAAACATAGATAGAGTATGCCGTAGACAAGTGCGACATAGACGTCCCAAAATATACTGCGAAATGGTTAGATCAAATCCTTGGGGCGTGGGAGGGAAATAGTTTCTTACCAGATTGGCTCTGTGAGAAGCATCACAAATGGCCGGCTCATACTTGCTCGCAGGGATAACTTGAAGTCCTGTCCGCCATCATATCGTGTCCACCATTTTGGATTTTGCGTTTCTACTATCCTCTGCTTTGCACGCCGTCTCAGAATCACCGGGGCATAGGTTTCCTTGATAGACGCCAACACGACGATGACGCCACCTCCGATGATGAGCACAATCCAATGTGTCCATCTCCACCCGAGATATTCGTAGACAAAGCCCCCAATAATCGGACCGTAAACAGGTCCGTTGGTAGGGCCAATTGACCAGAAGCCAAATGCCAACGCCCGGTGTTCATCCGATATAATATCATTCACGGACGCGGGTGAGTTCGACATCAGAGCACTTCCAAAGAGCCCACCAAAGAACCTGCTCACAAGGATGGTTTCAATGTTATGCGCCAATGCAGGCGGCAGTAGGAATAGGAGAAAGGCCGTCATTGCGGCAATATAGACTGGCCTCCGACCGACCAGTTCGCTCAGCGGAGCAAACACAACGCCGCCGATAGCCATGCCAAACATGTAAGTTGTGACACCGGCAAGGGCTGCGAGCTTGGAAACACCAAATTCTTTTTGCACCCCAGGTATACCGGATGTGTATAGGGTGCTTGATAGACTGACGACTGTCGTGCTCAGACTCATGACCGCGACGGTCAGACTTTTATACCAAAGTGGCCACAAACGAGGATTTTCAGGGTCGTTGGCTTCCCAATTGACTTCGAACTCAGGAGAATTTTGGATGCTCGGTAATTTGGAGATCACGGGCTCGATGTTTGGTGTACAATAGCCTTCCGCTGCCGGGGTGGAACCTGGAAATAGTTTACTATCGGCTGGTGAGGCCTCCACGTCTTGGGAAGTAAGCATGATAGCTTTATTTGGGAGAGGTAGCAGGACCCTATAGTATTTTTGGGAAGTGGTCCGTACTTACATGGCCAACAAACTACTTATTTATACCCTTTTTCCATCGGGAAAAAAAAAAAAAAAAAAAAAAACCAGGTGGGATGCCGATGAAGCGTTGTATCAGACAATCTACGACCATTTGTCAGTCTGCCTCGTTGGGCTGCTAGTCCGTGATTTTTCCCAGATACAGATTAGTGTTGATTAGATATGCAAGTGGGATAAGTGGGATACCGGTGGCGAACATGTAATAGCTGGCGGGCGTTCATTCATGTATATCTCCAGATCTACTACTCTCCCAGGCGGATCCACATCACGAGGTGGGATGCCGACTTACTCATACTCAAGATAGTGGCCGATGTTCGGTTGCCACAAGCATTTAAGTGGGATATGCTGGGCCAAGGCCACAGCTTTGAAATGAGATTTCTAATCGTCCATCTGAGAGCGAGGTACTTAAACCCCCAATGGTCGCACATTGCGTCCTCGTACTTCATCAATCTCTGATTAAGACATCTCATCTCTTCTTGCATCCTTCGGTGGCCTGGAAAACGAAACACGAGAAATCAAACGCCGTCCAGCACTTTCACGCCTGAACCCCTAACAATGTCGAAGCCGAGTCTTACAATCACCCACATCACTACAGCTACTGCCATTTTGAACGTCGACGGGATCAATTTCCTGACGGACCCATTCTTTGGCTCGGTAGAGGGGACTCAATATGACTCCACCGAAGTTTGGGAGAAAGCGGACCTGAGTATATTTGGCTTGGATAAGATTCCACCACCGCCGCATCTGGTCAACAAACAAGGACCAGCCCTGCGCCTCCATGATCTGCCCCCAATTGATGCAGTCCTGTTGAGCCATGAAGATCACCTCGACAACCTCGACCCCGAAGGCCGCAAACTACTTGACGGCCGGAGAGTCTTCACAACAATGGACGGCGCATCCAACCTTCGCCCTCGTCCTGGCGTTGTTGGTCTGCGTCCCTGGGAAACTGTCACCTCGAGCATCGGCGGAAAGGTCTTTCGGATTACCGGCACCCCGTGCAAGCATTTCCCAGTCGGAGAGGTTACCGGCTTTATCCTGGAGACGGATTCATTTGGGACTCATTCCTCTGGAAAGCCTAATGCGATCTACTTCTCTGGCGACACGGTCTACATTGATGAGCTGCGGGAGATTGGAAAGAAGTGGCATATCACTGCCGCCCTGCTTAACTTGGGCAAGGCTACGTTCAACTTTCCTAACGGCTCGGTGCAGATCACGATGGATGGAGAACAGGCGGTGCAGCTGACTCGTGATATTGGCGCCGACTTTATGATCCCGATCCATTTCGAGTCCTGGAACCACTTCACCGAGGATCGGGAGGATTTGGCAAAGGTGTTCATGCAGGAGAAATTCATGGACAAGGTGGTGTGGACGGTTCCGGGGGTTCCAAAGACGGTGTACTAGTGCTGTTTCTCATGGCCACGGTGCTCATCGGCGCTGTATTATCATGGTTTTTGTGGTTCTCATTGTACTGGGAAATCTTAACAGCAAATTAAGATGTACATTAAGCAGCTTGGCATTGTTGTACTATAAATGTTGGAAAATGCAAGACTTTATTCCACTTAGCTTGTCAACGAATATTGGTGCCCAGTACACCGATGCGAAACAAGCCACCGCCCATTGACTGGAGGCATTTCTGATGTTAGATCTGCCTTGTGGGGCTCATTTCCTTGGGAAGGGCAGTTTGTCATCGCGCATGGCTGAGTGGGATGCAACGAGTGGGATGCCGATAGGGCCGGAAAGTCTAAAGCATTAAACCTCGCCACTGCATGTATTTCTTGCGACAATGTTACCCATATCCCATAGTTCAAAGTCTTTCATACTAGAGAACAAAATGCCACCAAAGTCCTCGGCCGATATCGCCCGTGCGCCGTATCGATGCGACTATCCCGGCTGTAAGGCGGAGTACCGGCGCAAAGAGCATCTGAATCGCCATGCGGCGCATCATTCCCAGGCGGATCCATTTTCGTGCCCATATTGCGAGAGTAGATTGACAAGAAGGTCTGTCTTTGTGTCGATCTCATGTCCAGGAAAATCTTAGCTCATGGATGACCAGTGACCTCTTGCGCCGACATGTCCGGACCTATCACCCAGACAGACAGCCCCCTTCATCTCGGGCCCAGAAAGCTTGTCGCGCATGCCATGAGCGTAAAGAGCGCTGCATTGGTGGCTTTCCATGCACTTCATGTCAAAAACGGGATATAGTCTGCTCTCCAGCGAACGCAAATCCTCCGGGAGCCTGCGCCAAGGACAACAACGTCCAGATGAAACACAGACCTGTCATTCTCGAACCGGGTCCAAAAGCTTCCTTGTCGGATGACCCAAAGACGACAGCTGTCAAACCGCCCCGCTGGATCGCCCATGACTATGTCGATATCTATTTCAAAGAGTTTCACCCGAAATGGCCGTTTCTCCACCGAGGTACGTTCGACTTGTCGACCGAGCCTTGTGTTTTAATCCAATCCATCGCCATGATCGGATTGTGGATGGAAGGGAGTCCAAAATCGCAGGACGCCGCAATGGATTTTCATAATAGCCTGTGCGCTGCAATCCGTTCTCAGATGGTAAGATATTGCGTGACACCACGGAGTACCGACCAACCAGATGATAACATCTTCGATTATATCAGAATCGGTGGCAAATATCGGACATGACACCGCGGGTCTCATGGCCCTTGCCAACGTACCAAAGTATACTACTACAGACCATTTTCGCATTGTTTCGTGCCGGAAAACGAGGAGCGTTTGACCTTGACTTCAGATACCTGATTGAGCCAGACGAGTACGAACTTCTCGTGGCTCTAGTCCAAAGCTGTCGGCTGGGCGGGATTTTCTCTTACCCCAACATGCTCACGCATCACAGCGATATAACAACGCCAGCGCTGCTCTGGGTAAGTGTGGAAGAGACCAAGCGGTTTGGGCTAGCGCTATACAAGGTCTGTCGAATGACTAGTTGTGTGGAGTCAGCGGGTGTGCATGCCGACAGGGACAGAAGTGAGCTTCTAACCCTGGCGGATCTATGTTTTGGATTACCGGATAGTGATGAAGTGTGGAATAGGCCCCCAGGAACAGGAACGGAAGTACTTCAGAAAAAAGCTTCGCAGTCAAAGTTAAGGGATAATCTAGTCCCGACAGGGTGGATTTCTCAATCCTCAAGTGTTCTATACGATGCGGGCATTCTATTTGACTGGATATGACATGTCAGATGAGCCAAAATAATATACTATCATGTGCGCCCCGTTGAGCTTTTCGCCCCGAGTCCAATTAATTGAGCCTTGTCTCTTCTCAAAAGGTGAAAACGACATCGTCTTCACAGTTAATGTAGTGGTCAATGTAGTGTGGTCTTCGCTGTTCGTGTAGTGATATCATCGTGATAAGAAAACTGAAAGTCCAAATCTGCGTAATGATTGGCCACAACACCCTGCCAAATTTCAACCTTCATCCTAGACAGAGAGTCTTACAAGTTTTTAGAAAGTAGCTGTGCATGATGTACAGCGGCATGATGTTCATCCAAAGATGGTTTGGATCACTCACAAGGACTCCACGTAGGGAAGGTTGAATGAGCTGGAAATAGTGATATTGTCAGAATCTAGAAATGCATGGAATATATTTACCAGACGCATCTGATATCTGGTGTGTTCACACTTTTTGTGGACCAGCAACCGCCATTCAGCTTACTTGTATTGTTCCTCCTGTTCTTAAAGCATCATATAATATATTAAGTAATTTAGAAATTCGTGTTATTCGTTCCAGACACTACAGACAAACTGGAAGACATGCTATTGAAGGGCATAAGAAGACTGAGAACCCTTGGGCCTTGTGACTGAAGCTGGGAGAGGGCGGCCTTAGCGAAGGCCTCGGGGAGATGACATGGAAAACAACTCCTTTCACCTGCTGCGCTGGCACTTGTAGTCTGGCACCAGATTATATAATTAAGCCTCCAAGTCCAGCGACTCGAGTTGCGCTTGGTGTTTGAGATCTATGGTTCTGAGTCTGCTGGCCATGCATGGTCTCAGATGCTTCTGCTGCAAGTGGTACAATGCAGTTTCTCGTCTTCCAATCCCAAGCGGAACCACCCTAACAAGCCTTGAAGAGCCGGTAGGCACATCAAACGGACAACCGCTGGGACTCTCGCGAAGGTTCCCTAGCTGACCGAGCGCTCTTCGTGTCTCTGTCATCATGGTCTTATCCGGAGTGGCATGCTTTACTTGCTCCAAGAGGATGGCGAGCTCGCCAGCCTCGTTCAATCACATACTGACCCACTCAGACGGCTGTTGCATCAAAAATCTCCAGAACGCAGCAGCATGGAAATTCTGCTCGATAAAGACATAGTTATATTCCTTTTCGGCGCCATAGTGACTTTAGATCCGTTATAAATGTATCTGCAACGACAAAACCTCTCGATGAAATGTCTTGAAATATTGTATGAATTAACTCTGTCTCTGGAGAGGCTGTTGCTCTTGCGCCTGCTACTCTTAATGGGAAGAAAAATAATACAGGGGCTAGATGTGTGGTCTTTAAAGCGATTTTAGTTATCTGTAGAATTACATTGATATATTTCTAGACGACGGTCTGTGAGATCGTAGGTGTAGGTATTTTGTTGAATTAAGTACGGTAGTCGAAGATTCTAGATAAATAGATAGAGATGCTATAAAAATCTATTATTATAAGAAGAAACTGAGAATTGTATGTAGGCGTACTAGTATCAGCTAACTACTTTTAGAAAATTATATATTAATTACTAAAAGCTAACTAAATAATAAAGTCTTTAGCAGTAAATTTAAGAAGAGTCTTATAAAGCTGTAGACCTGAATAATTAAAGCCTAGTTTAAGCAGGCTCTATACCCTAAGATTAGTTAACTATATAATAATGTATAGAGGGTCTGTAAGAGTACTTGCTAGTAATTTATCAAAAAACAGATAATTATTAGATTAAATAATTATTTCTTTAGATACTAGTTATTGTTAAGATTCTCGGTTTAGATCTTAGTTATACGTAATATCTATTTCAGCCGGCAGAGAAAAGTAGGCTTAGGATATATAAGAGCATGATAAATTTTAAAGATTTGTATAATAAAGAAAAATAACAGCCCGGAGCTAGCTGTATAGGCTTCTAAACCGCGAATTTAAAGTATATTAGATATACTGTAAAGGAAATACTTTACCCAGCCTTTTTTAGTTATATTATGCATCAGCTGAATTAAAAGGATCAATATTAAGCTTCGGGTATATAAAGTACTGTTAACCTACTTCGAATAGCCCTAAGAAAAATGTTGTCTATAAACTGACTTCTCGCGGCAGGCTGTTGCATATAATCTTGGTTTTTAATTTGGTAATTAAGATGTGGTAGGCTGTTAATGCTCCTATAGCTGTATCTTTCTTCTTATCTAGCGGTATAGTAAGCAGTATTTTCCTATTTAAATCAAGCGCATCTAGGGCAATAGATGCGTGATATATGCTGGGAGACCTCTAGAATTCCGATATAATAGTGCCGAGGTCCAGATAGCCGCCAAAGTTATTTTTTGCCAAAAAGCCTGAGAAGAAGTGCCTTATAAATAGGTCGAGCTTCCTTGCGAGACTTTGGCGCAGACTCTACTGGTAATCTAGGGTGAACCCACAGGAAGCCGCCAGGTGTTTTTATTCCTCCACCTGTTGCTTGAGATTCTTGTCTATTATGATTATGTGATATCACGTGCTAGAGATAAAGAGATATATCGCGATTCTCGGTCTTGTTGAAAAAGAGTAGAATACAGTGAAACGGACCTAGCGCCCTGGCTATTTATTATTGCTCTAAATTATTCCTGTCTCCGTGGCAGCCTTCGCCTGCCTTGATAATTCTAAGCACCACTGGTGCGATGCAGTACCCGAAAAGGGGAAGGCTATTGTATTAGTGGTATTTTCTTTGCACCCCTGGTGCTAGAAGCTATAGAGATCGCACCCCTATTACCTGTACTTAGCCTATCTCTTCGTTTTAGAGAAAAATTGGAGCCTAGGGCTTTTTGAGAATTGACCGTACGGTTGCACTTGGGCTTAAGTACGGCTGAGCGGACGGGAAGCCCTGTTTTCCACACCCTATGGTCGTATGTGCTTGTTTCATCTGTCCGTATGTTCCTTGACTGCCACTTCATGTCTGTCCGACTGTGAGCGATACTTTGTGATGTCCGTGTTCTTTGATCGTAAGACCAGCTGAAGTCCTGACTGTTCAGATTCCAGAGATTGATCTTTGCCACTCCAAGCAATCGACGCCCTTGGGACGAAAATCTCTAGCGCACCCTCATAGTCCGGATCCGAATCATCGGTGACCACCGGGCTGACAGAGCGCAGGTCGGGTACTTCGGGCATACCATGTGTCGTTAGTATGCCGTCCACGACCTCGACTGGCACCTGAAGAATTGTAGTGAATATCCCATAGGCAGCGTGGTCTTTGATTTTCAGGGAACTCATTAAGGACTCCGGCAGTTGCGTGGCGTAGCAGATAAGTCTTTCCTTTTCGGCACGAGGAACGAAGATGCTCAATTTGCCATCGAGATATTCCATATGTAGTCTACTGTATGTTTGCAGACTTGTGCTAGAACCGGACAGCGAAGTCAAGGTGCATTTTCCGGCGATATGCTCAGTTTCGTAGACCAATGCCTCGCGGAAGGTGTCGTATATTTCGCGAGCAGCACTTGCGTCTCCGCCGTTGTAGTGGAAAATACATCTTGTCAAGTTTAGCTGTGAGTTACACCAAATGGACTACGAGAAGAAACTCACCTAGAGAAACCTGATGCTCTCTGACGGAAATCCTTTGTGAGATGCGATGAGCTTTGCGAAGGCATTTCTGAGACACTGGTCTCCTTCACTGCACAAATGGAAATAAAGCGGGTTTCGAGTCCCAGAGATTTCAGAAGGGGAGCCAATTCACGGACTTCTGACAGGCAAAACTGGAGCGTTGGCACCTTCCCGTAAAATAGCATAGGCCAGCCGTCTCTATCAATGATGAAGAAATCTGATGTGATGGAGCCCCAGGAGACTTCTTCCTCGGTGTCCTCGATTGGCAAGAATTTGATATCCTTGAGGCGGTTCAAGTCAGACATCGTAAGTTCAAGGTTGTTGATCTGGTAAAGAGTCTCAATAACCTCAGCGGAACTCCCTCCGTGCTTGCAAAGATGCTGTATATGGCTGATATAGCCAAGTACGGAAGGTGGCTCGACCTGGAGCTTCTCAACAAAAAACCTCTCCATCTCTGGATAGAGGTTGCTTATGCCCATCTTGTCTCCGATTGAGAACGATGTCCAGATGCATTCTCCAGGTGCATACCACTGCTTTCGGCCGGGTACGTAGATCATCTTGCCTTGCTGGAAGTGATTCCTAATCATCAAGCCACTGTCAGAGACATTTCGGCACGGGCCTGGGATCTCGACTTACCGCAGGCTCTTCCAGTCGTCTTCGTTTTCTGCATCCTCCATGATAGCCTGGTATATCCTCTGTGTCTTCCCTATTGCATCTACCCCAACAACCTGTAGGTGCATTAATTCGGTAAGATAGGTCCCCCAGTCTGCGTTCTCCACGCAAAGTTTGTCTGAAAAGAGGGCCCGTATTTTCGAGTCACTCGTATATTCCTCATGGGATGCAAGAGCGTGTACAGTCCGTAACCACGAGGGGCCACTCCAGACGCAGTCGCAGAGATGCACTAGCTTCGCACCATCACAGGTGTTTGGGATATAAATGGCCTTCTTGTCCCAGAAATATTGCCTATCTGCGTCAGAACCGAACATCCCATTTTGATAGCGGTCATACCATATGTCGTGATAAGTCCATTCAGACATCGAGCCGTAAATTTCAAAGAAATGCGGTTTGGCCTCCTCCAAGGTCATGGTGGATAACAGTCGATCTTGAATGACCTCTACGAAGGTTGCCGCTCCACCACCAGACACACCGAGCTCTCGGAGGAATCCCCATTCCTGTTCACTATCTGGGCCCCAGCTCCCTGGAAGTTTGAGAAAGTTGATGTTGATAGTGGTGGACACAGCCTCAACCATATAGCAAAACTTTGGGATGGGAAAGTAGCATTCGTCAAGCCTCGCCCCTCCGTTTAACGTTGGGACTTTTGCTTTCTTGATTGCGGATGCAAGGAGTGGTTCTTTGTTGATCTCTTTTCTGTATGTGTCCCAATACCGTCTTAGGACACCAAGAAGAATATCTGGATGGCGGGATATGATCGCATTGAATATGTCGGAAAGCTGTTTAGGGTTGTTCCAGTGTGTCAACCGGGGAGTTCGCCGTATGATCCGTTGGTCTTCCAGCCACATTCTCCACGTATCATGGGGTATGTGTCTTTTGCTCATGGGGTCTGGATTAAGAAAGGTTGGATGTAGCAGAGGAAGGGATTGTTTGAATAACGAGGTCGATGTCAACGTTTTTGCAATGGCTTCCGTTCCGTAGGCACCGTCCGTTTTGAGGTACACATCGACGGGGTGATACCAGCAGGAGGTACTGCATACCAGCCTTCTCAGGCCATGCTCGTCAGCGACCATAACGCAGGGCCTCTCCAGGCTGCTGTTTTTGGCACAGCTGTCATAGACGTAGCGTAGAATGTGCATAGGGTCAGCCATAAGACTCCTAGAGATTGGCGCACTGGAGGTGGAATGGCTGTGCCGGCTAATTTGCCCCATAACAACTTCAGGACAAATACGCCTGACCCCAAGGAGGCTAAAAAGTTCTTCTTGGCCATTTTCCCTGACTGCTTCCTGTGAGACAATCAAAATGTCAAGACATTTCGGAATGTCGTTGCCGTTGGTATCTGTCGAAAAGTAGACATCTTTACGCGCAGAAGCCAGGTCGGCTTCCGACCTTATCAGACTGAGGTCGTTCCCTCGAACCAAAGACCCGTCATTCAATTGAATAAAGGGAATGTTCCTGATCTCGGCAGACAAAGTGCTATCCGGATCCCTCTTTAGCCATGTTAGCAGCAGTCGTGAGATAAGCGGCATCTGTTCCTTTCGGAAGGTGAGATCTGACAGCACGTGAAAACGGTTTGTCAGTATTGGCTTGAGCTTTTCCAAGACTTCATGGTCTGAGATCTCTTGGAGGCCTAGAGGCCTCAAACAATCCAGGTAGGCATTGTATTCCGTGGAAAGGTAATGCTCGTCATCCGACCCTCCGAACAAGGGCTTGTCTTCTGCGTCGTAAAACTCCGGGGACAAGTATGGAAGTGAAGACAGGCTTTTGAGAGCCCCCTTTTGGCTCTGGAAAACAGGGGCCACTCGGAGTTTTTCAAGCAACTCTTGAACTGTCCCACGCCAAGCTGGTGAGACAATGCTCTGTTTGGGAATGTACTGGACCCATTCGTAAGACCAGGGGCGACCTTGACAGAAGGCAATGGCATCACAGAAGGAGCTGATGACACATGTTTTCAATATAGCATTGTCGATGTCGGCGTCCCTCACTGGATGAAACCTCGTCAAGGTTGCACAAACGCCGAACTATAAGATTAGTGACTCACTTGCAGGTGGCATCAATTGAACTGCTTACATTCAGTCTCACTCCAACAATAGGGAAAGCGAATGATCCAACAATGTGGTAAACCTTCTGAAATCCTATGACAGGCCTCGAATCCTCATCGATAGGAAACAATAGCACTGTCTTATCGAACGGCCCTGGCTTGGTTTGCTTGTACAGGAGGAAGCGTTTCGTAACTATTGGCTGAAGACGGGAGAATAATCCAGTTGGTTCCCGAGTTTGGGTAACCTCGGATATGCCGTCACGCAGTTGGACTTTGTGTTCCAGACGCCTTTTTTGGGTCTTGAAAACAAATTTCTTACACATAGGTTGGTGAACGTCATCAGGATCGAGCAGCACGAAACCATTGTATGCAATAGCCTCAAACACATCCACTAATTCATCGAAATCCCGCGACAGAAGAGGGTATAGAACGATCCGGGAGCGGACTCCTTCGGGTAAGGTTGTTGGCTCTTTGTTTACCGGAATTGCAAATCCAAGCCTATCACCGTCGCTTTGGGGCTTAAGGACAAAGGAGAACGGACCGGACTGAACATGGATTTCGCTGGAAATTCTAGCGGTATAGGATAGGACTGCGCCGTACAGGTTGCCGGTGCTGTCGTTGGAAAGGGCATGACGGGCCTCAGAAAGCTCCTTGATATCGCTTTTCTGACACCCATCATCATTCGTTTCGATCACGATACGGTTCCGGGATACATTTAAGGAGAAGTATGCTTCTTTGCCTTCCCTCTCTGCCTGAGTGTAGCGCAAGGAGCGGGCACTGGAGATCAACCGGAACACAACATCTCTTCTAACATCGGGTGTGTCGAGAGGCATCCATAGAGTGCGCTGGCTTGCAAGCTGATTGCGAACGTTTTGCAGTGCTCTGAGAACAGCAGGCGGCGTTGCTGCTCGATCTTCGTCGGTGATGCTACCGTTTTTTTGCGCGATCTTACGCACAATTCGCCGAGCTTTTTCGCTGGTCAACTGCGCCATCTTGTTGGCTGGACGATCTGCGCGAGGTAGAAAAAAGATTGAGATACGTGGAAAAAAATTCTCTCTGACTGATCGCAGTGAGCGCCCCTAAGGGGCTGGAAACCCCGGCGCGTAGTTGTTTGACGTTATTCCCGTTTTGTATTGCGGCGCAGTCAACTTGCATGGGATGTGCATTTGATAAGACGACCCACGAGGCTAGTTTCACATATGCTTGTCAGGCTGAGCTCGCTACGTAGGAGTGAAACTATTGAGGATATTAGTTATGCCGGATTAAAAATATAGTAAGCGCGATTCACATATAGTTCACGTGGTTTTCCCCAACAGCTAACGTGATCCTTAGGCTTTCTATCCAACCAGCAATTGTGAACTCTGCTTTGAAATTTGCTCGAAGAGGTTTATGTGCAGTCGGACGCAAAGTCAGAGGCAACAGTTGTCAGAGTCTTAGTCACCAGTCGTATTGCTTAGCATTGCGGCAAAAGTCAATGGCCTCAAGCCTCTCACGAATCGATGAATACTGGATGCCTCCATTTTTTTCGAGTCGTTCTTGCATTGAGGAGTCTCGTCTCGAGATCCAGCACGGGAAATAGGATTGGATGAGACGGACGTGAGCTTCCTGACGCTGATGCATGATGAGCGCGCGAGACAACAACCTTTGTCAGACTGCCTGGACCGGCAGACGTAGGACAAAGAGCTGCTGAATGAACGCTGGATGAAAGACAGAATTCGACCGGTCAAGCAGTCAAGTTCTTCGCGACGATAAACCATACTGCAGGTTCAGGTCCATCATATACTCTATCTCGCCTTGATACTATCAGCACATGTGCATCCCGCTTCCACGCACTATCAAAGGCTTACCTACGGCGTGGCAAAAACGGCAGTCATTCTCCATAGCCTCAGTAAGTGGTCGCCAACCCAGGGCGCTTTCAGTTCGCCTACGAATTGTAGATTTCCGGTCGGCATGATGGCCGCCACATCTGGTCTCTCGCTGTAGACCTGGACAAGCCATCCGAGTCGGTCAACTTCCTGGAGTCCCTGGTTCCACACACGGACGACTCCAGCACGCGTATTGCGGTGCTGGTTGTGTGGTTCTCCCCGACGTCGAGATCAGGTATCCTCTCTTGTAGGAGGCGTCTGGCGGCTACCGGCGGTTGTGCCATGGTAGATCAACGAACTGGTGTTGCGTGAAGGGATTATGACTCCTGATATTCGTCGGCCCGACTGCTGTCAGAGATACGGTTCTCCCTTTCGAAGCACCCTCCGTCCTATATTGAGTAAGCTTCATAGTTTAACAATACACTTGCTTTCAGCAACACGACATCTAATACCGAACGCAGCGTGCAGGAGACGAATTACTCACCCGATAACCGTTCAACCGGCACAATGTCGTCAACCTCGCCCTCGAGGGCGATCTCGAGCGTATACAATCCTCCAGTAAGAAGTATATACATATAATCGTCGCCATATCGAATTTGGCGAATGAAGTTGAGCAGCCCACGAGGTACATACCCAGCGGAGTCCTTACGATACTCGCGTAAGGCTTGGGGGTTCTCCCACTCGTCGAAAATGAGAGGCCACGTAGCACGCTGGCCTCCGAAGACGTGCTGTGAAGTGGCCGCAGGGTGAAGCAGCGCAAGACGACGCCCCTGGTCGGTCAAGAGAACGTGCTCGCCATAGGAAGACAATAGTTCCTGAACGTTATCAAAGGGTGTGCCCGTCAAGGACGGCGGGATCCTGCTTATGTCGACGATTTCGTGGCTGTCGACAGAGGTGTCTGCGAAAGAACAAGCGCGTACGACATAGGCTTAGATTGAAGACGGCCCATGGCGCGGCGGCAGTGCTTGTAGGGTTTATCCTTTTCGCGTACAATCTCTGTGGGCTAGACCAGGACCGCTTCGCAGTTGACGGTCCTCACAGGCTCAGTGTGGACACAGGAGAACGCGGTGGGCCGGTGCTGTAATATTGCTAATGAAGAAGTCATCCAGGTCCTTGCACACTAGATGGGATGGTCAGTAACGGTCCACGGTGTGAGTAGAGCTGACTGACCAAGGCTTCGACAGTACTTGAACCAGTTCGTCGTTGGATATTGGAACGGTGCAGTTTGAAAAGGTGGTAGTACATGTCTATATAAAGTTGTTCAAAAGCCGAAGAATATAGTCAGCATGACAGGCTATACAGACATTGTACGTATACCCAGGAGATGAAAGGAACAGGAAGCAAGCGAGGACGAAGAGGGCTTATAACCCATCCGATCAAGCCAGATTCACCGTGCAAATTCCCACCGAACAACCGGTGACTACACTACGTGAGGTCTTTCCGACGGGAACACGCAGTGAAAGCGAAGCGCTCCAAACGGGCAACCCTCTAGTAAATGTATACAAACAGATATCTCCAAAACATACAACCGACGCAGGCCCTCCAGCACTGACGTCAGTCTATGCATCTACAAACATAGATTGATAACGCACGTTCGACGCCAGCAGCAATCCCAACCCACTCGTCAGTGCAATTTCCAATCCGGCCGGGAGGGGGACAAGGCCAGCGTAGACGGTTCCACGTCGCTGCTAAGCTCCTTCAGGGTGAGCTGGTCAGGGTCTACACCAGTACCCAGTAGTCATGGATCGAACGAGTGGCCGAGTCTGGGCCCGTTACTACGGGGTACGACCGACATGTCGAACCATAAACCCAACCGACATCCATGATATGACCGTATGACTGAATGACGGGCATCACACCACCGCCAACCGGACACTCCTACCAGAAGCGGAAGGACCGCAGATTTGAGGAGCTGAGCGGCACTACAGCGAGCAGCAGGGCAGGTGAGCGACGGCAGCCGAACACAACGCCCTGCATGGCTCTCAGATCGCGGCCTCGGCAGGAACACCCTGCATGACGGGCGATGACTGGCGGAGGCGCGAAATGAAGGCGGCGGTTCAGCTGGGCTGGGGTCCAGGCTCGCTCGCATTAGCGGAAGATCGCGTTCACGCTGGAGGGTAGGGCGCGGCGAGTCGACTGGCGCTCAGCAGCGCCCGGCACGGGATAAGGTGCCCTACGCGCCAGCCGAAGCGGCCGGTGGAGTCCGTCAGGGAGTGGAGCGGACAGGGATGTATTTGTATTTGTATTTGCACCCGCAGTCGGCTGTCTACCATCGACGGACGTCGACCGTCGACCGCCGACTCGACTCAGGGGGCGTCGAGATACGGAGTACTATACGTTCTAAGACGGCCGGTTGGCGCGACACGATGGATCCAGTCCGATTTTGGACTGGAATTTGGACACGAAGGGGTTTAGGTTTGGGTTTGGCATTGTTCATCGGAGATGGACGGCGGAGGGGCCGGCACGCCAGGTATGCAGGTAGGTCGTACAACGGCATAGCAGGATGAGATCCCTGGCGGCAGTCGCAATAGTGTCGTCGGAACACAGCGATGGCATGCCATGCGAGTCAGGCCGTCATGTTTCGGTAGATCGGGGCTGTGATTGGTATGTTCTTTGGACATTGGCATTGCCTGTTTGTGATAGACACAGGACATAGTGCGCCACCACCACCACCACCATCATCATAATCCATGGGTCGTGGACTACTAGTATTGGGACACCCCGGTCCATATCATCCGTGGAGCGCTCCATAACGTCTCGGTCTGACTGCCAAAAACCGTTGTCGCCAAGCGGAGAGAGGGAAGACAGACGACGGATGATACGGTATGTACAGGTACGAGTAATGGACAGCGACGGAGAATCGGCGGTAAGCAGTGGTAATTCCGGTGCAACGGCTGGTATTTGACAAGTCCACGTGGAAGTGAAGAACGCCTTGAGTGTGAATGGTTTGTGCTTGGGCCTCTACGATGGGGAGACACCATCCTAACTGAGGAAAGACTCCGGTAGAGTTGCGGACTGCAACTCCACCATGACAAATACTGGTCAATAATGATGGGGGCTCGCAGAATGCTCCTGAAAGGGGGAGGTTGTCCAGGCGAGTCAGTGTCTTTCCACCGTGATGGTAGATGAGATGAATTAAATGACAGGTGTTGTAGGCTGTACAAGGGGCCTTGTTCAGCTGCAGGAATGATGGCAAGGCTGTATTGTATGTAATTTACAGCCTGGTATTTCCTGCCGATCACGGGCGGACCGGCAGGCGGGTACCCTATACCCAAAGCAGGCTAGCACCATCATGTGGGTGCTGTCCGAGATCCCCCGAAGGCCAATCATTCCAGGCTGTCTGATCTCAACGTCCTGAATCGATCAAAGGGGTCCACTTGTTCCAGTGGTTACAGATACGGGGTATGGTATTACCTTACTGTATGGAATTTCATCTCAGCTTGACCTAGGTGCCTCCTACCAGGGACTATCAGGATTAGAACCTGGTCATCATGACAAATGTACTTTTGTAGACTCCGAATATGATCATTAATCAACTAAGTACCCCTAACATTACATCTAATCATACGGAGTACAGGACAATGCCCTGTGGCAAGCTAGACCAACTGCATATGCATCAGGCCCGGTCATCACCCGTTTTTCAATTGAACCAACTGTTTTTGGACGGAGAACTCGAGGGAACTCATACCATCTCACATGTCTCAAGCCATCGAATAAAAGGTCCCGGAAATACTGGCCCCGGAGGGTACTTCAGGTGGGCTCCAGCGTCTCCATCTCTCCCTGCAGTCACTCATTAACTCAATCCAGCATATGCAAGATCGATCGAGTTTTCAGCCGTGTACTCCGTAGTCCATAGTCCGGCATGGGACCTGATCCCCCGTCGAGGAGATAGCGGTAGCCAATCCCAATTTTCAGCCCGCGGCCTGGAACCGTGGAATGTCGCCCGAAGGGATGTCCTGAATCGGTTGCAGATCGGAATCCAAACACAGGCAGTCGATAAGAAGTACCCGGGACTCTGGGACGCCCGGTACATGTGCCGACCGGCATTCGAACGGAAGACAACTTAGACAGCTTCAGCTTATATCGGTCACCATGCAATGGTACAGCTCTCAGATGAGACCTCGATCGAACGCCTCGATAAAATTCTCACTCGGAGCCAAGCGATCGATCCACCGCCAGCTGCCGCATATCCGTCGTTAGACTCGGCACGTATGTATGTATTTACCTCGGAGTAGTCTCGCTAGCGCGCAGCCCAAAATTGAGCGTTTGATTCATATTCCGTATGGATTCCATTTCTTCTGGTGACCGCCTCAGCGAAGAATGCCCCATGCCGAAAGAGACAACGCCCCACCGGCTCCCAGTTAATCAACCATCTCGATCTCGAATGACAGTCGGGGAATGCGGCCGGCAGAAGACTCCGGGGAGGTGCCAGTGCCAGTGCCAGTGCAACCGTGGGCTCTCCAGAGCGCGGCCGTTTCACCTCGACACTAGCCTGGCCCTTGGGACTGGGTCACTGGGGACGTTTTGGCGCGCGAGCAGGGATCGCGGGTAGATCATGGCTGGAAGGATTGGAAGGACTCAACACATGCTTCGTATATGTGCAGAGAAGGCAGTGGGTGCTGCTGTTGTGGGTGGGATGGATACGATGGGACGGGTGGTTCCCTGGTTGGCGTGCTTTTACCCAAACGGGTATCGGGTTAGGGTTATCTCCATACTCTGTAGATTGTATGCTACTCTGGACAGTAAGATGGCCATTTATCTGGAACAGTAGTTCATCGGAGTCTCTGTCTGTCACCACTATCCAGAAATTGATAAAGCGGTTATAAATAGGTCGAGATGCGGAGGCTAGATTAATTTATATTAACTGTGGGTGTTTCAACTGTCACTGGAGGTAGTCATACATGAATCAGTTAGTGTGACTGAATATTAATGACATATCTTAAACATTCTATTACTCCGTCTACATTACTTCCACAGTCAGTACCTACGGAGTAAATACCTAAGTACCTAGGTAAGTACCTAATACTCAGATACTCAAAATCACAACGGCCAGGCCCACCAAGTCACATCATCACGATCGATCGGAACGGCCATACGTCACATTGGGTTAGCGAGGGGAAAACCCACGCTAGTCGGACGCTAGCGACCAGTATTCCAAATCAATGGGAAAAAAGAAAAACAGAAATGCAGTGAAAGGGATCGGCGAGCGCTAATCCTATCTTGCGGTCTGTGTGTCTCCCCGCTGTACGGAGTACGAACATCGTTATCACTAACCTCATTAAATCAGTCTCGCATACATACATACATAGGTACCTAGGTAGTAGCTGCATCCATCATACAAAACAATTCAGCCTAATATCGGCTCTTGAACGGCAGCAAGATGCACCCTGGTGGTAACCGTGGGCGGGCGGCCGACCCAACCTTTACGACCCAAGACCGAATATCGAATATTGAATATCGAATATCGAGTATTCATAAGCGAACCACTCTCGGCCTATGACTAGCGATTCATGTCCATACCTGTACGTGCAGGTCTCCGGTACGATTGGGCGTGGTGCCCCGGAATGCAGAGGCAGCCAGTCAGCCCGCGGACAAGAGGTTAGGCGAGTCCCTGGCCTGGCCTCCTTGCCCCTGTCTGCCCAGTCCGAACGGTATGCGGATGACAGACAGACAGACAGAACTGGCTGGATCTGGTGGCGGTTGTGCTGTGGCGAGTCAGGGAATCCATCCCTCCCTGTCTGTCTGCCTGGCTTGGCCGTGTGTCTGTCTGGGACATGAGAGATCGAGTGGATGTGCTGTACGGCGTATCGTTACGGTGGCGAGGGGCTGTTGCTTTCTTTTTCCTATGATTTACAGAGTAGCGTATTTCTTTTGCTATGATCGATGCTATGACGAGAACTCAGAACATCACTCATGAATTATTCCTCCTCCTCCCCACCCACCCTTCCCCTCCCCTACGGACACGAGCGCAGTGGATGACCGGTAAATGAGATGGGCACGCAACACGGTGGGGAGACTGGGCCGTTGGAGCGACAAGCCTGCAGTTCGCCCCGGCAATGGATGGACAGGAGGCATTCTTCAGCCGTTAGTTACTCCGTAGTCGGTCATGAACCACGCAGCCGGACCAAGGGCGAGGGGGGCACATCGTCGCTCGCCTATCATCATTCCGAGCGTTTGGAGCCGTTCCCACCGGCCAGCACAATTCGGTTGATAAACTTTAGGTCTCAACCTTACCTGACAGCCCGTCCCATTTCCCTGTAGTACTAACCGGATGGAATGGAATGCATGAACCATGGATGCCCATTTGATCTATTGTTTATTAAGTATAGTTCAGCTGAATACGTGGTAATAGACCTATCGATCAGGGCATACACCCACAGCCGGTGTGCACGACTCGCACGACTCACACACGGATCTTTCCATGAGTGGACCACTCCTTTATTGAACCTAACTGGGTATGTGGGCGCCCTCCCTTCGGAGGGTCTGGCCCTCCCTTGCGTCTTCCTCGTGAGTCGGCGCCATCTCACTGGGACAACACGACAGCTTGACAGCCAGCCACAACATGCCGGGGATTAGTACGCTGAGGCTGTAAGGTTCGGGCATGCCGGACTGAGACACCCATTCGCCAGGGATGATGGATCCAGGCGCAGGTTGGTCATGGACCAACGGCCGAGTACGGATGCACCGTCATGAAGTGTGGGAGATTATTGTAGTCACATTAACATAACCAGGGGTATTATTAAGTCCAAGCTCACATGTACAGCAACTCCCCCATCCGGAAATCAAAAATCACTCCGTCACTCCGCCTCACTTTTCTATACCACGAATGAACCGTCGAAACCCAAGGCAAATTTCAAATCAAGTGCTGTGCTTTTGGGGAAGCATCCCGAGAAAAGTCCCTTTCTCCTCGTGACCCGACGGGGGAAGAAACACATCCATCAATATACACACATATAAGTACAAAGGAAATTAAGAATTAAATCCAAGGAGTGACGTGGGTCGGGTGCAGATATACAGACGCTTCCAGAACATCATAAGAAAAGTAAAAAAAGAAAACTCGTCGATCGTCAATGCAAGGAACCCGTCATTAGTTCAGGAGGTTGTCCAGGCCCATGCGGGAATCGCGCGTGGACTCGGCCTTGATCTCGGGTCGAGATTCTTCGATCCACGGCTGTGCGTACGCGGGATGGCTCCACGACGGCGCCTCGGCCATCCATCGCGACGGTGATGGATCGGCCAGGGGTTCCAGGGGCTTGGGCGCGGGGTATGATGCGCTGGCGACGTAGATATCGTCCGAGGAGCCCTGGCGACGGAACTCGCCGTACTGGGGCCGGGTGTCGACGGGGAGCGGCAGGAGCTGCGGCGAGGCGACGGTGCGCGGCGAGGCCGACGAGACCGAGTTGTGATCGGAGACCATGGACGGGGGCTCCAGGTTGGAGGCGTCGGAGAAGGCGGGCGAGGTCAGCGGGGTGTCCAGCGGGCGGTTCAGCGCCGGCAGGGTGTAGATGGGGGTGAGTTGACGGGGGCCGTCGACGGAGGCGGTGGAGCACGAGTCGCGGCGGGAGGACGACGACTTGGTCGTCCAGGCTGTGAGGGGGCGGTCGTGGGAGATGGAGAAGCGCGACGACCGGCTGGTCGGGCTGCTCAGCGAGAGGGAGGCGCGGGCGTAGGGCGGCTCGATGCGGCCGTGGTAGGTGCGCGAGGGGGAGCTGGTGCTGGTGCTGGTGCTGGCGGGCAGGCCTCGTCGCTTGCGGTTCATGCTGCCATTCCACCAGTTCTTGACGGCGTTGTCGCTGCGGTTGCCCAGGCGGCGGGCGATTTCGGCCCAACGCTTGCCCATCTCGTTCACCATGCGCTCAATCAGGAGACCCTCCTCGGCGGAGATCGGTTCGCGGTTTAACGAGGGCTTGAGGTTCTGGTGGAAGCGTTCACGGCATTGCTTGGGCGAGCGGTAGTGCATGTGCTGTGAGATGCGCACCCAGTTGTTGGGGCCTTGTTCGCGAACCAACTGAAGGAGCAACTGGTCTTCTTCGGGGACCCAGGGTCCTCGACGATGAGCGGGGGCCATATCTGATGGGAGGATCTGAGACGATTAGTAGGGGGAGGATTGGTTGACAAGAGACAAACTTACAGCGGAAGTTTGGAGGGGAGGAAGGAGGGAAAGAAGTGTAGAAGGTGGTCAAGAGAAGATGTCAATGAGAAGAGAAGGGGAAGAAGGAGAAGAGAGAAGAGGTGTAGATATAGTGTCGGGACGGGGAAGTCAATGGAGGCGGCAGTGAGAGGGAGATTATTATATTATTATAGCAACGGCGGCAGACAATTGACCAAGGAGACGGGTCAGAGAAAAATGGCTGTTGCTCCACACGGCGAGCACGCTATAGAGAAGATCTGATCCAAGATCTCGGAGCTGACAGTTGTCGGAGGAATAATAAATAAAATCATTTATACAAATATTTTAGGGGTAATAAATCATTTTTTATTATTTATTATTTATTTGAAATATTATCATTTTTTGATTTTCATTTTTATTTTTTAGTGGTATTTATGTATTACCGTTCGATACATTACCTGCTTACTCACCACCAGGGCAGACCCCAGCTAACCCTGCCATGCACGGTCGCACCTTGGTACTAGGTACCTACCTATGTAGCACCTACCTAGTTTAGTAGTCTCAAACTACCTACTCCGTACTTACACTCCTCTGCCGTAATCTTCATGTCCTCGTGTCAATTGCACAAAAAAAAAAAATAATAATTATACAGACTCTTACGGAGTACGCTCTATCCGATCCAAGGATCCTGACACACTTCTACCGATCCCGGTGGAGAAGATGGAGCCTCTTCTACAATATCTGCTTTGGGTAAATCCGATCCATCGTAGACAGGGGAATTCGAAGCCATCACATACGTGCACATGGTCCCCGAGGAATAATAAAAATCACAAAATAAGAGGAGAGAAAAAAGAAAAGAGGTAATAATTGGCCTGCTTCCAGATCGTGGGGAGATTTTCCGCTACAGCTGATAGTGGCCTGGCTCTACCAAAGGATCGGTGTTGCAGCAGGGATCTCATCAGTATGACTGCCCGCTGTGTGGAACATCCTTACTTTTGCTTGCTTTTTCTGCTGCTGAGATGCAGCAGCAGCACCGTCACCACCATGATTATTGTGCCAGAGACACCATCCATTGTCGCTAGGTGGAGAGGGGCCGGGCTAACCCGGCCCTCCCTCAGGTTGATACAATGGTCGTACATCGATCGCACCGTGCGAGGCGAGCTCGTCGGATCTGGCTTCGAAACGGGGACGATCGTCGCGCCTCGCTTCTACCTCGCATGCGTCGGCTGGACCTCGTTCTCCTCGTCTCGTCTGCTGGAGTCCTGCAACCGCGGTGGAGACGGTCAGGGGAAGAAGAGGTCGTTCTCCAGTGTACGGAGGAGGAGGGACAAATATAGCATGCGACAAGAAAAATAGATTAATGCTCCAGCTGGCGGCAGAGTAGTTTCTACGGTAGCGATCAACATGATGGTGAGGAGCAAGAAAATAGGTAGTACATTTATGTATTGTGAAAACATGAGGTAAAAGGAATAATGATGCCTCGTTTCCGCCAACGACAGATGCCAGTCAGTTGGCCCATGCTTGTCAGAGTTCAAGCCCTGACAGGAAAACGGGAGCGGCAGAAACGGTCTGGTGAGAGTGTGAGGGCAAAGGAGAGGCCGGGTTTAAGCGGGGTATGAGAAATACTTGGGATTAGTTCGGGTAGACGGGAAAGTAGACGCTCAACCACCCTGGCGGTGCCATCATCACCATCATCACCCGACGTCCTGGACGAGGGGGACGGAGTGTGCCGACCGCATGTCCCTGCAACGACAGCCACGGGCGTGTTCGGGCATAGCAGACAAAGAAAGATGATAGCCATGGGTCTTTGTTTTGCTGCTGTGTAACATTGTTTGGAGGGTGCAAGGTAGATGCTATGACAGATATGTGCTGATTAAGGTTTCACCAGTAGGTGTATACAATACACAATATCAGACATACAGGGTATAAGAGTGAGAGCATGTAGATTCGTACGAAGAATCCTCTGTACCGATGACCGATGAATGGTTCTTGATCGACGGAATATTGAAAGCTGAAAGTATAATAGATTAACGAATAGATTAAAGATGGAGATTCCCCCCCCAGGACACACACAGACGCCTGGAGAACTGGGCCCAAGTGCTCAGCCAGCCATCCACCACGGAGTTGTTCTCCTTGCCATCCAGCACCGCCTGCCAAGCAACCACCACCACCACCTTCCTCCTGATGCGGACTTGTATCCTGATCTCTCCACTGTCCGTGGGCCGTTACCCAGACATGAACCGTTGGTGTGGGGGTTCATGATTGGCGCAGGCGGTCTGGCGCCGTCTGACAATTTGAAATCTTTTGACTTTCATGACCAAGACGGTGCTGATCGACATGAGGATCATCCTACTACAATCGCGAACCTGGGACGGGTACCTTTGCCTCGGTGCCGTGGGTTGTCCATCTTGGATATGATAGTCATGTCCACTTTCAATGACGGACCATATGGAGTAGTAAAGGCACCTGCTTAACGCAAAAAAAAGAGGTAACAATAGTCAGATCAGGTTGGGTGAACGTAACCACAACGGAATTATAATATGCCCACATATAGACATGGATGTGCTGATCGGAGAGATTTCCGAGCTACTGCATGCGAGGAATCACAGCCAGATCGCAGAGTTAGTACTACTCCGTAGGAAGATACTAGTTACTCCGTACCAAGTATAATGATTATCTGCAAATGGTCCAACCAACGCTCCCGGTTGACGGTCCTGACTCACGTCGTGCTGCAGGAACAGCCGGTCTGGGGCCATCCCGTTCGCTTATCCAGCCGAAGAAGAATGACAAATGCTCACCTCCTTTTCATTCACGCCAACTCTGCATTGCAGGAGGGCGACCAGGTCAGCGACCAGCTCGAGGAGTTCGGCGGGATCCGTGCAATCGACCCGACTGGATTCGACTGGGATCATTGTTCACGAATTCCAATAGCATGGGTGACGCGTGGGTTGACCCTGTCACTTGGGACAGCCCTCCCGATCTATCAAGTCAGCTAGTCCGCTAGCCAGCCCGATCGCCAGCCACGACATTGACATTTCCACAGTGGAATCATGGAATCCACGATGGAGGCGTGTGTGTACGGAGTATGGAGGGGTGCGACTATCATGGACTATTGTTCCATGAATCCCCACCGTGACCATCGATCGGGACGATGACATCGGACAACTCGGTCTGATCGTGGTCCCCACGGCGGGCTGATTGGCCCATCAGTCGACCGTCGATGGCATCCTTTCCCCTGGGATCCAAGACTATGGAAAGGGAGTATTAAGCTTCTACCTGTCACACTGGGCGTCATTTTCTTTCCTTCTGCGCCTTCTTCTTCTGTTCGGTGAGGATCAGATCGACCATCGTGCGCTTTTTGCTTTTCTTCCGAGCGGCTATTGCCATCGGTCTGCAGTAGAACCTTCCCTTCGTAGATTTTGTGGATGGAGGATTGCAGGATCGCATCTTGCGTACCTACGATTACGGAGTAACGTATGATCGTATCTCGATACTGGTTTCTTACACAGCGATCATCATCACACTGACTGGGTCCTCTTGGGACGGGCCACGGTGACAAATCCCAGGCACAGCACTGAGCAGGTGGTGGTCCGCACCTGAAGGCCTCGGGTGGATATGCGGCACGGCACTGACAAGCTGTCAGGGACGCTCTAGAAGTTCCATGGGGATGGGCCGTGATGGGGATGGATGATGGATGATGGATAACAGGGCATACCCACGAGGTGGTCCGATTTTGATTTTGGGCCCAACCGTTAAGTGCCAGGCTGTCAAGCCGCCGAACAAGTCAGAAAGCAAAAATCTAATAGATCGGAGTATATGCCGTCGCTTTCTGTGGTTCAGCGATGGAACAAAAGTCAGCCGGAGCACGAACCCCTGAGCCAAACAGAGCTCCGTCGGCACCTTGCCTGTTTAGGTAAGTACGGGGCCTAAGATCCCTCCTTGCGAGTGGATGAAGACGAACCACTGGGTCGCGTTGATTGGTCGCCAAATTAAGGTATTTGTCATTCAGGCCCCGGGCGACTAGTGCCCGTTTCGGTAATGATAGTCGACGTATCGTTGTTGAATCCAGGTGACTGGTACCATCGAATCGATGCGCCTACAGTAGGTACCTACTCTTTACTGTAGTCGATGGATGTACTCTATACAAGACAGCTGCCGCGTCGGATAATACGAAGAATCTGGAAGAATCTTATTCTACTCTACATGCTACCTCATGATTCACTTCGAAACACCATCCCCAGAACCAGCCAATCTCAAAAGTGGCCCCAGCTCAACAGCTCTGATGGGGAACTCGTAGAAGGGTCCATCATATTCCAAATTCCACCGTAGTGGGGAGCAAACCAAGACCAAAAATAAGAAAACACACCTGCATGACCATTTACCTGACATAACCCAAAACCCCCTACTCCTCAAATTGAGGCCAACCCAGACAAACCCACTAGCGAGGCGCTTGCGGTTGTTCCTGAGTCCATCTCCAGAGCGGGGCGCGTGCCTTTCTCAGGGGCCCCAACACTTCTCCGTACGTACAGAGTAGCTCCTAGTAGCACACCCTCCGCGCTATCCCCTGCGGGACGTTGCACAGTCTCGGGGTCCTCGGGGACGAAACGATCTAAACGCTTTGGGCGTGCCCGGCGGCGGCGACGGCGTCAGGAATCAAACGCCCTCCATGTCGTGGGAGTACGAGCATGCCATGTGGACGGGTACTCGCGATCCACACTCGTGGTACGGAGTCTGTACAAACGGAGACATACGGCTTTGCCTGCTGATTGATACCGCAGAGGTACCTAGGAGTATACACGTAAGTACTACGTAGGGGTGGATGGGGTTTGTCGTTACGAGCCCTGTACTGGATCCATGGTGTGACGGGGTGCATCTGGTGAATGTGCTCCTCATGCAGCAGGCACGTTAGGACAGGCTCCGACGATGGCCGAGCCAAAAGAGGAAAAAGGAGCACTCAATTCCTCGCCTTCTGGATTAATTAAGCCCGACGACAGGTCACAATGCCAGTAAACGGTTGCCGACACCGACCGACGTCTAGGAGGTAGGTACATACAGTAGCGTGGGTGGATCATCGTTGAACTGGCTCATCTTTATTTTTTCTTTCTTTTGATTATTTTGTTTTCTTCTCTTTTGTGTGAAAGAAAGACTTCAGACTATTCCGTATTCTACCTGTAGTTCGTATAAATGGATCAGAGCCCACTTTCAAGAAAAAATAAAGAAAAAGCAGAGAAGAAAAGAAGGAAAAAGGAAAAAGAAGGATGGACAGCGCTAGACGAGTTGGGACTAGCGTGGTGGTCCCCGGCGTCCCCTGGGATTGGTACCAATCAGAGACACGGGAAGTATTTGAGATATACCCTGGTCAGTGTGGCTCTTAGCGTGCCGGACGAGGATCATCCTGGTCGATTGCCTAAAATACTGTCGTTATTATTATAATTCCTATATTATTAGGAGTACGAGTATCAAGACTTGGCGAGAGATTGTATGAATTAATATTATTATCAAGACATTTCAGAGACTGGTGGCTGTAAGATACATATAATTCAGACCGCCTTACCATTACTAGTAAATTCTATCACATTAAATCCCTCAGGAAACATGGAACCAGCGGACAAAACGGCAGGTGAGAGGAGATCAGTAGGATGGAAAATCCTCCCACCCGGTTTCATGCGGTGCAACCACCAAAAGGGCAAAGGATGGCCAAGCCGACCAGGGCTGGCCGGGACGGGATGAATGGATGGAGGAAACTTAGAGAGTTAGTGAGTGGAGCGAACGGCGCTCTCGCATCCGCCGCTGTTTCCTGACTGTCGGGCCTCTAATCTGCGAACCAGGGGGCCCGAGCACATGTCACTACGGAGTAGAGAAAGGAGGAAAAAGAAAGCATTCGGATGGGTCATGATCAGTCATTATTCGAGAGAAAAATGGAGAATACATCCATGCTAATACACGACGGCTTTTACATTGTGTTCCTGCGCCGAGGACTGCACTGTCAAACCAAGACACGCATGTAACAGATCGAGCCTTATGTTGTACCTGTACCTAGTCGGTTGGTCATTTGACGTAGTTGTAGGTCCGTGTAGTTGGGAGTGTACTCAAGTATGCCAATATATATATACCCTGTGTATACTTCGTATGTGCATACCCATGTTCACCGTGTAAATATATAACCACAGCATGTAAATCAAACTCGTAGTCGATCAGGAACATACGAATGGCCCCATTTAACTTCCATGGAACGAACCAGATCCCACCCGATCTCTCACAATGCCATCAGAACATGACGTCGCGGTTCCAGCAGAGTGGATGCATGACTGACTGACTGCTGCTTTGTTCTCGGGCTTCATGCTTGTGTTGCCGGGGACCATGTGGTTCCCGATTCGCCCGGCACGTTACCTTACCGCTTTGGGATTTAGGGTAACCTCCCCCCCTCCATCGGGCTGGACGCTCCGGCGGTTTGCTGCAGGGCCACACGGCCTCGTATACGAAACACTATTACTCGATAGTTGGTCCTGGGTCACCCAACGAGGTCCCTGTGTTCCTACTTCTCCTTATGGTCCCCGACCCATCTTCATTTGGCCCCCCTCTCCTCTCCAGTCCCAGATCGAACGACAGCCTCCAATCAGAACCCCCCAGCCCGATTGAATAACAGGAGATAAGCGCTAGCCTGTCGCCATCTCTGTACGCCCTGAGCAGAGGCCAAGTAAGACTGGGGAGGGAGTGCCACTCGCCGGAGCAAACACGACACCACCCGCTGATGGAATCGTTGACATTGTGAGACCTCCTGCGTTGCTCGTCGGTCATTCTGTTCTTTGTGCTCTACGGAGTCGCCGATATGACCGCAGATGCGGACGGTGGTTGTTTCCCAGGGGAAGGGCAGGTCAACGACTGCGATCCTCCGAGGTCCGACGATCCCGTCAATGTATGCATGTATGGATGTATGTGCGACGCTGTCATCATAACCACCATCATCATACAGCAGTCATGGCTGATCAGAGTTTGGCCCACCGACGCCGTTGGAAGCCAAACTGAAATGCTTGCTAGCGCATGTCGTGGCCGTTTTTCGCGCTGTTGTTTGATCTGGTACGCCCGTACTGTACACGATAGCTTACGGGCATCTGAGAGGGCTCGGTCGATGTCCGAGCCGGCCGTCGAGACCAACGGACAGGGTCCGTATGCGCCTGGTCGTAGCCTTGATGAACTGTTGGAGAATGTGAGGGTGAGCCAATCATACGTACAGTCCTAGCGTAGTTATGCGTATCTGATTTGGAGAGATTCTCCTGTTGGTGACCCAGCCCACTCCGTCAAGTATAGATGGAAAAGGTGTGCCAGAAGATATCAGTACTGTATCCACATTGTCGTCCACCAAATCGCTTGCATGGAGGCTGGTCGTAATGCACGATTTGCATTCAGACGTCAAAGCTCGCAGATCTGGTGGGTTCCGGGGCAAGATTCGAACGCCGAACGGTTGCCCGGCTATCATATCAGACAACTCACGCCAACGAAAGACAGACGTACGTATCAAAATATACTTCCATTAGGGACTGGTCCGAGGAGATGCCCTCGCCGGCGGGAAACGGCGCCGACACACTCCACGTTCAGCGCTACTGCCCAACAGCCAGACAGATACATCTCAAAGACAGGCTACGCTCAGCTGGCGACGGAGGCCTCAGCCAGACGCTACGAGTGTGTTGGGCGGCGCCATCAGGCCACGCAGGAGAGCTAATGACCAACGACACCAAGATCTGGACAACCCCCAACCGCAGGATGTGACTGGATCCGGCAAAAGTACGAGGAGCACGCACTAGGATCTAGAAGGGCATGGGATTCGTGTCCTGGAGCCCGTCCGTCCCCAGCGTCGTATTGTGGCAACATCGCCGGCGGCCCCTCTCAGTGGCCGGCGAGCGCATCTCGCAATCCAACTCTGCGTCACGGATGATGCGTTGCAGGGCCGCCATGCTAGTCATGGGTGGATGGACGACACCCAGATCCGTGACCCACCCGCCACCGGGCCTGTCTGGGTGATCTGCTGATGCAGATGGGGTTTGGTCTAGGTATGCTGGACGAGGGAGAGCCATCTAGGCTGAGGGGGAGGGGTGGGTTGGCGTGCCGATTCGTGGAATGTCGAGTGCCTGTGATTATTTTCCAGCCTTTCTTGGAAGGACGAGTGCCTTGCTTGGATGTGAGGTGGCCGGTGGCGATATCAGAGCGTATTGAGTGTATTGTTGTCTTGTCTTGTCACTGCGGGAAAGCTACTGCGGCGCATGTTTCAACAGTAGCATTTTTTGAAACCATGAGAAGGGACAAAGCAGGCCAATCTCAGTCTATCCTTGGGTCACTGGCGCGGCTGGCCCGTCCTGGTCCTGGCTGACAGGATGGCAACGCCTCGACATGGCAAGGAAGATCTCCAGCTCCAGACTCCACCTGAGGGATCCGTCGAGGCGATGGGAAGTTTGAATCCCGATGGCAGGCGTTGAACCAAGAAAGAGAGTGGGAGGGCTGCCAAGGCTATCTAATGGTCGGTTGGCTCCTGTCTTGATAGAACATACCAACGTGCTGATATGCTCATGCTCTTGAGTTGACATGCGATTGACTACGATGGAATACAGATAGCCGAGAAGATGACATCTAGCTGCGCCTATAATACCGTCTCCTGATCCGACTGCTATCAGCATTTGGCGTCTCACTGTCGATCATGATACAGGGCCCCAGAACTATTTCACTAACTAGAGATTCTCGCTAATATAAGCGACTGTATGACAGGCACGCCCAGCAATGGACTACTCGGCCCCATCTGATCTATTGATCAGCAATCGACTCGTCGAGGATCTGACAGAATCCCATTGACACATTCTTCGCGCCGTCCTGTGTCTGGTGGAGAGGAACCACGGAAAGTCTTCCATCCAACCAAAATTCTTTCGAGTCGAATGCAGCAATATGTGGCAGCATTATGGTTGCGATAATACAGACTCTGCTTTATCTCGTATCATCACCGTCTGCACCAGTGACGAGACGCCGGTGGGCAGCTCCACAGTGTAAAACTCTTCCGGCCCATCCGCATCAATATCAACTCACCATCTCCCACTACTGCAACGTCCAGCGGCCATGTCACGACCCTCGCCAGGACTACACCCTGCCACCAATGCTGCTGCAAATACTCCCATATCCGCACAGGACTACGCACACCGCAGACATAACCATCCCAACCAGCAACTAGTGATCGACTAGCACCCCTTAGTGGCGCCCTAGTGACCAGCCCATAGGCCAGTGCACCCCGTCGCAACCCAATCTACCCGGTGGGCGAAACTCAATCGGGGGCCCATTCCTTCAAGAAGAGACCCGGCACTCAGGTAAAGCGCTGAACTTCCCGTCCGTCGACGTGAACTAGTTAGCACCACATTACCCACGTCTGCGCGCCCCCGATTAGGAAGAAAGACGCAGTGATCAGGATCCGTGGGCCCCGAGCCGGTCCCAACGAGCCCTCTCGCCAACCGCACTAGTCCCGTCTCGCTGGGAGGCTCCACGCCCAACAACCGACGGTGACTGTCCGTCCGCATCTCCGGTCCTCGACACAGTGGAGTCGAGAGGAGAAACTGGATCGACTCGGTCATCGCACCAGCTGCTTCGGGGGGGCTCAGAGGTCCCCGAGAGGATCTGACGAGGGGGCGCGGTTCTCCTCTCTCCAGGCGAAACAGCCATGGCTTCAAACAGGATCACGACGGAACAACCCGCGGATCTTGTCTCTGCATGTCTCTCCTTTCCGCCAGATCGCACCACATTGTGTGCAGTGATTTGCCCGGCACTTGGCTCGGACGGCACATGTGGTGGCGTATACGTAACAGCTCGATCACGCCTGCTGCCGCAGCCGGGCTGCTGTTCGCTAGGTGCTACTCCATCACGACCACCCCCACCGTATCCTCTTCCTCCCCCTCTTTGGGTTCTCCGCTGGGAACCGCTCTCGTCCAATGACCGCCACTACTCGCGCTCCAAGGCCCCTTCGCACGGCGGCACAGGGACGCGGGAAGGCAAGCCATGACCCCCGTCGCCGCCCAGCAGGATCAGAGATGTTCAATGGACGGTACTGCTTTGGGCCTGTTCACCCGCGCTCGCAGCGGAGGCGAGGCCCCATGCAGGGGCGCGAGAGGGCTGGGGCTGGGAAAGTGAGGCGGGTGCTGCGTCGGGTGTTCCGAGCCGTCAGAGGGCGAGGTGAAATCTCTGCGGTTTGTTGAGGATGGGCATGGCTGTGCTGGGTCGTGTGGACGGGCGTATGGCTGAGGAGGTTGTCGTGGCTCGACGATAATGTTGTTTGAAGCTGGTGCTGTCTGTGTTGAGGAAGAACCGCCGGGACAGGACTGGGCATGATCGGTTGGCTCGTGCTTAGACTGGTCTAGACTCGGTCTGCTGGATTGGCCATCGTGAGGCCAAAGTCGTACCGTGCGCTATCGTACAGGACTAGATTGCTACTCTCGAAGCGCCCGAGGAATATGGAAGACGCCATATGGGAATCCGCATTGGGCTAACAGTCTACCTGGCTATGCCTATCCTACACCCTCTCGAACACCGGCATCGTCTCGATAGGACACGCAACTTCAACCTCCTGTCCACCAGCGTGTGTCTGGTCCTCGCCCCAGAGTCTCCACGAAGCCCCCTTGGGCAGATATGCGGTGATCTTGCGTTGTCCCGATTCGAGAACTGGAACGACAAGGTACTTGGAGCCGTACAGATACTCCGTCTCGACCTCCCACGCCTTCTTGTCCTCGGGGAACTCGTAGAAGAGTGTCCGAATGACGGGCGAGCCCTTCTCGTGCGCCTCCTTCATCAACCCCCGCGTATAGTCCCTCAACTCCTCGCGAATCCCGATATACTTCTTGCAGATCTCGTACACCTCCTCGCCGTACGACCAGACCTCATTGTTCGATCCGGACGCGGTCGGCTGGCCCTCTGGCTTCGGCTCGCGGTCGCCGTGAAGCCGCATGACCGGGCAGAACGTCCCCCATTGGAACCAGCGCGTGAAGAGCTCACGAAACGCCGGATCATCGGGGTTCCCGCCGTGGAAGCCGCCAATGTCGGTCGTCCACCAGGGAATGCCCGCCAGCCCCATGTTCAGGCCGGCTGCCAGCTGGTTGCGGAACGAGCTCCACGACGACGCGATGTCGCCGCTCCAGACCAGCGCCCCGTACCGCTGGCTGCCGGCCCACGCGCAGCGCAGCAGGTTCACGATGTTCGTCTGGCCCTCCGCCTCCATGCCCTCGTAGAAGCCGCGCGCGTACTCCTTGGGGAAGATGTTCCCGATCTGGAGGTTGCTGCCCGCGTGGTAGCGGTAGATGTCAAAGTCGTAGATGGAGTACTCGGGCTCCGCCTCGTCCAGCCAGAACACCCGGATGCCCTTGTCGTAGTAGTTCTTCTTCGCGCGCGACCACACGAACTGGCGCGATTCCGGGTTCGTGGCGTCAAAGTGCGTGATGTCGCCGTCGCACTGCATGGCAACGCGGACGCCGCGATCGTGCCGGATGAGAAGGCCGCGCTCCAGCATTTCCGGATAGTTCTCCGACTTGTTTTCAACCGTCGGCCAGATGGACACCATCAGCTCGACCTTCATTTCCCGGAGCTCTTTCACCATTGCATCTGTAGGAGCGACGTGTGTTAGCTGTGTTGGGATGTCTTCCGTGGGGACGTACCAGGGTCGGGCCAGAACTCCGGATCGAAGCTCCATTCTCCTTGGTATTTCCAATGGAAGAAGTCAATAACAATCAGGTCGAGCGGGATATTCCGCCGCTTGTACTCTCGCGCCACGTTGAGCAGCTGTTCCTGGTTCCAGTAGCGAAGCTTGCACTGCCAGAACCCCAACCCATACTCGGGCATCATGGGGACATGACCCGTCACGCTGCTGTAAGCCTCCTCGATCTCCGCAGGGCTGTCGCCCGCAACGACCCAATAGTCCAGGCTCTTGGTAGAATACGCCTCAAAGCTCATGGTATTCGTCCCCAGGACGGCGCGCCCAATAGCCGGGTTATTCCACAAGAGCCCGTAGCCCAAAGACGACAGCGCAAAGGGCACGCTGGCCTGCGAATTGCGATGCGCCAGTTCGATATCCGCACCTTTGAGGTTCAGCGACGGCTGCTGGTACTGGCCCATCCCGTAGATCCGCTCCTTGGGGTCCAGCGACTCGAACCGCATCGTGAGATGGAAGTCGCCGCCCAGAATCGGACGCAGCTCGCGCGCCTCGACCTCTAGCGCACTGCATTTGGGGTCTGTCAAGTCGCGGCGGTGGCGCGCATACTCCTCGAGCAGTTTGTTTCCCTTCGAGTCGTAGATGATGATCTTCCCGCGCTGTGAGACCACTGCCTTGATCTTGCCGTTGCTGATGCTTGCTTCTTTGCCGGCTGGGGTCTCGATCGCGGCGCGTTTTGTCGTCGGCTTGGTGCAGAGCGCCCAGTCTTGTTCGGGCATGGATGCTAGCTTTGTGGCGCGGACTCGCAGTGCATTTTCGCCCCAGGGTTGGATCCAGAGCAGGTGGTCGTCGAAACGGAAGATAAGCTTGTCGTCCTCGGCGTATAGCATGATGGATTAGTGGGTTTCGTACGGGATTCGGCGGTAAGGGTAGTCAGTTTGACAGTCAATTCGTTGAATAATCGCACTGGTTGAAGAATGGGGTGAGGAGGCGAAAGGCTTTCTTTCATATGGCGGTAGTACCGCAAGTCACGACATGGATTGCACGCCATGTCATTGCTTCCCCTCATGGGCCCCTCAGGTACTCCAACTCATGCTGCGTAGTGGATTCAACGCGATCATAGCAATCACAGCCGTGGAACGGGCGCCAGCATCGTCGGTCCAAATCCGAAGGGCAGTCAGCGTGTCCAATAATGGATGGACAAACCCGTCAATTCATTCCTTTCATCTCGTGTCTTGACGTAACTTGCCAATATGGATCCCGAGAGGAGCATATTAGCCGGCGGAAAGACCCTGTTAGGTTTGGCATGGGAGTATAGCCTAAATGGCAACGCCAAACCATATCTGAATGCGGGGACAGAGCGATCTCTGGTGTCAGATAACAGCACCGGGACAACCCCAGATCAGGTTATGTCGCTATGGACGGGAAATCTATGACCGAGTGCTGTCCACTTCAGGTCTAAACCGACGATTTGACGCGGAGGATGCTCTTGGCGATATCAGCGCCTTCCCGTTGTCAGGCATGATCATCCACGGAGTAGCATCGTGATGCCATAACAGTCCCTTCTAGAGAAAGTCAATCTGAACAAAGACAGACTCGGCATCTCGGCGGTCATGCGATGTTGTCCTATCTAGACAAAGAACGTTTGCGGGGTTAAGCTTCCCCAGGACTTGAGGCAGATCCGGGTGCGATCCCCAGGATTTTTAGTGTTTCATCACGATGGGGATCCGGTTTAAAAGGTGGGCGTAGTCCTCATGTCTGGTTGCAGTACATCACGCAAATTGGCTTGAGTTATACCTGCGGATTGACCTCTGACACAATGAAAGGCGAGGATATTGCAGAGGACAAGGCTCATGTAGAGCACCTGTCAGAGCCTGCAGATACGAAAGAAGCCCAGCAGGCATCTGCAGCTGAGCATGAGGCGACGTTCTGGCAGGCCCTAAAAACAAACCACAAGGCTGCATTATGGTCTGCAGCGATATCTCTGACGATCATCATGGAAGGATATGATGTTGGTAAGACGGCCTTGCTTGTACTCCTGTAACTTCACAGGATGCGCTGACAAGCAGACTAGGTCTGATTTATCAATTCTTTGGGTACCCAGCCTTCCAGAAGACCTTTGGTACGTATCTGCCGGAGAAAGAGGGATATGAGGTCTCTGGACCATGGCAAGCAGGTTTGAGCAACGGTGCCAATGCTGGTATTGTAATCGGCGGGTTTCTGAACGGCTATTTGTCCGCCAGATATGGGTACAAGAAAGTGATCATCGTTGCGCTGTTCTTCATGAACTGGTTCAACTTCATCCTGTTCTTTGCCTCATCGGCCCCCGTTCTCCTGGTCGGACAGATCCTGTGCGGACTGACGTGGGGTGTGTTCGCAACCACAGGGCCGGCATATGCATCGGAAGTATGCCCTCTTGCTCTGCGAGGCTACCTAACATGCTATGTAAACCTATGCTGGGCGATAGGTCAGCTGATAGCCGCCGGCGTACTCTACGGCCTCCTTAAGATCGAGAACCAGTGGTCCTATCGCATCGCCTATGCGATACAATGGGTATGGCCTATTCCCTTGATCATCTTGATCCTATTCGCACCAGAATCACCCTGGTGGCTGGCGCGAAACGGGAAAATCGACGAAGTCTACAAGTCACTAGCCAAGCTAGACAACAGAGACCGCGAGTCACACCAGAAAACGGTGGCACAAATCCAGCACACCCTCGAGCTCGAAAGGAAGATGGAGGCGGGAACCAGCTACCTGGATTGTTTCCGGGGCATTGACCGTCGCCGTACTGAGATTGCATGCATGGCCTTTGCGGGCCAGGTCCTGTCCGGCTCGCCCTTTGCGTATGGTCCTACGTACTTCTTCGTGCAGGCGGGAATCAGCACAGACAAGTCCTACCAGATTGCGGTTGGAGGGACTGCCATTGCGTTTGTGGGCACTGTGACCTCGTGGTTTTTGCTAGGCCGCCTTGGCCGGCGACTGTTATATGTGGGTGGCGTGGCTTGTCTCACCATGTTTCTGCTGATGATCGGTATCATCGCGTCAACTTCGGAGTCCAGCGGCGCCAAATGGGGCCAGGCGGCTCTCTGTCTCGTCTGGCTGTTCACATATTCCACCACCATTGGCCCTGTCACCTTTACCATCATCTCCGAGACCTCCTCCATGGAGCTGAGAGCCAAGTCGGTCTGTCTATCGCGGAACGTCTATAACATCACGCAGATCATTGGAAACATCGTGGAGCCGTATCTGATCAACCCGACTGAGGCCAATCTAAAAGGGAAGACGGCGTACTTCTGGTTTGGGACGGCCTTTTTAACCACCGTGTGGGCCTACTTTCGGCTACCAGAATGCCAGGGAAGGACGTATGATGAGTTGGATATCATGTTCCATGAGAAAGTGCCGGCTCGGAAGTTTGCCAGCTATGAGGTGAATGTATATGACGCGAATACGCTGCGGAGGAAGTCTGGTGAGGATGGGGACAAGAGGTCGCCTGAATAGTTCGCGATATTTGAGATCGAGGCGTTGCATAATATTGCATAAGTGGATAATAGTGCTCTTACGTAATGGCGCCCCCACAAGAAGAAGGCGGTGAGACGCCATCGGAGAAGCTTCACCTCCATATTGATGACTCTCGTAGTATCCCGCCTCATCTTCTCCTCACTTCCCCTCAACCGCCCTCACATGAATGATCTCGGCCTTTCCCTGACACTACACAATATCCTTTACTTTTTAGTTTATAATCTCATCTCTATATAACTCCCCTGCATCACATCCCTCCGCAATGGAGGTCGCCAGCGCGCAACCGGCTCTGCATCCGGAAACCTCCATGGATATCGACATGGATTTGGACCTCGGTCCAGTGCCTGAAACTGAGCCAATTCTGACTGTACGTCTCGGTCACACGAAACCCTCACTGATCCAGTTGATCTAATGCGCCGAGCGATCCAGGACACCGGAATCGGTGCGACCGCCACCACCCAGGATGGGGCAGTCGACCCTCACACGGCAGAAGCACAACCCGAGAAAGTTCACATCCGAGGCGTGGATGAGCTGACAACGGATGATATCAAACATTTCGCGACCCAACACTTTACCGTGGAACAACCGTCTCGAATCGAATGGATCGACGACACCTCCGCGAACATTGTCTACTCATCCGCAGACATCGGCCTGCAAGCGCTGTCCTACTTCACACAGGTCACCGAGGAAGAAGATGCATCTGCCCTACCGGCGCTCCGCCTCCGATCGGCCAAGCTCCTATCGACCCATCCGGAGTCCGTGCTGCAGGTGCGCTCGGCCGTGAAGACAGACCGCAAGAAGCCCCGCGCCTACGAAGCAAGTCGATTCTACCTCATGCACCCCGAACATGACCCGCGCGAACGGTTGCGCCGTGAACTGTCCGACCGGCGACAAGACGACTCGAACGATGGCGACTACAGACGCAGGCGGTTCGATGGGCGCGAGCTGCGCCGTCGCAGAGACCGCGATGCCGACGAGAACTTCAGCGCGAGCATGTACGATGATACCAGAGCTAGCAGCGACGATTACTCCGACTCGGACAGATGTCGTGGTGGACGCGGACGTCGAGGGCCCCGTGAGCTGTTCCCCGACGACGGACGCTCCTCCGGTCGTCTGCGGGACCGCAGCGCGTCACCCGGTAGAGATACCCTGATGGATAGTGGCAACCCCGATCGGGATGAGCATGGATCGCGCAGTCGGTTCCGAGAACGATCTCCCCATGTTAGTCGTCGGAACGAAGGCAAGGAGTTGTTCCCTACGTCTGGCGATTCCAACGCGCGAGAGCTGTTCCCCAACAAACCGGCGTCGAGTTATCTCAAGAAGGAGCTTTTCCCGAGCAAGGTCAGCAATCACCGTCGGTCTGATGCCATCGACGCGGCCGACGAAACCGCCGATCTTTTCTCTCGGCGGATTTCGGTTCCCTTGATGGACGGTCAGCAGGATGATGCGCCGCGGAACAGGAACATCGAGCTGTTCCCGGATTCTTCGGAAGGGAACGGCGTTCACATCCGTGGTGCCGCTGGTCAGGACCAAGGCATGACGATTCGCGGCGCCGCGGGCATCTCGATCAAGGGACGGGGTGCTTCTGTTCGTGAGCTGTTCCCGGAGAAGTACAAGTCCAACGCTGGCAAGGAGCTTTTCTCCGATAAGATCGAGGGACGAGGAGGTCCGCGCCGCAAGGCTGAAGACATGTTCGGATGATCGGGGAGGGTTTGTTGCCTTGTTTTTTCGACGTTTTCGTCCCAATTGGAGGTTGCTTGCTTTAAAATTAGATATGGCAGGGTTGCTGAACTTGTGATACCAATCTTTTGTCTCTTTTTTCCTCTCGCATGGCTCAATTCGATCTGCATTTATGGCACGACCTGAATATCAATGAAATGTGATATAATCTGCAATATTAACGGCATGATGACTTTCAAACCGTCTTGGTGTAGATTTCGGGTCTCTAAATTAGTGCAACACGGAACTTCTTCCTATCGGTCGAGCTTATCAATCAATATCGACACCCCGCCACATACAAACCACCACATCACAGAATGCCACCACCGTCACAGAGCCCCTCGCTCGCAAGCATTCTGGTGGCGCGCTTCCTTCGAACCAACAACTACAATGATACCCTAGCTGCATTTATTCGAGAGGCCGGACTCCCGGTCGACGCGGGGCATGTCGGTGGAAAAGACGACTGGACGATCGAAGGCGTGCTCGAAGAAAAGAAAACCTTTGATGAAACCGTTCGCTTTGAGCGATATGGGGAAGACAGCGAAAGTGATGGCCTCTGGAGCACGCCTGGTATGTCCTCGCCTCCTGCTACCTATACCAGCTTTCTAACATGCATCACAGCACCATCCAAGCCCAGCGTCGTCCAGACGCCATCCTCTTCCAACCTATTATCATGTTCAGTAGAGCCCTGGCAAGAGGCCCACGACGGGGACCGCGAAGAGACGCCCGCATCCTACGTCGTAGCCACCGGCGCAGACAGACAGCTCCATCTGTTCGCCACGACGACAGGAAACGAAGCCGTGCGCTCGTTCTCCGGCCACTCCGATTCCCCAATCCTCTCCTACGTCTTCGTGCAGAACGGCAGGTACGTCGTCATGACCAACATGTCCGGCCAGCTCCTCCTCCAGCGCGGCACGGAGCTCCTCGACCGGCGCAAAGACCACTCCAAGTACGCCGTGAAAGTCGTCGCCCACGAGTCCGACTCGACCGTCTGGCTCGCCACGGCCGGCTGGGACGCCAAGGTCTTCCTGTACCGACTGCGTCTCGGGCCCGGCGACGACGTACGCCTCGCCGACCCGGTCGCATACATCCCCCTCGCCTCCAACCCGGAGTCCCTCCTCTTCGTTCCCCACCCGGACACCCACGAGCCCATCCTCCTCGTCGCCCGACGCGACTCAACCTACCTCTTCTACTACCAGGTCGAGGCGACGCCAACGGCGTCGTCGCCGTCGCCGTCCGCCACCCCGCGCGAATGCCCCCTCCTCGGCCGCCAGAACCTCGCCCCGCACTCCAACGCGTGGGTGGCCTTCTCGCCGGCCTGTCTGGCCCTCAGCCCGCACGACCCGGGCCTGCTGGCGGTGGCCACCTCCACCCTGCCGCACATGAAAGTGCTCATCGTGCGGCTCCTGTTCCCGACGCGCGACACGCTGGACCTTGTCACCTCGGGCCCTGTGGACACGGCGGCGACGGCAGCGCCTGAGACCCAGGCGACGCAGGCGTTTGCGGCACTGTCGCTGCAGAACCGCGAGGACGCGGCCATCCTCATCCAGGCGAACACGTTTGCGCCGCAGACGGCGTACTCCACGCCGCAGGTGGTCTGGCGGCCTGACGGATCAGGCGTGTGGGTGAACGGGGACGATGGGGTGATTCGCGGGGTGGAGGCGAAGACGGGCAAGGTGACGGCGTTGCTGAAGGATGGGCATCAGGTGGGATCCAAGGTGCGGGCGATCTGGGCTGGCTGGGTTTTTGTACGCCGCGGGGAGAAGGTCGTCCGCGAGGAGTGGCTTGTTAGTGGAGGGTTTGATAAGAGGCTGGTTGTTTGGAGGCAGGCTGAATCTACGTAGTTTGTATATACAGTGTGCATGTTGATCATGACTAGGTCATTAGCTACTTACTAGGCTTTTCTAATCTCATGGATCTAAGTTGGTAAAGATAGCCAAAGGCAATTAAGCGAATGGAACAAGCCATATCCAAAAACACAACGAGCAACAAGATAAAGCCATCAGAAACACAGTAGTATGAGGACTTAGCCCTCCCATACCCCATGCATTCTTTCCAGTCTTTCCAGCTCCCTGAGCGGATTCCAGCCTCTACGCAGACGGTGGCGGCGCGGTTGCTCCTGTATAACAGGAGGCTGACTCGACGTCTGCGCCGCTCGGACTGTGTCAGATGGCCGCGGGGTGATATTGGATTCACGTTGAACAGACTCGCCCGCGGGTTGGGAAGTCGGAACCCCTCTCTCAGTCTCCGGCTCCACGGCAAGCATCGCGCGAGCCGTACTGACTACGCCTGGATTACTGGGCTGCGTAACCAGTTCATCCAACAACCATGAAGGCAGTATCGGCCCGCGTGGGACAGGGTGGTGAAGGGGAGGGTGGTGAAAGGGACTGTCTTGAAAGTTGGTCAGGACCATGGGACAATTGGGCCGGTGGAAGCAACCGCATGGTCTGAGGCGGCCGACGCTGACCCGTTCCCGTCTGGAAGCCCATCCTGACATCGACCTGCCTGTGCAGACAGGTAGATGCGTGCAATGGCATTGTCCGAAGCCACTCGCGGGGGGCGGTTCAATGGCGACAGGCTGGTGATCGCCGAACCGTTGACGGTATAGTATATCCTGTAGCTGCGTCAAAATTTCCCGGTCCCGATCGGTCTCGTGGGGGCGATCGGGCTGCATGTCGGGAGGCCCGTTCAGGCCGGTCTCATTTTCTTGTGCACTTGAGTTGCTCACGTTGTCTGGTCCTTCGCTGGGTAGCATTGTTATGTCTTGGTGGAGTCACTGGAGCGCTTGTGAGTCGATAACGAATGGTGTGCTGCCTGCTGTATATATCAACGAATGAGTGAGTAATGTGTCGATATTGATTGATGGAGATGTGGAGCTATCAAAGTCAGAAACAAAGACGTAGAAGTGACGACAAAGATATGTATGTGGTTGAATACTTCTCGAACATTAGATGCGCCAGGAAGGAACGTTCGAGGGTTCGCTTGGCGGCGCTTTGGAACCGTGAACTAGGCCATGATTTCCGGCCGTGTGTGGTAGTCAAAACTGCTGCTAGTGACGGAAACAGGAGTTGATATCAATTGAAAGAATTGTTATAATTCTACACGTTCAGAGGTGGAATTGCGAGTGGATATGTACATCAGGTATCTATTTGAGCACGGCTTGCAGGCTCTCCAGCACCTATTGAATATCAGTCTCCGTCCATCTCCACATCTGCCCGCGCGACCGGGTCGATTGGGAAGAAGCAACTTACCTCCAACTCAATCTTGGCCTCGGCGATATCCTGCTCGCTGCCGCTGCCGCTAGCGATCTTCTGGGCCTCGGCGATCTGGGACTTGACAGCCTGCGATTCGGTCAGTATAACGAGCGGGATGGCGGCGATGTCGCACACGTACGTCGGCGCTGAAGTCCTCCAGGGGGAAACCCTCGACGGCGTTGATGCTCAGCTGGGAGTCGGGCTGAACGACGGCGAAACCACCGGAGACT